AATGGGAATGCCCTTCAAGGGACAGATGATAAACAAACACTCTGGGCACGCAGTCCGGGTGTGTGACCGCAGGGTCCACGTGTCCACGCACTCCGGGTGTGTGACCACAGGGTCCACGTGTCCACACAATCCGGGTGTGTGACCGCAGGGTCCACGTGTCCACGCAGTCCGGGTGTGTGACCACTGGGTCCATATGTCCCTGTAGTCTGGGTGTGTGACTGCAGGGTCCATGTGTCCACGCAGTCCGGGTGTGTGACCGCAGGGTCCACGTGTCCACGCAGTCCGGGTGTGTGACCTCAGGGTCCACGTGTCCACGCATTCTGGGTGTGTGACCACAGGATCCACGTGTCCACACGCACCAGGACCTCGCGTGGACACACACCGTCCATGTCAGACATGAGGGAAGACCAGCATGGGCTTGATAACTGTGTAGCGGCTGAGAAAACTAACAGTGGGCATTTGGGGATACAAGCAAAGGAAACGTTTACTTTGGAGAATTAGAAAAAATGTTCAAATACCAGTGGAGTGTATGCGCGTCTTCACGCTCTGACTGTGAGTCAGGGTTTGACCCAGCGTGCGAAGACCCTCACCGCTGGACGGCTGACCACTGACATCGCCGAAGGGAGCAGGGATTTGTTTTTGTCTATTATTTTATTGATTCGAGAGAGAGAGGGAGGGAGAGGGAGAGAGAGATGGAAACATCGATGAGCGAGAACAGCGACTGGCCGCCTCCTGCACGCCCCCCACTGGGGATGGGCCCACAACCTGGGCATGTGCCCTGACTGGGAATCGAACCGGCGACCTCTTGGTGCTGGGTTGACACTCAACCCCTGAGCCACCGGCCGGGCACAGGCCTTGGTTTTGATGAGCTTTCAGGCTATCTGGAGGCGGGTCTCCGTGCTGAACGAGCGCCGTGTGCTACCTTCCGAGTTTTCCCACACGGCGCGGCCGCGGGGCTCGGCCGCTGACCCGATCGTGAGAAGTGTGGCTTCCGTTGGTCCAAGTGAACCGTTAGCGTTTGGATGTGTTAAGAGTGTTTTGAAAGACTTGGGCCAGCATTTTATTTTCTCAGAGACGGTTGGGTAGCAATGAGAAACCGTTCTGGCCATCATTAACGAGAAACGTTTTTGGTAGAATGTGCAAGAAGTAGAAGGGTTGCCGCCTGTTCTGGGTGCTCTCCTCTGGGGAGGCAGGTTTTCCACCCTTCGTGTATTGGCTCAGTCTCGAAACAATAGAACAGTGAGGAATTAAGCGGTCACTATGGCTTAATTCAAAGCAGTTGTTTCAGGTTTCTGGATTTTACTCCATTGGGGGGAAGAGAAGTACCCCCCAGAGATTGTTATCAACTTAATTTCTCCAGATCATGGGCCGAGTCACAGTAGCCGATACTTTTGCTTTGGGAGATGATACATTTGGGAGATGATACATTTGGGAGATGATACATTTCCTCCTGCTTCCAAACTACTGGGTTGCTTACAAAATCACTAAAATTACACATTTTTAAAACACTTCCTATACATGCCAAGCAAACTGTATTACACACTAAAGAGCTGAACCTATTGATAGATCATGTTCAGCAATTCGAAAGTCTGGAAAAATTTATTTAAAGAAAATGTATCGGGGAATTGTCATTCAATTTCAACATTAAAATATTCTTAATCTTATGTTCAAGTTTTATCTCATTCTTAAAACTCTATTTTGTGTTTTTTCTTTTTAAAAAATTTTTTTAATTGTTGAAAGTATCACGGATGTCCCTCTTCCCCCCCTGACCCCCTGTATTTCCTGTTTTTTCTGCAGTTATGTCTCAGGGTCACTGAATAATATATTTGTAACACAACAGTGAATTTTGCTTTTAATACTTTTGTTCCTGTGTGTCACATTGCGATACACCATTTTCCTGAAAAATGCTTGTTTTAAAGTAACTGTGACAGTGTGAGGTGTAGCTGGGTGATACCTGTTCAGCCTTCCGCTGCGGAGAAGGACCTACCTGGGCGGGTGGAAGGGGTTCTGAGTGGATGCATCGTTCAGACAAGTAAGGCCCCAGCTGTCGTAGGGAGGTGAGTGCATCCGGGGGATGGGGTGCCCGGAGTTACCTGAAGTCCGGAACATCGGCCACCTGTTTTCTCGGTGACTGGTCCTTGCGAGCTGACAGCGGTCACTGCAGTGGGCTCGGGGGTGCAGTCCTTTCGGTGGTGTTTCTGACGGCCAGCAATGCCCAGACACGACCCAACGCTGGCGGGTTTGCTGCTGAAGCTCGGGGCTGACCAGCGTGGCAGGAGGGCACGGGGCTCGGGGTTCGCTCCCTGCGGGTGGGGACCCCAGCTCCAGGGCTGAGGTGGTGTGAGACTTGCGGCAGCCTCTTGATCCTGGAGTCGTCCAGAGAGGCACCGCTGGGCTGTGAGGGTTAAACACCAAACAGCGAGGGTGTCGTCTTCTCTCTCCTCATGACCACCCCCCTCAATTCCTCACTCGCTGAATAAAACCTGCAGGAATTCTCACGTCAGGAGAACACGGGGAATCAGCCATCCAGCCCCGCTGCTCCTCGGTGCGTGGCTTCGGGGGGACACAGGCTTCGGGGAGAGCCTGGCGTCTGCGGAGGCGGGGGAAGGAGCCCTGTGCCGGGAGCCCTCGGGGCCCAGGCCTCCATCGCATGCACGCGGGTGTGTCCGGCTGGAGGACGGCGGTCTTGTCTGTTCAGTGGCCCGAACAGCAGTGCAGTGAATGACATCAGAGGACCTGTGAACCCTCCACAAAGTGTAGCCTCCTGGGAAGATTCCGAACACTGGCGTTTTGATGTCATGTAGTGGTTTACGACAGTCCTTTAGAGGAGACCTGTGGGAAGAAGAAGTCGGCGAAAAAGTAACTCACAGCATCATGACCTGGCCCAGAGTCGTCACACTCACGCCCTCTGAGAATGTCTCTGCGGATCTTAATTTGAAAACGCCTTCCTCACTACCAAACAAGTGCACAGTTGTATATCTGTTCCTTTGCCCCGAGTACACCCACACAGCACCCGAAATAGTCTTTATTTTTGTGACTATAATTAGTACTCAAGGGGTTTTACATCCTTTGCAGCTGTGCGTGATAATATATTTAGGGCAGCAGTTTGAATCACCCTGACCTTGAAGCCGGGTGATGCTCTGGGGATCTCCTCAAGCTCACCTGTCACAGGTGGTTCAGGGGGGAGGGCCCGTGGCATCTGGGGGGCCAGCAGAGTGGTTGTTCCCAGCAGCGCCCACGGCTGTGATGCGAAACCTGCGGAGTTCGGCTCGGGAACCCGAATCTTCGCACCGACCTTCCCGCACGTTCCAGGCTGTAGCCGAAGGGAAATCCTACCTTTGCAAGGTTCAGGGGCAGGGCCACCTGCAGACGTTCCCATTTCCCTGTTGGACCTGCGTGTGTGAGTTCTCCAGGGGATGCCGAGTCCACGCAAACCCTCGGACGGCGGGAGGGTGGCGGTGGGCACAGGCTGAGCGGATTCACAGCTGTGGTTGTAAACTCTCGGACTCAGACTGCTCGTCGGAGCCACACACGAGCCACCGCCTCCCCTCACTCCTTCCAATGCACACGCTTCGTCGCCAATGAGACCCACAGGGTCACGGGTGCCCCCCCCCGAAGGTCCCCCAGGTGGCTCTCGGGACACAGACCACTGGCCTGACAGGTATAACTCAGCATCAACCAGTCGCCGTGTCTGGTACTTTTGTAACGTTTGCAGGTTACGTGATATTTGAAGAGCGTTGTCAGACTAGAAAATCTGCCTCGGCCATAATTCCTTTCCTGAAGCTGAAGGAAGCAGCATGGGCAGGCGGTGAGGGGTGTGACCGGCAAGGTGGGTCCTGGCCAGACCAGGGGTGACCGCGCTGGACGTTGGGTTACCCAGCTATTGCTGCAAAACAAATTATCCCAAAACCTGGCTTTAAAGAGCAACGGACATTGTGATGGTCACGGTTTCTGTGGAGCAGGGCCTCGGCGGTGGCTTCGCTGCGCGAGGGTGCGCAGTCCCGTTCAGGGAAGGTGCTGCCCGGGGCCCTCACACAGGTGGCAGGTGGTGCTGGTTGTCGGTGGAATTCCTGTGCACCTGAGTGTGTCCTGAGCTGAGGGCCAGGCAGGGCGGGACGTGAGCCTCCACCCGAATCAGTCGGGGGCCCCCTGGGGTGGCTGTAATCTCCAGCCACCTGGTGCGTGAGGTGTCCACTCAGCCTCCGGAATAAAATTCCTCCCCTGTAAAAGGATTTTGCCTTTTAGCTACAGCTTTTCCATGTTTCCAAGGAGCAGGGGACTTCTCCTAACCTCTGAAATATACGTAATAAGCTCGGCAGCATTGAACGAAAAGTAAGAAGAGATAAAATAACCAGTCGGGTACAGAGAAGTGGATTTATGCGGCATTTAAAGTCTCTGTGTCCGGTTTCCACTCTTGGCTCACGCGTGGTCCGTGGGACCCCGGAGGCGGTCTGGAGCTGGGCGCCCGCATGTTGCACGGATTGCAGTGGTCTCTGCTCTGTCCGGCCAAGGGCCTTGCGTTATTTCTAAATCAGTTTTAGACCTGAAAGAATTTTTTCCAAGGTGCTCTCTGTCCTCGGCCCTGACCCCTGCTCAGTGATAACTAAACTGTACAGTCATGGTGACTGTGGTCTGTTTACGCAGCGTGTGAACCGACGAGCAGAGAAGCCCGTCCGTGAACACGGTTTCCGAGGGTTACCCTGTGCCGGGGGACATGTGGACGCTCAGATGCGCGGTGTCTCGGGTGTAACGGGGTTGGGGTGAGACATGCAGCCCTGTGCTGACGGAAGACAGGGTGGGGTACTTCTGCCGCGTCCTCCCTCACCCTGCGCAGACTTGGGTGGGAGCGGGTCACCCTCACGTTTCATTCTCCCACGCGAGGGCCTGGGCTGTGCTCTCCGCTTCTGAGGTTCACGCCGCAGCGTCATCTCCTCCCTCGGCCTGTGGCCTCCGCCTGAAGGTCGCCACTGACGGTCGTCTTTTCTGTCGTTTGTCCCCAGAATGGCTTCACTCCTCTGTACATGGCGGCCCAAGAGAACCACATCGACGTTGTGAAATATCTGCTGGAAAACGGAGCTAATCAGAGCACTGCGACCGAGGTGAGCCCGCCCTGCAGGCCAGGCGCTCTGGGCCCCGCGCCCCAGCCTGTCCGCCCACTGCCGGGACGCGCTGCCTGGTGGGGACGGGGCAGGCGTGTGGACGCTGCTCCCGGGCCCCAGCCTGTCCGCCCACTGCCGGGACGCGCTGCCTGGTCGGGACGGGGCAGGCGTGTGGACGCTGCTCCCGGGCCCCAGCCTGTCCGCCCACTGCCGGGACGCGCTGCCTGGTCGGGACGAGGCAGGCGTGTGGACGCTGCTACCGCGACCGGAGCAGCGGCCCAGAGGAGGGGCCCGCGCCCCGGGGCCCACGGGGGTCCCGCTCCCACCCATCGCTGTTCTGTCCTCCTTCCCGGTCTCCACGCCTGCCCACGGCTCCAAACCCCGGCCGCTGTTTCTACCTCACAAACCACGTGCCTCCCTCTTCCTTTCTGCTGAGAAATAGGTTTGCTTAAAATTCAGTTTTTATTCAGAAGCACCGGTCTTGCTGCGGCAGGGCACATGCGTTGTGGTCACCCCACGGGAATGGTTCACAAACGTCCACAGCAGCCGTTTCAGCCGCTGTGTGCGAGTTTTTGAAATGCGTACTGCCTGGCCTTCTTGTCCTGAGGTTGCCAAGTAAACAGAAAGGCAACAGCCGACACAGTAGCCATCAGGAATGGATCACAATCATGCCTTTTGGGGGTCAGATTGGCGAAAAACAATGTATTTTTTGGTGTCCACAGAGCTTTAGAAACTGGTTTGTGTGCCGTGAGGTGGCAAAGGCTGGAGCGCACAGTAGGGTGGAAAAGGTCTTCCCAGCAGGTGGAGAGCGGAGGCCCGGGCACTGCACCCGCACGGGGCCGAGCACAGGCTGGCGGACACTGTGACCAAGGCAGGGGTCTCAGTCCCGGTGATGGGGCAGCCCAGGGAGAAGACACAGCGTCTGTGAATATGTGGGTGCCCATCCAGGCACCCCTGACTGTACAGAGCAAAGGGGGGCAGCCCCAGAGGGAGCTGCGGAGGCAGCGTGACGCGAGCGGGGGGCCAGTCCGGCCCAGGGGGGAGTCCGTCTGCCCGTCTTGGCTGTACCCGCGCCCGCGGCTCAGGCCCTCCCTCCCTCCCAGGATGGCTTCACGCCGCTGGCGGTGGCGCTCCAGCAAGGGCACAACCAGGCGGTGGCCGTCCTGCTGGAGAATGACACGAAGGGCAAAGTGCGGCTGCCCGCCCTGCACATCGCCGCCCGGAAGGACGACACCAAGTCGGCGGCCCTGCTGCTGCAGAACGACCACAACGCGGACGTGCAGTCCAAGGTACTGCGCCCGGCGCGGACGCGGAGCGCGGGCTCCACTGACAGCCTGGGGGGGCAGGGCAGGTCCCCCGCCAGCCCGGGGGTGGGGAGGGAGGGTGCGGTCTATGCTCCACTTGCAAAGGGGATGCTCCGTTCAGGGGTGTTTCCCAAGGAAGGGTCTGCACAGTAACAGAAAAGTAAAGGTGATAGTTTTTTAAAAACGAGGTTCAGTCTATTTAGAAATGGACTTATTCAGTCCACTTCTAGTAAAAACTAATAGAAGCAGAGTTAGAAAGAGAGCTGGAGTTGTAGCGGAAGGATCTCTCTGTTGCCCCTGACGTGTTGGGCCGTGTGTGTGTGTGTGTGTGTGTGTGTGTGAGCGCCGTGGGCCGTGGGCCGGCTGTGTCCTGACTTGCGCTGTGTTAACATCTCCCCTTTCTCCCCCCAACACTGCTTCAGATGATGGTGAACAGGACGACCGAGGTACAGTACTTTATGACGACATGCGCCTTGTATTTATTTATTTATTTTTGCCCAATCAATTAGAGTAAATGCTCACTAATTCATACTAATGACTGGGACTTTTGTTGTTAGAAAATTGATTAGGAAACTTTCCCTGTTACTCAGGGAACTGGCTCATTCCAGAGGTTCAGGGTCACGCACATCCGAAGCGTCATTTAATCAGTGAAACTACTGAAACAGCGTCTGAGAGCAGAGGGTGGAGCCAACGCTTCTTAGTCCGTGGTCTGCTGAGTGTGTCCCTGAGACGTGCCCTCGTCCTTGAGGGCTCTCGGTTGGAGTGGACGCAAGGACGTTCCCGGCCAGTGCTCTCTCCTTTCGTCATCACGGGTGTCCTTTCTAATGGATGTTTTACCACATTGTCCATAATCAATAATGGTATTGGTCACATCCTGAGCGGAGCTGATGCACCTCATGTCAGGACATTATCTATTGTCCACAGACCAAATTAAGTCCCATCGGTCAATACAAGCATCGGTCAGAGGCCTCAGTGTAGTGTGTGTGTGTGTGTGTGCGTGCGTGCGTGTGTGTGTGTGTGTGTGTGCGTGTGTGTGCGTGTGTGCGTGTGTGTTTAGTGGCCTCTCCTTGGCTGTTGCCTGCACCACAAGGCCCCGACAGGAACCGGTGACTACGTATTAGAACAGGGCCCTGGGCTGTGGACCAGCACCCACCTGAGTGTCCACTGAGCGTGGTGATTTCTAAGCCTAATACCTGACTCAATAACACGTTGACCCACTGGGGTGTCAAGGTACCTGGATTATTCCCGTCATTTCTCCATCTCTGTGCATGAACTTAGGTGAGAGAGTTAAAACAAACAAACAGCCCAGCTGCTCGGAGAAGGTGCTCAGGTCGATGTCTTCACGGCTGGTTTCAGAACCTTTAATTTTTTAGGTGGTCGTGTAAGGTACATTTTTAGAACAACATTGGCTCGCCACACTGTGCTGACAGCAGCCGTTGGGTAGATTTGGACGGAGGCTGAAATGGTTTTTGAGGACGAGAGGGGAGCAGAGAGGGACCCTCCGTGGAGGGTGCGGAGTCCCCGCCCGGGCGGCTCCAGGAGGCCCTCCCTAGGCCGCGCGGCCGCAGGCTCCATCACGGGGAGGCTGCCGCAGACAGTATGTTTGATTGTTTCTGCAAATGAGAAAAATAATATCATTATATTTGAATAATTAGAAAAAGATTCACCAGCAATCGCATTGTAATTACATTGTCATCTGAAAACAGACACACATTCAGGGTGTGTCCGGGGGACAGGGAAGGTAAAAATAAAAATGAAAAACATACACTCCGCGATTTCTTAAATTATAAAAATGTGACATAAAATAACAGCCAGGCTGATTTCCCACCCCCTGTTTTGACGTGAATATTTGGCGTCGCGTAGACAGAAAATAAAAATACCCCGACCCCAGCGTGGGGTCTGGCGGGTGGGTCCTGTGCTCCACTCGGGTCAGAAATGGCTCGCGGCTCATTCGGCCCCGGCACAGAGGAGGGTCTGTCTCCTGAGGGTCTGAGGGCCGACCCAGGCCGTTTAAAAAGCAAAGTCAGGTGAATAGAAAAGTAACAGTTATGATTCAGGTAATATTTCTTATGAACAATACTGCACACATCAGAGTGCATTTCGGATACAAGAGAACAGTACGAAACAGCCTCACCACCGTGGCTGACGCCGGGTGCGCTAGGACCGGTCCCTGGGACCTTTAATTGGGTAACGAGGTCATGAAGTCACAGAGCGAGGACCGCGGCTTTGCGTCCGTCAGTAACGGAAACTGCTGTGCTTCTGTTGGGAAAACGGCCAACTTTTGTCACTAATTTTCCATCGGGAAAAGAAATGAACGGAAACACACTCATCTCCCATTTAGGGGTTTAAGGCTCATGTGTTAAACGTGCTGAGAGGAACCGTTCTCCAAGCTCCTCCACGTGACTTAACTTGCTCATTTTGTTCTATATCAGTCTTATTTTGTGGGTAAAATTTGGTTTAAATAACATTCAAAATCAGGTTCAACTGAACTTACTATTTGATATTCACGTCGATGCCACGTGTCTTGGTTAATTTTGGGGGGGGGTTTAAAACTTTTTTTCCTTGGAAGCACATATTCCGACTAAACCTGTGGGGAAGGGGACGGAGACACTGTGACACGGTGACGTCACGGGAGGTGCTCGCTGTGTCTCAGACGCTGGGGCGCGTGAGCGCATCTTAAACTCAGTTATGTGATTCTGTGGCTGAAAACTCACTTAGTCGCATTGTTTTCCTCCAAAGCTGAATGAACTCAAGAAATTTGGTTTTGTGTAAACAGCAAATCTCCTAACTAGATGAATTATTAAGGTGACTAGAAAAAATTCCAGGAAATATAGGAGATGTATTGGCCTGTTTACAGGCTTAGTAATTTACCACCTCCTAGCACTGAAATTTAAGTCTGCTTAAAGGTTCGTCCCCGGGGTCAGGGTCGGAGCATCGTCCCCGGGGTCAGGGTCGGAGCATCGTCCCCGGGGTCAGGGTCGGAGCATCGTCCCCGGGGTCAGGGTCGGAGCATCGTCCCCGGGGTCAGGGTCGGAGCATCGTCCCCGGGGTCAGGGTCGGAGCATCGTCCCCGGGGTCAGGGTCGGAGCATCGTCCCCGGGGTCAGGGTCGGAGCATCTGTCACCTGTCGCTCACACGTCAGGGAGACAGTCACCACGTGGGTGTCTTTGTGACCCTGTGGCTGCAGCTCGTGGGGGGACACGCTTTACTGACTGTGCTTTTCTTGCTCCCCTAGAGTGGCTTCACCCCCCTGCACATCGCCGCCCACTACGGGAACGTCAACGTGGCCACCCTCCTCCTCAACCGGGGCGCCGCCGTGGACTTCACGGCCAGGGTACGAGGACACTGGTCCCCTTAGGGGGCACGAGGCCCCGAAGGTCACAGGAAGGGCTTCCCCTGTTCCCTTTCCCTCACCTGCCCTGTGCCCGAGATGTTCATTCCTCTCTTCAGATTGCAGGACGTCATCACACCCAACACGTGAGAACGTGGCACTCACCTGTCCCCTGTCGCTCACACGTCAGGGAGACAGTCACCACGTGGGTTTCTCCGTGATCCTGTGAACGTGCCACTGCCACACGCAGGGCCACTGGTAGCAGTTAAGGGGGGACATTAGTTCTGACCGGTGTGCGCAGTTAGGTTGAAAGATCACGCATGAATCACACGTGTGCAGCTTCGACTCGGTCGGGGTGAGACGTGTGAGCAGTGATGCCGTGTTCTCCCCGTGATCACGGGGTGCACGGTCTGACTGGGAGTATTTTTAACGAACATAATGTGCTCATGTAAAGAGTCACCAAAACTCACGAAAAGATGCCGCGTGGCACTCACTGGGGGACCCACGTGGCCGTTCCACAGCCCGGCCGGTGAGGGCAGCGAGTGGCGCGGGTGCGTGACGGCGGGAGGGGCCTCGGAGCCACGCACACCTGCGTTCGGAGCAGGACGTGTGAGCCCAGGCGAGTGCCGGGTGTGGGCTCTGGGCACCGGCCGGGACATTCCCGTCAGGCAGCTGCAGCGCCTTCTACCCCGGGAACGGCAGGCTCGGACGAAACGGGTCCCTTTGACACCCGCCGAGGCACAGACGGGCTCCAGGGCAGGGTCCCACCGGACGGACAGCATCAGTCCGGCTTCTGGGAAGACTGTTCGATGGACCCCCATCCACTGCGCTCCGACTGCAGAGGCGGACGTGGCAGAGACAGGAAGCTTTCCCAAGGTGTCCGGGAAGGAGCCGGTCGCAGCGCAGCAGGAGCCGCTGACGAGCCCAGGGGACAGGACGCGGAGGAGGGGCGGGGCGCGGGGGAGGGGGCGGCAGGATCCAGCCATCAGAGCCGAGAGCCGGGCTCAGGAGCTGGCAGGAGACTGCCTGAGGGTTTCTGCAGAGACAAGACCTCGTGGTCACAGGCACGACTCAGACAGCCACACGGACGCCTGTGCCCGGACATCACCAGAGGCTGACGGGGTCGCGGAGGCTGTCGTTGAAGCGGGAGGTGGAGAGGCGTGTTCCCTGAGCCACACGGACCAGGAGCCGGGGGGGGGGGCGATTGGGGGCCCATCACCAGCGTCAACACCGAGCTCAGGAAGAGGCCGGGGAGCCCTGGCGGAATCACAGGCGGCTGTCCTGTCGGGTGCGAATCCACGGAGACAGGTCTGCTCAGAGGAACGTGCGGACGAGCACCAGCGCGGCGGTGGGCGGGCGAGAACTGTGGGGGAGAAGGCGACGCAGTGCGGGAGTGAACAGGAAGGAGAAGCCGAGGTGGAGGGCGGAGGAAACCCTGAACGTGTGGGAGGCGGCGGAAGACGGGGTGAGGGTGGCGAGGGCAGGGGTAGATCCCGGGGCAGGTCCCAGTGACTGTCAGGCAGGGACAGAGCCGGTCCCGCTGCACCGGGAGAGCGAAGAGAACAAAAGGAGGCGCGATCCCTACCAGAAGTGAGGGGTGCCGGCCCTGGACGAGGGGGCTGGGTGACCAGGAGGGAGCCGCTCCGACCCGGCGACATGGGGGTGGTGGAAAGGAGACGAGGATCTCGCAGGAGAGAGAAGGGATAGCAAAGGCCTCTGGCTCCAGGACACGCAGTGAGCTGCTCGGAAGGACGGGGGACAGGTCACCAGGGAAAGGTCACGGGGGGGGGGGGTTCACTGAGAGAATTACTTCAAGTCACGGAGACCGAAGCCGTCAAAATCCTGACGGAACTATGTCAACCAATATGGAAACAGAACCGAGGTCCGCAGCCTGGAAATGCAGTAAAGGCCCATCTCCGGGAAGGAGATGCCACGGAAGGGTGACTGCAGGGCCGTGGCTCTAATTCCCCGCGTGGGTGAAGTGACGCTCAGGGTGGAACAGCGGCGGCTTCTCCCGCACACGGATCCGGGAAGGGACCGGGCGCTCAGGTCCGAGGCCGAACTTCCCTGGGTCCTGGGGCAGCCAGAGACCTGCAGAGGGAGCTTAGTCTGTGATCACAGACCACGGCGAGGCCTGGCGTGGTTCCGAAAGGCACCGGCGTGCTCAGCCCCTGACTGCCTGACGCATAGCCTGCGCCGTGGACGGGAAGCCACGGTCCGCACAGGTCACGGAGACCCGACGGTTTTGTATCAGCAAAGGTGCCGACTGTTGGTGCGCTCTGCACCCAGAAGGTGTCATACGGACACTGGGTGGACTCAGAGGGAGGAGGAGTCAGTGTTGGTGGAAGAAATACCAGGAACTTAAGCTCTGCAGGGGGCACCCTCCCCAGGCAGGGAGTAGGGGTGATTTGAAACGACTTTGGATGGAAGGGGAAAAGTGGCCAAGCCGGGCTGCACCTGACCTTGAAGAACACGGAAGTCGTGGTTGCTGAAGAAACGCTCAACGTCAACGTACACGAAGACACGGACGTGTTCCAGCTTTTCTGCCCTCGACTCCGCTTCAGCTCAAGTGCAGACAGCAGCCAGGAGATGGGGAGAAGGCTGAGACGTGGAAGGGCTGCAGCGGAAGGATTAGGAAGGTCACAGGAGCACAGACGTGTTCCAGAGACGTCTAAGGCTGAGCCCATCCCGCCCTCGTCTTCCCAGTTGCCACGTGCAGATGTGAGAGTCCCACAGTCACGTGGCTGATGGGAAATGGATCCGTGTGCAAGGCGGGGCTGGAGGAGAGCTCTCCGGAGACCCTGGACCAGGAGAAAGATGAATAAATGGGTCTCGGAGCAAAGTAACCCCGAAACATCTCGGGGGCAGAAGGACAGACGGAAGCTGTCCCCCTCGGACACCTCCTGAGAAGCAGGTCATTTGGGAAGGACAGCCGTGCGGGACGTAGGAGGCAGCAGGGAAAGGGGAGACCGAACACGAGACGGGTGGACTCTGTGGAAGAAGCCACAGGCTGAGCCTCCAGGGCTGGGCAGGGCTGTGGGGACAGGACGGGACGTCACCCCTTCACGGGGTCCCCCGCGTCGGAGCGACTCAATGGTGTGGAACACACACATATATAACGTGAATAAGTAAATGGAATAATTGAACATTTGCAAACTTGTGACACACAAAGAGTCAAGTACGTATCCTTGCCCCAACGCTGATACATGGTAGCCAATAAAGTCAGTACAGTTCGTGCTGTGGTGTCCTCCTCCGACCCTTCCGCACTGCGACTGTTACTTTCGAACGGAATCATTCTGAAGGTGCTCCGAGAATCACCTCCACAGGGAATTGGTAAGTGTGTGTGTATTTTGTTTGGCGCATAGGAAACTCGAGGCCCCAGGCTCGGGACGCGCGTGGGTGTTGGAGGAAGAAGGATGGACCCTGGGCTCGGTTCTGTCCGAGGTGGACCTGGACCTGTGTGTCTGCCCCACAGAGCAGCTCCCTTGTCCCCCGACTGCTGATGTGTGTTCAGCACACGTGTCGTGGCTGTTGACGTGGCGACGCAGTTCATTCCGTGTTTTTATTCTCTCACTACGGTGCTTGTGGTTTCTGTGTTTTTTATTCCTTAAAAACCGAAACCATTCCCACCAGCTGGTGCAGCCACTATGGACATCAATATGGTGTTTCCTCAAAAAGTTAAGAATAGAACTGCCACTTGACCCAATGACCCCACTTCTAGGAATACACCCTAAGAAGCCTGAAACACCCATTAGAGAGAATGTATGTACCCCCATGTTCATAGCAGCACTATTTACAATAGCTAAGATCTGGAAACAGCCCAAGTGTCCATCAGTAGATGAATGGATAAAAAAGCTGTGGTCTGTATACACAATGGAGTACTATGCAGCTGTAAGAAGGAAAGAGCTTTATCCTTTGAGACGACAGGGAGGGACCTGGAGACCATCATGCTAAGCGAAATAGGACAGTCAGAGAAAGACAAATACCACATGATCTCACTTATTTGTAAAATATAATGAACAGAAAAAGCGGATGAAGAAAATAGACCCAGAGACATAAAAGGGAGTCCCGTTCAGACTGACGAACCTCAGAGCAAGTGTGGGGCCGGGGGGTGGGTGAGGTGAACACAGAACTTCTATGTGTACCCGCGGGCACAGAGCACAATGCTGGGGTGGAGGTGGGATTGGGGAGGGTGTCTGGGGGGGACATCTGTAACAAAAATACATGAATTAATAAAAGAAATCAAGACATAAAGAAACCGAAGCTGTTGAAGGTAGCGCCGTGGGCCGCCCCGCCCTCAGACGGCTCTGTCTTCTCCCCAGAACGGGATCACCCCTCTGCACGTGGCCTCCAAGCGGGGAAACACGAACATGGTGAGGCTGCTCCTGGACCGCGGCGGGCAGATCGACGCCAAGACCAGGGTGAGTGTGCGCCTCCCGCGTCCGAGCCGTGACCTCTGTCCTGCCCCAGCACCCCGACAGCCAGCCGAGCACACGGACTTGCGGGTTTTCCGGGAAACGGCTTTCTTGGCTTCTGTTTAAGCCCCGGCGGTATTTAAAGGCTTCTCTTCGCAAAGCGGACGGAGCGTTTTCTCGTACGTGCCCAGACCGGCAGAGCACCGGCCCCGCACGGACACGGAGCGTCCAGTCCTTGCTCGCTGGCCTTCGGGGACAGAGGTCCAGGGTCGGGCTCACGCTCCCTGGGTGGGCGGTTGACAGGTCGGAGCCGGGAGGGTGTGGCTTTTACCTGAAATGCTTCGGTCCTGTCACAAGGCTTTTGCTTCCAACTCTGCAGTCCCCAAGTCTGTCCCCTTGGGGGTGCTGGCCGGGCGGCGGCTCTGCTGCTGGAGAGAAGGCCACTGCCCAGCACCTGCCAGGCCGTCTGGGCAGGGCCGTTCCTCTGTTCCTTTCAACCTTGTGACGTAGATGAAATCCTGGGTTCTCGACAGACAGGCAGTGAGGCGGGCGGGCGGCACGGGGGTGATAGGTGCCGGCCCCTCCTCTCACCGGCGGTGTGGCCTCGGCCGGGTGCTCACCTTCTCTGAAGCTCAGCGAGTACCCGCACCTGCCTCGGAGGTGTGGGAGAATCAGCTCAGGTGTGAGCATCATTTTGTTTTAAGTGGGATGGGTCAGTGACATAAGCCCTCATCTTTTTTATGCTGATGCTGCAATTATATGCAGTTACTTATTTCCACGTTAATTAGTAGTTCCGTCCTCGCTCTCCGGAGCAGATTGGGTTAGTCACAGCCTTCGGCAAAAGGAGGCGTTTCCATGGTACGGACCTTTGTAAAGTGTGTGGCGGGAGACTCACAGGTAACGGGTCCCTTCTGATGATTCCCCGTCTGAGGGTGGAGGCCGGGTCCCGGGGAGACCGAGGCTGGCAGGTGTTCTGTGCACAGTCCTCCCGTCTTCGGCTCCCACAGCTGCGCCAACTCCATCCACACGCTGGTTTCTCGTGACCTCAGGAAACAACGCTCCCTTAGCTCCCTGTCTCTGAGACGCCGGTCCAGGGTGCCGTGGGGCGTCGGCACTGGGGGCTCCCCCGTGGGGGGCTGCCCAGTGTCTGCACCTGAGTCTGCCCTGGTGACTGCCCTGCTCCTGGGCACCTTCCCGCGCTGCGCGGTGGGTGTGTGGAACCCGGAGCAGGTTCCCCTTCTGCGTACAGCCAGGTGTCAGTGAACCTCCAGTGTGAGTGCATCGCCGACGGGGTGTCTCTCTCGACGAGACCCTTTCTGTCCTAGAGAGACGCCTGCCCCGCACAGACAGCAAAATATGTCCGACTCGGTCGGTGTGTGAGGATTCACGCCAGTCTCACTACTGCTTTTCTGAGTGTTCGCTCCTTACTGAGGCCGCTGGTTTTTCTCGTTGATTCTGACCTCGTGCGCCGCAGAAGATGCTGTCACGCGTGCACCTACGCACGTGGCACGTGTCGCGTAGACATCAACGTCCGAACGAGGGCAGCACCTTCTCCCATCCGTGCTGAGAAATGAGATGTTACCTCGCGTGAGTCCGCTGCCCTTGGACAGGCTGACCCGCCGGGAAGCCTTGGTTCCTCGTCGGACGGTGTTTCTGGGGGGAGCCTGTCGGCACAGCGATGATGAAGGGACTTCCACTCGAGCGTGTGGCCAGGTTCCTACCTGCACTGGGCGTCCACGTGCTCTCGTTCCCGCCCTGAACAGTTACTGTGCCCTGAGCCCCAAGCTGCAGGCAGACCAGGTCCCGGTGCTCACGGAGATTCGTCGACGGCGCCTGGGGACCTGGTTAGCTGTTTCGCCATCGGCTCGCCCCCAAGAGTTCTGGGGTCCGTGGAGTAAATGCGTCCACGCTCCATCGTGGTCACCGCCCACGGACCCAGACCAGGCAGGACCTAGGATGTCGCCACGGGCGCCCCCTGCCGTCAGATCACTTCCTCATCTCTCATGGGAGGGATGTTAACATGGGTCGTTCGACCCCGGCGGTCACCGAAGCACCAGCGTCCTCAGAACAGCGAGGCCAAGTTGGGGGCCGGCCGGAGGGAGGTGACCGGACGCGGGGGCACAGCCCTGCACGCTGGGTGACCGGGTCAAAGAACTAGGTGTCGCCTCTTCTCCTCTCCTTGGAACATGCATTTTAAAATAGAAAAATGTGCACTTGGTTTTGAGTGTCTCTCTACGTACTACAACAGAGCTTCTGTATATGGAATTTGAAATCGCAGAAATATGATTATCATCATCATCTTTTATCACAGAGGCCTCTGCTTCCCCAGCAGTGAGATCGCCGTGAGCGTCCTGAATCCGGTGCCTTCTGGCAAGAATTTCTCATCGTTTCTCTGATTTATAAGGTTTTTATTCTCTGGAGAAACACAGGATGATAGAGCCTTCGGGGTAATTTTAAGGACTCTGTCCACAGCCCCCCACTTCCGCCAGCACTTCGTCTGTCCGGAGACGCTCCGAGTCGCCGGTGTTCTCGCCGACGCGCACCAGGGTGAACTCACACGTGCGCACCAGGGCCCTGGCTTCCCGGGGTCTGGAAAACCTCCTTCTAATGTTAGAGCAGACGCGTGACAGCTGGTTACCAGTGATGGTACCGATTCGGGTTTTACTCAGGGCATCATTCACTTTTCTTTTTAAACTCACTTGTTACGTGAATGTGACACCCTGCTGAGGCTCATGGTTAAAATGCCGAAACGCGTATTTCCACGCAAACTGTCAAGGTTCGAGAGCATCCGCGGGCGACGAGTGGAAATCAGGAGCCGGGGCCCCGCCGGGGACGTGTCAGCAGCAGCAGCAGTCAAGGTGTGAAGGGCGCTGGCCACGTCGCCGCAGCCCACGCGGAGGCCACCCACGTCCCTCCCAGCAGCTGGGGGCTTGCGTTGTTCCCATCGGGAACATGAAGGAAAGAGACGGGGGGCAGACTCTTGAGGAGGGAAAACACCATGAAACCTGCAACCACAGGCTTAAGAATTTAATTTAAAGAGAATGTAAGTTAAAACGATGATCCTTGAATACAAAGCCTCGGTGAGGATATTTTTGGCAGCGAGCACTTTGCAGAGAAGACCCTGGGTCTGCTCGGATCAGCGTGCTGGGCGGTGTGGGTTCGATGTGAGCGCAGCCTCTGCCTCGGGAACTCCTGGGCTTCGGAGTCCTCGTGGTCCCCGTGGTCCCCGTGGTCCTCGTGGTCCCCCGTGGTCCTCGTGGTCCCCCGTGGTCCTCATGGTCCCCGTGGTCCCCGTGGTCCGCGGCGTCAGGGGGGTTTGTTATGTGCTGTCCACGGTTCCCTGTTTTCTTCAGAAGGGTTTGCGGGTTTTCACATCATCACACAGAGAACGTTTCCAGTAATTTGTAGAAAGCGGCACCTGCTCTAAAAATGCGTGAAGGTGCCCCTCCCCCATTCAGACAGGCTGTGGGTGGGACGGAAGGGAGGTCCTGCCCCTTCACACGTGGTGAAGCTGGCCCCAGGGTCCCCGCGGCGCCTCTGTGACCCCGGATTCCCCCACGGGAGTCCTTCCCTTCCAGGGCTCAGCTCTCAGCTCGGGTCTCAGGGAAGCCCCCCCAGCGACGTGTGGGAGACACCAGGCGTGTCTAAGGTTACGGGGCTTCTGCAGCCGCTGAGGCCTGTGGTCCCTCCGCAGGGCTGTGACCCCCGAACGGTGCAGAATCACGTGGCCACTGTGCGCCCACTTTCTTTTTCAGGCTCCTCTCCGGTAGACTTTAAAATAACTCGGCATCAACGACAATAGCTACATGATTTTTTTTTTTCACACCCGTTCCCAGACACCCCCACCCTGCAGGTCTGCTTTGGTTGCGCGGGATCTTGATAGCAGTTCAGTGGATTTGACAAAGTCGGGGCCCGTTACCGGGCAAGGCCCCGGCGGGAGCAGACGGTGGAATCTGATGGTTTGCACAGAGACCGTGGAAGGGCCTGTTTGCACTTTGTGGGGGCTGTACGGAGGGTACGCAGATGGTGAGTGGCCCCGGGGCTGGTTGTAGCAGTGCTGGTTACCCCAGACCTGGCTTCAAGGGGAGACCTGGCGCGGGGGCTGTTTGGCAGGAGCGTGACCTTGGGAAAGAGACATAGAGGAGGAGACCCTCTGCCTGCAAAGCAGCACAGCACTGCCCACTGGCCGGCCCAGCCCGAGGCCGGAGGCAGGGAGCCCACGATGCAGCCCGAGCGGTCTCGGGGGGCCACGGCGTGGAGAAGGGCCGAGCCCGGATCTGAGGGGCCTGCGGGCTGGGGGTGTGGGTCAGGAGTGCAGACGAGTCATATTTATCGGGAGGAACACAGCACCTGAGAGGGTCCTGGAAGCACAGACCAACCCCCGAGATGGGCCACTGGACGAATGAGGAGCGTCCGAGGTCCCCTTCGCTGCCGAGATCCCTCACCTCCCGACGGCCTCTCAACCTTCGCCTTGGACGCTGTATTTTCCTCCGACGCCTGAGACCAGCCCTTAGCGTGTGTCACTGGGGGCTTCACCCCCCCTCTCCTCCTGCTGGATCGTCTGGATTTCCCTCACCCCCGCTCTTGGCTCTGCCCCCCACAGGGAGACGAAGTCGGAAGACAGAGGGCGCTGGGGTTGCTCTGCAGCCGCTCGCCTCGCGCCCCGGTCGGCCCTGCGCACGGCGGGCCCTGTGGCCAGGCTGCACGGCGTCGAGCTGTCTCCACGCTGTGGGGACGGACACCGTCCGCGGGGGAATGAAGTCTGTGGTCTGTGCACGAGACAGAGATGTGTGGGCAGCTTCCCAGGAAGGTGAACAATGACCTGTCCTTTTAATGCCTCAGGGAACGTTTTAGGGAAACGTACAAAAATCGCGGCGATCCAAGAGAGAACGTAGGGGATAAACCGTGGAGAATTATTAGGTAAAAGTTCTGTGAGGTCAACAGTGTAACCTCCGGGCGGTTGTGAGCGGACTTTCAGGTCCCACCACCGTCTGGAACGTGCGCCCACGGGGTCTTCTCCGTCCGGCTCCCTCCCGCCCCCGCCGTCTCTGCGTCCGCTGCCCTTCTCTGTGTTGGGCTCAGCGAGGTCCTCGGACCCCTCTGAGTCCGAGGTGCCATCTTGCGGCATAAGGATCTGACCTGTGACCTGCGGCTCACTCTGGCTCTTTGGCAGGACGGGCTGACACCTCTGCACTGTGCAGCCCGCAGCGGACACGACCAGGCGGTGGAGCTGCTGCTGGAGCGGGGTGCCCCCTTGCTGGCCAGGACCAAGGTGAGTCGGGCGAGGGGGGTCCCTCCCGGGTCCCCTCCCTCCACCCCCGTTTCCCAGTGACTCAGCGTGTGTGCACCAGGAGTGGGGGAGGGATGTATGTCAGGCGTCTCGAAGTATTCAGAACCGACGACCGCCTGTGGCAGGACGTACCCCGTGTCTGCCGCCACGGTCTTCCCTGCTGTGCTGGCTGCAGGGGGACCGGACACCACGGTGTCGGATAGGAGAGCTCGTGTACGCATGAGCCGGTCTACACGTAGGGGTCTACATGCTCATGATCCTGAGATGCTGTGAGTTACACGTAAAGGTACCTCTTAAAGCGACATGATCAGCATTCCCAGGGGGCCTTCTGCTCTCCAGCCTGGCCCCCCAGGCGATGCGGCGGGGTGGGCACTGCGTGGACCTGTCGGGCCCGTGCGGCGTCTCGGATGGTTAGACAGGCGCGCTGTTCCCCCGGGCGGGCAGAGCACGCTACCCCTTCCGGCCCCCCTCGAAACCTCACCCTCACCCACGTCGTGGTGGCTGAGACTCCAGCACAAAGTGTGTCTGCAGAGGCTGGTCACAGTGCAGCTCCCCACGGCCGGTCTTTCTGTGGGGTGTCGGTCGCTGTCCCGAGACACGTTGGGTGTAGTCGCACAGCTGTCGAACGACAGGTGCACCCGAATCCTTAGTAGCACAGAAGCTCGGACAGAGGACATTTCCTGCCTCCTCTGCCCCGATCAGGACGGCCCGACCACCGCTGTCCTGGGGTGAGCCATGAGATGCGGCAGCCAACGCAGGCAGCTGTTCCCAATGTGCACTGTGTTTTCATCGAATAGTAATCGACGTCATCTGGTGCTCAGACCAGCCCACACATCTAAACCACGTGTGGGGTGAACTCCGTCGGTGGAGGCGCCTCCACTGTTCTCGTGCTCCGGCCGACACCTCGGCCTGTCTAGGAAGGCGGGTAACGCAGAGGCTGTTTTGGAAAGTTTCGTGGAGAACAGGCTGAAATTTACATGGAAACGACGAAATTTCCGGCCAGCTATGTTACAACCGATCAAAAGCCCGTATGAAGCTGGGGCTACGCAGACGGCTCCACAAACTGGCGTGGTCGTGCCGACAGGCTGGCCCGTAATTTAGGTCCCTAATGAAGACCGTGGGGTACCTAGTGGCCTCCTGTCAGATCAAATATCATTCCTATGTCACGGTCCAACGTAGAGTGTCTGTGACTGCATCTGTCCATCCGTCCATCACGTGTCATCTAACCATCCTCATGAGGAGCTTCTGTGCCCCAGGCTGTATCCCGGTCCCCGAGGGACTATCAAGAGCAATAATGCATGGTCTGTATCTTTTTTTTTTTTTATCCTTATTCGAGGATATTTTTTCCATTTTTTGTTCAGGTAGAGTGGGAGGGGGAGAGAGAGAAACATCGACGTGAAAGGGACACATCGAGTGGCTGCCACCCGCACGACCCAACCAGGGCCGGGGACAAACTGCGACCGAGGTAGGTGCCCTTAGCGGGAACCGAACCCGGGTCTCTCCAGACCGCAGGCTGACGCTCTAACCGCTGAGCCAAACCGGCCAGGGCCATGGTCTGTATCTTTAAGAAGCTCAGAATTTCAGTAAGAAGACAGCAAAGGTGATAATGACAGGAAGCAGAGCCCTGTGCAGGGTCAGGAACAGGAAGACGCGAACTGTCCAGGTGACACCTCACCCGGGAGGGGACGGAGCCTCCCACCAGTCCTTGGCTCCTGCACCCCCGAGAGTGTCCCTCCAGGAGGACGGGCCCCGCCGTGTCCTCAGGACCTGCCTGGGCTCGCGTGGGTGCTCAGCCTGCATTTCTGAAAACGAACAAGGAGTAAGTGGTGAGGATTTTATTTTCCACACCGTCGTTTTGTGGGTGAACGGCCCCAAGACGGACAGAACGTCAGCGCCTCAGCCTGGGCTCCTTGCCCGGCTCACCCCCCACCCACAGACCGGTGCAGACACGAACGCCCCCACCCGCCCTTCTGGTCCGAGTCCTTCTGCGAGCTCCTGTACACGAGTCAGTAACTGAATCAAGAGAATTTCAGACACAAAGAAAATGCTGCTCATTTAAAACCACCTCCTGCTGCCACAAGCCACCTGCTGGGATTTCGACGGTTTTCTAGCGGCTCTCCTTGCCCTGAAAACCCTCCCTGTGCAGTCGCTGAGCTTCCTTCCTAGTTCTGCACGATCGTCCTGCACACCCAGTTCTAACTGCGGAATCGGCCTGGCCGGGCATCCTCGGCGAGTTACCTGCCGCTCTGTCCCCGACGCCACCCCCGAGCAGTGAGGCCCGGCTCCCGGACGCATCACTGACGATACATTTGGATTGTCCTCCGCGGTTGGGACTTGGGAGGTCGCTGACACCTGCCCAGCTCCCCCGACTTTCCTAGCTTTGCCGACTCCTCCCCAGCCCAGCCCCGTCTCGGGACAGGGAAAGAGCCGCAGGGCGGGCAGCGGGTCCGAGGGAGGTCAGAGGCTGGCTCCCCCGCCGCCCCGCTGACGGGACGTAAGGACGTCCGCGCAGAGGTGACGTGAGTGCGGATTTCAGTGTATAGGGTTGGATTCAAGTAATTTAAGCCACGGCTTGTCTTGGTGTCTCTGCCGTGGCCCCGGTAACTGAGGTCCCGCCGCCTTGCCCGGCGGACTGTGTGTTCATTCGTGAAACGCACTGTCTGTGTTTTGGCCTGAGAATAGCACGACTATGAAACCAAGTCCTCCGGGCTTCCCTCTGGGCCAGCCATTACCTGCGGAGGTCGAATGGAAGTCACACCCCTGCCCGGGACCCGGGGGAGGGGACTTCGCTGTGTTTCAGAACTGAGCGACACTAACTCGCCTGGTTTTGTCCCGATGCGCAGAACGGGCTGTCCCCGCTCCACATGGCCGCGCAGGGGGACCACGTGGACTGCGTCAGACACCTGCTGCAGCACAAGGCGCCCGTGGACGACGTCACCCTGGACTACCTGACGGCCCTGCACGTGGCCGCCCACTGCGGCCACTACCGGGTCACCAAGCTCCTTCTGGACAAGAGAGCCAACCCGAACGCCCGAGCCCTGGTAAGTGCCCACCACGTCGGCGACGGAGGGTGGGTCTCAGGCCCCGGGGCTGAGCGGAGGTGCAGACACGGCCGGTCACGCTCAGTGGTCCCCGTGGCGTGGTTGCGGGCGTGGACAGGCTGACGAGAGCACCAGGTATCACTCCTGTGATCCACGGGACTAGTGAGTTGCAGCAAATGGGAAATCTCGGGAGTGGTCACAGTTTGAAGTGGGAGACACAGGTGGACGCAGAGGGAATCAGTAGGGGGGTTCAGACACTCTAGTCAGATCGCACGTGTGAGAAGTTGAACATCATTTATCTCCTTTTGGAAAACATGGCTGGACCCAACTCGTCCCACGTGCAGAGCGTCAGCCTGTGACATCTGCTTGGACAGCGTCCCCCTGGGCTGCCTCCCACGTTCCGGGAGGCCTGGTACCCCCGGGGCCCGGCCTTGCAGCCTGGTCCCCGGGGTCTAACGCTGAGCAAACCTCCCGGCTCCACTTCCTTCCTAACCGTTAGTCACCGGCAGGAAGGCTCGTGCTAACCTGTGGCTCATCCCTAATTCTCACACTGAACGCGGACCTTTGTCCCGCCCACGTGTGTGTGATTTACGTCAGCGAAATGACCCTTCGCTTCTGCTCAAGGTGATAGAAGGCATTGGGATGGTCAGGTATTAAATCTGTTTTATTGGGAACTTCCCGGCAGCATCAGCGTCCCGGGGAGCAGACTCGCCTTCAGGGCCGGGCACTCCGCAGGGTCTGTGTTCTCACGGGGAGAGCACTCCTGTTCCGTGGCAGGGCCTAAGCTTATACAATGTGGCGGTTCAACCACAGGACGTCCTTTAAGGGCTGCTCTGCACCTGGCCACGTATGTCCGGCTTGCACAGCTGTGACGGGCAGCCACGCCGCACGGTGAGATGTCACGGGTCAGTGAGACCACGTGTGCTCTGGGAGCCACGGGTCTGGAGAGGTCCTGGTGCTGAGGCCCCGTGGTCACCGGACACACAGCTGCCCCACGGCAGGGGTCACCGCGCACACGGGAGCGAGGGCAGCCGCAGAGGAGCGGTGGGCAGTCAGCACCTTGTGGTGTGATATTCCCACACTCCTCTGCCTGGGAGACCCCTCCTTGCGATTGTTCCAGAAACTTCCCACGCTTTTCTGAAAAAACATCCACGCATTTAATCATTCCTTCGTGAAATATATTTCATGAACCCATCTTATAAAAAATTGTTCATGTAAGAAATGTAACTTCTCCGTGGCCAGTTTGGCTCAGTGGTTGGAGCGTTGGCCCGTGGATTAGAGAGTCGTGGGTTCGATTCCGGTCCAGGGCACGTACCTCGGTTGTGGTTCAGGCCCCGGTTGGGGTGTGTGGGAGGCAACCAGTCGATGTGTCTCCTTCACATCGATGTTTCTCTCTCTCCCACCCTCCCTCTCACTCTATCTGAAGATAAATAAAAAAATATCCTTAAGTGAAGATTAAAAAAAGAAATGTAACCTCAAGATATGAAATATCAACACCATGATTTCTGCTAACATACGTTTTAATAAAATTTTAATATAATAATAACGGGATATGGAACAACGTTCCGTGAACAGTGGTTCCCCCCGTGCGGCGCCCCCTAGAGGACAGGCTGCCGCGTTCGCTCTGGGTTTGAAAGCAGATGGCGCTGTGCCCGCCTCAGAAACGGCTTTCAGGAGAGAGGGGCGTACTTACCTCCGCCTGGCCGTCGAGTGTCCCCTACCCCGGCCCTCGGGTCTCCCCGTCCCGCTTCCCTGTGGCGAGTCGCTGTGGCGTTGTGTGTTTGTGTTCCGTCTCCACACAGGCAGGACTGACGCTGACGCACTGCACACGGGCCACCCAGCGCTTGCGCAGGGACCCAGGTCCTGACACGGCACGGTGTGGCGAGGGACAGGTGCCCGTGTGCCGTGTGCCGGCCGCGTGCTGTGCCGTGCGGCGCCCTGCATGTCCACTAACCCTCCGTCTTTCGCGCAGAATGGTTTCACCCCGCTGCACATTGCCTGCAAGAAAAACCGTGTCAAAGTCATGGAGCTGCTGGTGAAATACGGGGCTTCCATCCAGGCTGTCACAGAGGTAGACACGCCCCGCTCGGCTGGCTCCCTCACCGCACGCTCCCGCCCCGTCCCACACTCGAGCGGGCCGAGGAGCGGGCGTGCAGGGGAGTGAAGCTGCCGTTGCTTTGTCCACAGTCTGGCCTCACGCCTATACACGTGGCTGCCTTCATGGGCCACTTGAACATTGTGCTCCTGCTGCTGCAGAACGGCGCCTGTCCAGATGCCACTAACATTGTGAGTATGTCGGGTGCCGGGCTGTGCGTCTGTGTGTGCCCACGGGGAGCGGCGAGAGAGCCCGGGACGACGTGGGGCAGGGCCCCGTGGCGTGGGAGGGCGGGCGCCCTGGAGGCTCCCCGCAGGTGGGAGACGGCCTCACACACTCGGGCTCTGACCACGGCCGAGCGGGTCGCGTGAGCTCTTTTGGGCTCACTGTGCTGGCTGCCTGGACTGGGTCCCCGGTGACCTCGGGGTTAACCTGAGATGGACCAGTGTCAGGGTGCCCGCACCATCACAGACTCTCCCTGCTTCAGGGGTGTGGCTTTTCCATCCACCTGGCCCGCTCTGACCTTCCGTCCGGATTTGGTTTTGTTGGTCGAGGGGTGTCCTCTCTCTTACCGGAAGGAGTTACGTCCAGCTGCCCCCTGGACGTGGAGGGAGCACTGTTCCCCAGGCAGCCAGGGAGCACGACACCCCAGAACTCACCCACCTCGTCCCAACCAGGGTTCGCTCCCCGTGTCTGTGTGTCTCTGTGCTCGTCTGGAAGTCAAACGTCTGTCTGGTCCCTGAGTGTGCGCAGGACGCCGTGGGGAGCTCCACCACCCGGCGGCGGAGGGTTGAAGTCTGCGCAGAACCGCTGTCCCGAGTGGGCATCAGTACTGAGCTCGTGGTCAAAATGGTTCCCGGCCTCAAAAGCAGCTGGTCAGCAGTGAGGCTGAGGTTGGCATCCCGTCCCCTTGGGGCTGGGAAGTGCCGCTTCACCTCTCTCTGTGTGTCCTCTCACGATCCACTTGTTCGCATCTGACGCCGTTTCTGCGCCGAGTGTCCGATGCGTGGACGGGGTCCGTGTGGAGCACGTGCATTTGATTTTAAATCGTACCCAATGCTCCCTTTTCACATGACTGACAACTGGGGCGTGAAACCATTCCCAAATCGGAATACAAAAGCCATGTTTACAAATGTCCCTAATTGTAGCTTATTGGTCCTAAATTCCTGCAGTGTTTGCCAATCTTCACTTTGTTAAGGACAAGAGCAACTTCACGACGCGCCAGTCTGCGTGTAACTTCTAGTCACTTCTTAGAACTTTAAAGGAAAGGACACCGTTCCTGTGTCCAGAGACGGCCGCCTGTCTCTCTGACTCAGACCCGTGCCAACCAGGGACTTGGAACAAAACGGTGGTTCCCACTGGGCAGCACTGTCCACTCCTCTGGGGCTGCGCAGGCTCCATGTAGATTCTCACAGAAAGACAAACGAGACGTTAATGAAAACAGTAACAACGTTGACGTGTCTTAGGTTCTAAAAAATGCCCCAATTTGGTGGTTGCTGTATTAAACTTTAATGTCCACCTGTTGGCCAGTATGAAGTTCTTCATTTGTGTTCTCTTCCCCTTTGTCCATTACATACGCCTTCCCTTCAGCTCCCTCAGGACAAACACTGGACAGGCACCTGGCGACATAACCCTCCCCTGCTTCTCGGTGTTGTCTGTCTGTTTCTGCTTTGCTATAATGTGTCCTCCGGGAGAAGTGACAGTGTAGCCGGGTTGCCAGTTAAGCTTGAATTTCAGGTAAACAACAACTTATTGCTTTTAATATGGGCATGTCCTATGCATTTCTTAAGACATACTACAGTCGTGATCGGTCGTTGTCTAGAGTTAAAACTGGCCGGCATCCTGTGCTTTCGTCTGGCACCCCGACGTCTGGCACCCCGACGTCTGGAGGAGCAGGTTCTCCAGCACGGCCGTCTGTGGCCTCGTCATTCTCCAGACAGCGTCCCAACCCCTCGGGGTGATTAAGTTACTCCGGGAAACTGCTTGTCCTGTCGGCGTGGGCCCCCACCCCGCCCGGGGCCTCCGTGTGCTGCCCGACACCACGAGGCGTTTTGGATGCAACGCTGTCGGTCTCGCTGCGATGCTTCTGGCCGATGCCGCCGAGCACGTCACCAAAGCTGCGGCAGAGGCCGTTCTAACGCCCGCAGAGGGGTCTGGCGTTCCGTTTCGGCTTCGCACGTGAGCTCACTCACCTCTTGCCAGTCTCGTTTTTGTCCCGAATTCAGTGCACATTGAGGGGTGCCAGCCACCCCGCCACGCCCCGTTTCCGGAATGTCAGGCACGTACCGTCCACCCGGCTGCGGTCTCGGCGGGGTGCGAGTCCATGACCACACCCTCCGCTGTGCAGATACAGTGCCCGGTGGTGTTTTCCTTCTCAGCACATCGCGGACGCCCCCGGACCCCGGCTCAGCTCACAGGGCACCTTATGCCGCATCCTCCATCCTTACAGCTCAGTAACCTGACAAGAAAGCCACAGTGTTGACTACGAGAGACAGAAGTTACTGACTAAAACTGTACGCTCTGCGCCCTGTTCCTGCTCTTACTCACGCTTAGGTGCAAACAGGGTTATCTGGTAGGAAAAGCTTAGGGAAATTTACAGTGAAAGTCGGCTCCCCCAACGTCTTTCAATCAGGATCAAACGAGACCAGTGTCGGGAGGGGAGAGACCCCGTGTCCACGTGTACAACTTTTCTTTGACGGTAACTTGAATATTCCGATTAGGTTCTACATGTAATAAAACTGTCAGTTTCAGGTGTGTAAACACCATAAAGATACTTTGTTTCGGTGTAAAGTAAGGGCCCTGGACCTAGTAAGACTGACATTGGAAACACTTTGGAAACCCCTGCGGACAGGCCCCGGCTTGTAGGTCCTCCTGGGGCCTCCCTGCACCGCTCTGTCCAGGAAACTGCGTTTTGCCTTCATGTCCACCAGCGCGAGCGTAACGGCTGCCTCGTCATGAGACCCAGAGGAGAGGCAAGATTCAACGTGCTTTTTCTAAAACACGCTTAGAAGGTCTCAGCCTCCTCTGTTTAGAGACAGGTTGGAAGTGATACAGAAAACAGGTCAGAAATCACGGTCGTTCCGAGAGGAGAAGTCTTGCCACGCGTCAGTCTGCAGACAGATGCTGCCGTTGAGGTAACATGTCACCTTATAACACAGGACGCCCCAGGTACATCTCTTTCACCGACGTCGAAACATATCGTCAGAGAATGAGGACGCAGGAGGACGGATGAGGCACCGGCGTCGGGTCAGCGCCTTTGAAATCGGCGCGTTTGAAGCAGATTTCTCAGGACTGAGGAAGGGGGTCCCCGAGCACTGTGAACACAACCTGACGTTCACCCCAGATCTTCAGAGGGAGGGCTGCTCGTGCCGGGAGCAAGGAGAGATGATCCCCTGGGGCCTGTCAGACGCTCCAAGCACCGCGATCGACGGTCTAGTCATTTGACCTGATTTACTTCACCGACTCCATCAGCCTGGTGCCCTGGGGCAGCTGTGGCCGAGCCGGCTGACATTTGGTTCAGGGCCACGTTCTCCCATGACCGAATGAGCGAGCCTCTGCCCTGTCCAGACCGACGTGTGGTCTTACAATACGCTGATTAAACAAGGATAAAACCCTGTGTTTTCGAGTCAGCCATTACCAGGCTTCCCAATGAGAAAACACCCTAACATCTGAGCTACCGTTTCAGGGTCCGCGTGGCCGCGGGTGGGCCCGGCGATGAGCGAGGACCGCTGGCTGCCTGGTGCGCCCGCCCCCGCGGACCGGCTGCCCTGGTCTCTCAGCAGTTTTCCCCAATAACTTCTGTCACTAATATGCTCATTAATAAAAGTCGGGGGCCCCTGGGCAGGTCGGGTTCTGCACAGTCGCCGTCTGGCCCGTGAACACAGAGACAGGTCAGATACGAGCAGTAGTTCACTCAGAACCACAGTTTGAGTTCCGGAAGGGAACAGCCTCGGCAGGGGCAGGGTTCTGGAGCAGGTCGACCCGGTCTCATTAGGAAGTGTTCACGTTGTCGACGACAGGTTTTAGACAGAAGCGTGAGAGAGAACGTGGGATCACAGATTGGGGTTCCGCTGGGCTGGTCACAACGTCCGCTCTCAGGGTTTCCTGGACATTGGGTCAGTTCACGGGCTCGTGATGGACCGAGGAGGGTCAGTTCACGGGCTCGTGATGGACCGAGGAGGGTCAGTTCACGGGCTCGTGATGGACCGAGGAGGGTCAGTTCACGGGCTCGTGATGGACCGAGGAGGGTCAGTTCACGGGCTCGTGATGGACCGAGGAGGGTCGGTTCACGGGCTCGTGATGGACCGAGGAGGGTCGGTTCACGGGCTCGTGATGGACCGAGGAGGGTCGGTTCACGGGCTCGTGATGGACCGAGGAGGGTCGGTTCACGGGCTCGTGATGGACCGAGGAGGGTCGGTTCACGGGCTCGTGATGGACCGAGGAGGGTCGGTTCACGGGCTCGTGATGGGCCGAGGAGGGTCAGGCACATCTGCCTCGTTCTCAGGGAGGCGGAGACGATGCTCACGCTCTCCCCAGAGCAGGCTCGCTGACGCACGCTCTTGTTTCCGGCAGCGCGGGGAGACGGCGCTGCACATGGCGGCCCGGGCGGGCCAGGTGGAGGTGGTGCGCTGTCTGCTGCGGAATGGCGCCCTGGTCGACGCCCGAGCCAGGGTAGGTGCGGGGGCCAGCCCCTCGGGTGTGCATGGTCCCTCCTCCCGGGGTGTGGGGGGCACCAACCCCGGGCCGCCCCTCGGGCTGCAAGGAAGCACGGTGGGGGTGCCCCCGGGTCCGAACCCCTGGCATGTGAGTTCTGTGTCTGAGACACGGTTCTGGCACCGTCCGGACCACTCTGACCCGGTGGGCTCCACACCTGTGTCTGCTCGCGTTCACGACTCTGACATGTGCCTGTGCACGTCACAGCCATTTCCCCCCACCCTGCGGGCGTCCAGACAGGCCCCGCTCCTCCAGGGCAGCCGCAGTCAGGGCCGCTGCGCTCCCCCGTCCCCAGTTCTTACCCGGGATTCCCAGCCTCCAGCCTCCCTCCCTCTGTCCGAGACGGGAATCTGGGCCCCGAAAGGGTTCGGTGGGATTTCCCTGTTTCTGGTCGTTCCCAGTCCCCCCACCCCCACCCCAGGCTGATTTCCCGTCTTCCAGTCGTGTCCCCCACATGCCTCTGCTCCTCCGCCCCGTCCTGCTCAAGGTCGCCCAGCATCTTGGGGGTTCTCGGGAATCCTTACCTCTTGCTCTGGGTCTTCACTGGCTGGTGGGCCTGGGCTGGAGCCTCAGCTTGAATGAGCCGCCCCACGGGGCTGAGCAACGGCCACATGGGACGGGAGCCCCTGCCAGCTCCCGTCTCTCGTCGGGTCTCTTAGTCCCGGGGCTGGACCGAGACCCCGGCTCCTTCCGGACCTTCTTACCGTCCCGGACTCCGCGGATGCCGCGGTGTTTTCCCGCAGATTCAGCGATACGCGGACGGTCTGGACACCCCCCGTCCCCCTAGATTTCTCCGCCTTTCTATCCAGCGTAGAGTCAGTGTCACTGACGCTCTTCGGTGCCCGTCCTGGGTATTTCGTGTTCTTAAGTATCAGAGCTGTTGTTATCCCAGCCGCATGCTCCCTGCCTTGGCGTTTTTCTTCTGGTGTTATTTTCCCCATAAAGACTAGTTTCAGAGCAACTTCAGGTCCACACCGACGTCGAGAGGAAGGTGTGTAGGCCCCCCGACCCCCTGTCCGCAGCCCCGCCAGCCAGGGCCCCCGCGGACAGGTCACCACCGGAGTCCACAGTTCGCACAGGGTCACTCCTGCCGCTGGACGCCCTGCGGTGTGGAGACGCCCACCCCTGGTGCCGCGCAGTCACCGTCCCTCCGCTGCGGTTACAGGAGATGTTCGGGTCAGTCGGTGCGCTCTGACCACGTGAACGGCACCGTGTGTACCAGAAGTCGCGCTAACGCTCCTGGTAGATATTTCGTGGTCCATATTTAGTAGCGGCAGGGTCTCCCACGATCGCCCAAAATAACAACACTTTGTGTTTTCCTACATTCAAATTTTAATGTGTTGTTTTCCGTGGGGATGTGCTCATTGTCATGTGTCTCCGACCACTTTTCCATGTTGTCCATCTAACCTGCTACCGCCTTACACCTCTCCGGCACCGTGTGCCATCCCTTCCTCCAAAGCCACTGGCCTCAGACGCTGTCCTGTGGGATATTGTAGCATTTCTGTCTGTCTGTACATGTCTGTCTGTACTGTAAACATTTTTTTCCTTTATTGATTTTAGAGAGAGAGGAAGGGAGAGGGAGAGAGAGAGAGAAACATGGACTGGCCGCCTCCTGCACGCCCCCCACTGGGGATCGGGCCCACACCCGGGCCTGTGCCCTGACGGGCATTGGGCAGGAAGGAAGCTCGCCTACGGTGCATTTCTGTAAAGTCCCTGTTACTCTCCCCAAAATGCACCGGCCGCCCCGTGTCTTCCTGCAGCCCCTCGGTGCCCCTTCTCACGACGTGACGGTGCTGCGTCCTGTGAGCGGTTCTCCCGGGTTCTCAGCCCTGGCGCTGTCCGCCGCTCCTTCCTCTCTGTGACCTTGACATGCCCTTGGGCCCGTCGTGAAGACGGACCTCTTATCACCCAGGGGGCGCCCACTTCCCTTTCTGCAAGAGAACAGTTCGGTCTGGTTCTCTTCACACCGAGACCGTTTTCCTGACTCCACCTGAGAGCGAGGTGGTTTCCGGCGCCTCCGCGGACGTGCCCGCTGCCTCCGGCCGGCTGCACCCCCTCTGCTTCCCACGGCGCCCTGGCCACAGCTGACCGTGTCCTTCTCGCCCCAGCTCCCGTTGGCATCGGGATGCAAGTCCCGGGCCGCGGGCGCTGTGTCCTGGCACCGCTCTAAGGACCAGAGACAAAGCCCTCTCTGTCCGCAGTCTCTCCTCGAAGACGTGTCCGTCCCTGGTGTCCCGGCCGCGGGGTGGAGGGAGGGCCGAGCGTTCCCAGCCCCCCAGCCCGTTCTCCTGACAGGGCTCCCAGGATCCTCGGCTCTGAGTCAAAGCTTCTGGCCGAGAGTCTGGGTCTCGGGGCTTCTGGGCGAGTTTCCTTTCTTACTCGGAACCGAGAGAGGGTTCACGTTCAAACATAAATGAGGGTGGAAGCCCGGCCCTTTGGTGGGCTTAGGGAACATCGGCCGAGCTGATGGACGGACAGACCTCGTTTATTTATTTATGTTATTGAATGTATTGGGGTGACATTGGTTCAGTGTATGGGTGTCAGGTGTACGACCTGCAGCTCCGTCTGTGTGTGGCCTCGTGTCTCCCCCCAAAGCCCGTCTCCTTCCATCACTCTGTGCCCCCCTCACCTTCTGCTCCCCCCCAGCCCCTCCCTCTGGGAGTAAAATCTAAGGAAGGTTGTTTCTGGAGCAAAATATGAAATGAGCTGTGGTCAGAGTAGCAACGGTTCCTTCTTGCATAGGAGTTCCCAGGGATCCCCCCAAAACGCCAGGCAGCATCGGAGCAAACAACTCTGTCCGTGGCATTTGGTTTCCTGGGCCAATGTCAGGGCGCCCTGGACCAATGCTGGGGCGCCCTGGACCGATGTTGGGGCACCCTGGACCAATGCTGGGGTGCCCTGGACCAATGCTGGGGCGCCCTGGACCAATGTCGGGGCGCCCTGGACCAATGCTGGGGTGCCCTGGACCGATGTTGGGGCGCCCTGGACCAATGCTGGGGCACCCTGGACCAATGCTGGGGCGCCCTGGACCAATGCTGGGGCACCCTGGACCGATGCTGGGGTGCCCTGGGCCGATGCTGGGGCGTCCTGGACCAATGCTGGGGCGCCCTGGACCAATGCTGGGGCTTCCTGGACCAATGCTGGGGCACCCTGGACCAATGCTGGGGTGTCCTGGGCCAATGTCGGGGCGTCCTGGACCAATGCTGGGGCGCCCTGGACCAATGCTGCGCGCCCTGGACCAATGCTGGGGCGCCCTGGACCAATGTGGGGTGCCCTGGACCAATGCTGGGGTGCCCTGGACCGATACTGGGGCGCCCTGGACCAATGCTGGGGCATCCTGAACCAATGCTGGGGTGCCCTGGACTGATACTGGGGTGCCCTGGACCAATGCTGGGGCATCCTGAACCAATGCTGGGGTGCCCTGGACTGATACTGGGGCGCCCTGGACCAATGTTGGGGCGTCCTGCACTAACGTCTGGCTTGACTTGAGTTGCAGGAAGAACAGACCCCTCTGCACATCGCCTCCCGTCTCGGCAAGACGGAAATCGTGCAGCTGCTGCTGCAGCACATGGCCCACCCGGACGCGGCCACCACGAACGGCTACACCCCGCTGCACATCTCCGCCAGGGAGGGCCAGGTGGACGTGGCCTCGGTCCTCCTGGAGGCGGGCGCCGCCCACTCCTTGGCCACCAAGGTAAGGGCGGCCTCGCCACGACGGGGGGATCCCGCCAGGCCCCTCTGCTCTGCCACAGACACTGTCCCGGGGGTGGGTCTCCTCTAGGCCTGCGAGCGCCTTCTGGAACGTTCTAGATCCATCTCCTAAAGGACCCAAGGGCCCGAGAGCCCTGCCGTTTCTGCATTCGCGCAGTTTCCTGTGTGGCCGTCTGGTGCTTCAGCGAGAAGGGGTCCACCACGCAGGGCACCTTCCCCCTCCCGCTGTCAGATCGACCTGAGTTCCCAACAGGGAACAAACACACGGAACCGCACAACGAACGAGGCGGGAGGGTTGCACCGCGCTGGGCCCCTGTTCACCCGAGTCGTAGCCCCACCTAGACATTCACCCACCGACCGCGCTTGCGTTTTCCCGACGCCGGTGCCGGCTCCCGCCCTCCGGCCCTCGCTCCTCCCCACGGGGCCTGCGCAGCACTTCCTGTCCGAACAGCATGAGTTTTACTGCTGTTCATGCCGGAGCAGAGCGACTTCTCTTCCACCTGACGCGTTCGGCTCGAAACTGTTCGAATGTGACTCAGGAGGGAGCAGGAGCTCCCTCCGCGGGTCGGAGCCAAGGCAGCCGGACTTGTGTCGAGGACACAGACAAGGCAGAACCAACAGCGGGCGACTCGTTTGTGGACGCAACACCGCCCACGAAGACAGCGGAGACCCCGAGTTAGAAAGGGTTTTCTACCTGCTCCTGACACGCGGGCATCGGCCCCGCCCCGGGCAGGGCGGCAGGTGAGACCCGCGTCCCACCCGGCGGGAGCAGCGGCCCTCCCGGCTCCGTGGGAGAAGAGCCAACCACCCAGATCAGAAGAGCTGGACGCGTTTTCGAATCTTTTCTTTTTTTAAATCGGAAACTAAGCGACAGACACAGTCACGGCAGCAGTGGTTGTGAGGGGCGGGTGAGCCTCTTCACACGAGGGTGATCAGTGCGTGGAATGCGGACACGTAAGAAGCAGAGGCACCGTCCCTGTCCCACAGATGGTTTCAGGATTCAGCACTGTCTGAAGCCACAGGACGTGGCGGCCGTCGCGTGGACGAGTGTCGGGCGGACGGCAGGGTGGACGGGCCGGCCAGGGGCTGGCGCGAGGCCTTTGAGGTCAGCCCTGCGGGACCGCACGGGACACAGCACATGGCGGTGGCTCAGGAGGTGCCTTCCGAGCTCCAGGCTGTGGTTCTGGGGGACGGCCCTGGGAGCTTGTCGAGTAATAGTTTCCAAATTTGTGACGGGGCCGGATCCCCGTTCCAGCAGGGCCTGGGGAGGAGGAGCCATTTTTCCTTCATCACAGGTGTTGCCTCAGAGAGCCCCCCCGAGCACCCCCGTTTTGAGTGCCTGGGGCAGGGGCGGGGGTGGCAGATGCTGCTTTGAACGGACTCCTGCTGGATCGAGGGCACCCCCCACATTTGTCCCACACTTGGAAAAAGCAGGGTTCCCTCTGCTCCAAGGCGTTATTAGTACCAAATGTTCAGAAAGTTCCAAATGTTCAAGGAGCAGCAAAAGAACAGCCTCCCAGTTGAAAATAACGTGCGGTGACCGGTGGACGGGCCACTCTGTTCCTGGGGACGCGCTGGGCTGGGGGTCACAGTGGCCCGGGGTAGCCGCACCTTCGCCACCCGAGGGGGTGGTTTACTGTGGGTCGCGCCGTCCCCCCATCAGGTGCCGGGACAGAGTGGGTGACACGGTCCGGCAGGATGTGCAGCTGAGACACCGTGTGGGACCGGCCCCAAGCCCAGGGACACGGGGGTCAGACACAGGTGTGGGGCACACACCGGTTCTGAACAGGGCGGCCGGGGGGCGGTCTCGAAAAGGCTGCACTGTGTCCGCAAGTCCGGCGTCCACCAGCTCGGCCTCGGGCAGGAGCAGGGTACGTGCTCTGAGGGGCCCTGTACGCGGCCTGGTCTCCCGACAAAGGGGTGACATCGGCAGGTGCTTTTCAACCGTGAATGTTTTTTTGTTCCATCAACCGTTGATCTTGCCATTTCTGCAGAAAATACAAATCCGTGGAATCACCAAAAATTAATTTAAAAAAAAATCAGAGACATTAAACTATCCTCAAATGTGCAGGAGGACATTTGGCATTCAGGTCTCACGAAGTGGATGGGAGGGACCTGCCTGGTCTCAATCCTGCGAATTTCAGAGGCAAGAAAAAGGCAGCCCCCCCCCCCGCCCCCCGCCAGGTCGGAGCAGTTTGGCCGGCATCGGGCTCTCCCTCCCCACCTACACCCACGTTTCCGGCTCCAGCTCTTAACCTACGATTCCTTTGGTCCAGTCTGCGGCCTCTCTCTGGTCCGGCTGGCGGACGGGCTGGATGCGGCCGTGCTCCCCCATGGAGAGTCCGCGCCGTCCGCGTCTCCTGCCCACAGTGAGCGGCGTGCCCGTGGCCACGGAGATAAGCCTCTCCCTCGCTTTCCCGTTTCAGAAAGGCTTCACCCCACTGCACGTGGCCGCCAAGTACGGGAGCCTGGACGTGGCCAAGCTGCTGCTGCACCGGCGGGTGGCGGCCGACTCTGCAGGGAAGGTACAGTGACGTGGTGGACGGGGCAGGGCCCACCCAGGTCCTGGTGGCGGGGCCAGGACGTGTCCTCCGTCAGGGGCGTCCCGGCCACGGCCACGTCCTAATGGTGACAGTTTCACGCGTCACTGTGAGCGCAACCAGGGTCCCAGGTGCAGGTGTTTCCCGTGTGGACTCGCTGGGTAGCGCTTGCTTGGTTTCCTTTGTTCCTATTGGACGTAATGACTTAACCCGAGGGCTCCCGGTTCCGCCTCCCGTGGCTTCAGGGCAGCTAACGCCACCTCCTAACCCGGAGCCCGCCCGCCCTTGCAGAACGGCCTGACCCCACTGCACGTGGCCTCCCACTACGACAACCAGGAGGTGGCCCTGCTGCTGCTGGAGAAGGGTGCGTCCCCCCACGCCACCGCCAAGGTGAGGGCTCAGGGTCTGCGGGGCCCAGGCGCGAGCTGGGCGTGAGCTGGGGTGTGTCGGACGCGCCAGCCCCGGGGTCCTGAGCGAGGATGCACACAGACCCCGGCAGCGGCAGGAGTCACGCCAGCGCCGTGCTCTGTGCTGGGAACGCCACGTCCTGAGTGTGTGCTCAGCTCGGTGGAGGTTCACGGGGACCTCGATGAGCTAGTCAGGGCGTCTCCTCCTCCGTGTGGGGCTCTGGAAATGGTCCGTTAGGGCAGCCGAAGGGTGGGGAGGTTCGGCCCGGGAAGCTGCGCGCAGGGCAGGTAGGAAAGCCCCCAGGTGTCGGGACGCCGTGTGCAGGGGCCGGCCCATCCTTCCTGGCTCTCCCGTCCACCCTGCCGTGCGGCGCGTGCGGGGCCCTGGGACGCTGGTTGTGAAGGTTGAGACGTGTCACCCCCATAAGGTGGCTTCTCGCTGTTTGGCCGGCAGCCTTCAGAGCCGCACCAGGGCGGGCGCCGCGCCGACCCGTTTGCTTTCTCTCGTCAGAACGGCTACACCGCGCTGCACATCGCGGCCAAGAAGAACCAGATGCAGATCGCCTCCACGCTGCTGCGCTACGGGGCCGGGACGAACGTGGTGACCAAGCAGGGCGTGACCCCGCTGCACCTGGCCTCCCAGGAGGGGCACGTGGACATGGTCGCCTTGCTCCTGGACAAGGGCGCCAACGTCCACACGGCCACCAAGGTACTGCGCGCCGCCTCCGGCCGCTCAGGAGCCCTTCTGGGCAGACAGGGGCCCGTTTCAGATGACGTGGGGCAGGAAGGAGGGTGCGGGGCAAGGAGACGGGGCGTCTTGCAGAATCCAGGACAGCAGGGGCCGCAGCCCATTCTGGCACCTCGACTTTTCCCTGAGAGTCGGTTTCTGTCACGTCCGTCGGGGGTCTGCTTCCTCTGCTCCTCTGAGCAGGTCCCTGTTGCTCCAGGGACTGAAGTCACTGTGGTCAGGCAGTCAGTCGGCGTCCGTCCTTCCTGCCGGTCCTCAGTCCAAAGTCCGGAGAGAGGTGGCACTGCCCTCGGGGGCTGCGGCCCAAACAGTTGCTTCTGCTGGTGCCACAGCCCAAGGCGCCCTCCAGCCGCTGGGCATCGGGCTCCATGTGTGGGGACGAGGGGCCCAGTGAACACAGATCTCTGAGCCACGTCAGCCTGGCTCGGGGTGGTGGCCATAACGCTCCTCCGTCATTTCGGCCTTTTCCAGAGAAAGCCTTTGCAGACACCCACGTGAACCGCAGCAGAATCTCAGTCGGGGTGCAGGGGAAACTAGTCCAACACAAAAATACTTTTACTTTCACATTACATGTCTCTGCCTCTGTTTATCAACTCTATTTGAGTTGACTATCTGTCATCTATTAATCTATCTATTTATCATCTATGTTTCTATTATCTATCTGTTTATCATCTATCATCTATCTATATCAGCTATTTATCTATCATCTCTCTGTCGTCCATCCACCCACCCACCTCTGTCTCCACGGTGTGGACTCTCCTGAAGTAATTCGGATAATAGCAAAACCAACAACCACCTTTCCCACTGCTTTTGAAAAGCATCTTCCTTTCCGGTCGAAGCCCAGCTGCGGTCAGCACGTCCACTCTCCCAGTGGCTATTTCTCAGTGATGACATCACGCAGCAATGACCTTATGTTCCGTGTCCAATCGCCACGTAATAGTAAAATGGCACAAAACAGCCCCGACCTGTGAATGAGAACCTCTCTCTCCAGCTGGAGAGTGTTCTCTCTGTCCACACTTCTGAAGGCGCCCCGGCTGGAGGTCACGCACTTTGAAGGACGCGGCGTGGCTTCCTGAGTGTAGGGACAAGCCTGCGGCTGTGCCTGGGCGTGAGCTGGGGTGAGGGGCTGCCGGCTCGGAGGCGAGTCGCTGCCTGGTCTGCGGTGGCCGGTGCAGCGGGGGCGAGAAACAGGTCTATATTCTCGGCGTCCCCGGCCCCACGCACGGAGCCCAGTGAGCGGGAACAGAGCCCTATCAGGGCAGAAACTGTCCATGGATGTGCTCAGTGCCCAGAAAACTCCCGTCTGTGAATGGCACCCCATCCGACAGTGGTCTCGGTTTTCAAGGTGCCTTCACAGGCCCCTCCTGACGCTTCCTGCCCGTCGAGGCTGCCGACGGAGCAGCTCTGCGCCCCCTGAGCTCTGGCCCCTCGCTTCTGAACTGCGTTGGCGGCACGTTCGTCCCTTCGAGTAGCCGCTTGGGGCATGTACGCCGAGCACCTGCCAAACTGGCCGTTTATGATGCAGAGATCACTTTCTGTTGAGCCTTTGAGGGTCTTGGGGTGCTGGAGAAAACCATTCCGACTCGTTTCCTGTGACTGCGTGTTTTTCATGGATGTGATGCTCAAGGGGGTGATCGAGGTCGTTGCTGTGCTTGGAAAGTGGAAGCGGCGGTTGGTTCACCGGTATTGACGTGAATCGATAGGTGCAGGAGGCACAGCTGGCCCTGTAGTGACTGTTGTTAGGAAGCTGATTCGCAGGATTATTTTAAAGTCTCGGGTCGTGATGTAAGCACCCCGTGTAGAGAACAGGCTTGCTGACAGCGTCCGTCAGCACATCCTGCCTCGGGGGGGGGGGGTCCCCGCGCCTCGGAGGGTCGGTGTCTTCAGGAGACGCGGACTCTGGGGAGAGGCTGTGCTTTGCGGGGTGCATGTGCCTCTCTCGTTCTCTCCGCAGAGCGGACTCACAGCCTTACACCTCGCGGCCCAGGAGGACAGGGTGACTGTTGCCGACATTCTCACCAAGCACGGTGCTGACCAGGACGCCCACACAAAGGTACGAGGCCCCTCTCACTGTGTGGTGGGTCCCGGCCTGGGTGACTCCCAGCAGCCCCATCGGGTCACCCAGATCCGTGTCTCGTCCTCACAAGTCCATTCTGGATGAACTACGACTGTCCTGCTCCCTCACTACAATGGGTCCATTTTGCTGGAGTTCAGTCAAAATGGGCAGAGGAGCAGAGACCCCGGTTCTGCCGGACAGAGCTGCTGTTGCTCAGCCAGTCAGGGACCTGCCGTGCCCTCCGGCACCCACTCACCTCGACGCCCTTGGTTGACGTGGCCCTGGCTTTGCTGTGAACCCCTCTGCATAGCCCCCATCGCTGCCGGACCCTCCGTGGCCTCGTCTCTCCTCCCTGTTTTCAGATCCCACCGTCTACACCCTGTCTGAGCTCTTTGTCAGGTTAGACCACACATACGCCGGGTCTCCTTTGCTGGCGTGAAGGCCATGTTCCCAACCTGCTCCTCCATGTGTGTCCACAGGGTGCACGCCCGCTGAGTAGTGTCCGTACAGCCGGACCGAGGGCCCCACACCTGCTGAGTAGTGTCCGTGCAGCCGGACCGAGGGCCTCACGCCCACTGAGTAGTGTTCATACAGCCGGACCGAGGGCCCCACGCCCGCTGAGTAGTGTTCGTACAGCCGGACCGAGGGCCTCACGCCCGCTGAGTAGTGTTCGTACAGCCGGACCGAGGGCCCCACGCCCGCTGAGTAGTGTTCGTACAGCCGGACCGAGGGCCTCACGCCCGCTGAGTAGTGTCCGTGCAGCCGGACCGAGGGCCCCACACCCGCTGAGTAGTGTCCGTACAGTTGGACCGAGGGCCCCACACCCGCTGAGTAGTGTTCGTACAGCCGGACCGAGGGCCTCACGCCCGCTGAGTCGTGTCCGTGCAGCCGGACCGAGGGCCCACACCACCGCTGAGTAGTGTCCGTACAGTTGGACCGAGGGCCCCACACCCGCTGAGTAGTGTTCGTACAGCCGGACCGAGGGCCTCACGCCCGCTGAGTAGTGTCCGTGCAGCCGGACCGAGGGCCCCACACCCGCTGAGTAGTGTCCGTACAGTTGGACCGAGGGCCCCACACCCGCTGAGTAGTATCCGTACAGTTGGACCGAGGGCCCCACACCCGCTGAGTAGTGTCCGTGCAGCCGGACCGAGGGCCTCACGCCCACTGAGTAGTGTTCATACAGCCGGACCGAGGGCCCCACGCCCGCTGAGTAGTGTCCGTGCAGCCGGACCGAGGGCCCCACACCCGCTGAGTAGTGTCCGTGCAGCCGGACCGAGGGCCCCACACCCGCTGAGTAGTGTCCGTGCAGCCGGACCGAGGGCCTCACACCGCTGAGTAGTGTCCGTGCAGCCGGACCGAGGGCCCCACACCCGCTGAGTAGTGTCCGTGCAGCCGGACCGAGGGCCCCCACACCCGCTGAGTAGTGTCCGTGCAGCCGGACCGAGGGCCCCCCACCCCGGCTGAGTAGTGTCCGTGCAGCCGGACCGAGGGCCTCACGCCCGCTGAGTAGTGTCCGTGCAGCCGGACCGAGGGCCTCACACCGCTGAGTAGTGTCCGTACAGCTAGGCTGATGTCTCCACACCCTCCCAGAACTGAAACTGCCTCACTACCTCGAGGTTTGGGCAGAGTGTCACCCGATGTTTGTTGTCTCCACAGCTCGGGTACACTCCTTTAATCGTGGCCTGTCACTATGGGAACGTGAAAATGGTCAACTTCCTTCTAAAGCATGGAGCCAATGTCAACGCCAAAACCAAGGTAAGTGCTTTCTCGGTTCATTTCTGTCGGCAAAAGTGTCGGCCACATGGACGCTGCGTGCGCTCACCATAGGACACGTGTGAACACGCGTGCATTTGTGCGATGGGTTGAGACTCTTCAGCCCAACAACTTCTGACAGCCGAGCAGTTGTCGGAACCTCTGTGGTAAAGTTCAGGGAGCTGACTCGGGCTAACACGTCAGCCACCACAGGACACGTGGGTCCTGCTGGGACGGCTGCTCCTTTGGCCCCCCCCCCCGTGGGGGGAGTACAGACGGGCCTCGACCCTGTGCCTTCCGCTCTTTGAACTAATACTCCTAGACGCCTGCCCTGAGTCACATCCACGTTAAGTATGACCATGACGTCACCTAACCCCGAATACCTGGGGTCAGGTGTTGTTGCCTCCACTGTTTTACGCTGTGTTCACGGAGCCTGTCCAAGTCCAGAGTAGGAGCCAGCGAACCGGAACTGGGACTGGGCACTGTCAGGCCAGGACTCTGGGCGCCGCTGCGGGGGCCTCACCCCTTCCACTCACTGGTGCCTCAGCAGCCCCTGCCCCCCAACACTGGTCCACGCCGTCCACCAGGGGTCCCTGCCCCCTGCCCGTCCCCCGTCCCCTTCTTTCTGGCCTCGACAGTTGACCTAATGTAACTTCCAAGGGACCCCACCGCGTCCCTACAACTCGTCGCTGTCTCCCAGCTCCTACACCCTCATTTTGCTCCCGGCCTTCCCTCCCCGAGGCTGCTCCCCACCACAGCAGGTCCAACCACTCCCTCCGTGGGGCTTCCCGTGCTGCTCCGGCAGGGACGCTCCTCTGTCCGGGGTCGGCTCTTCGAGAAGCTCGCTCACGAGACGTTTCCATTAGGAGCTTTTCAATCCCTGAGTTTTTATGGTGACACGTTATTAGAGACGGTGCATGTTCTAATCACCTCCTCTTCACCCCTCGGGGATGATGTCTCGCCCCAAATAGTAGCAAACAGACCCACGGTATCACGTGACCTTTAAATTCATTTCTTTCCCATTACAATTTTTTTTTTTTTTTAATTTTAAGTGTTGGCTGTTGAGTGGTCACAACATTGGGAAGCCAGACAGCCCACTAGACAAGTCGTTTGCCTCGCTGGGTTCGATCTGCGCTCGGACAGACATTTGGCAGAGAGAACATGCTCATTTAAACATTCAGTGTTTTAAAAAACGAACTATGTGGATTTTACTTGGTTCTGGACGTAAATGCTTCTCTCGCATATCTTCAGGGGAGAGAGACACACCTCAAAGGACGGTCTTTTGAGAAACCTTGTGATTTTCACGCAGCATGACATTTTCGCGGAGGACGTCTCCTCCCTGCATCTCGTGTGTGGCGGAGTCACTGACCTGGGAACACACAGCCCTGTGCGTGGCCTGACCCCTCCGGCCCTCGCGACTTGGAGGCAGATGTGGTGCAGGGAGCTCGTTTCGGGGGACTCTTAGCGGCTTAAAATGAGGCTGAAGCCGGTAGCACTGGCTTGAGGCTAGCAGATCTGATGAGTTAGGTGATAATCTGCAAAGAGCGTTTAGACCGTCCGCGTGGACCGTCCCCGTGAAACCGACGCAGAGATGGGGAGTCCTCAGTGAGACGCACAGGCTGGCGCCACCCGACAACTCAGATAAACCGCAGAGAAGCACCGCGGTGGGCACGTCGGCCCTTCACAGAGCTGACGGTCTCCACTGTGTCCACTGAGACGGGACGGTGGGAGTCCGCGGGTCGGAGGTGCTGGTCTGGGTGGAGATGCCGGGGCTGGGGCTCCCAGAGGACCGAGGGCGCCAGGTGGTGGCCGACCTCATGTTCTGCCCCAGCCCCTGAGTAGTGCCAGGCTTCCCTGGGTTTACCTCCGCGGACACGTTTCTGTCCACGTCGTACGGTGTCCACGCAGTCTCGTGTGACTCCTGCAGGCAGGACTGTCACGTTGGCTCGTCGACTTGGCGGCACGGTGTGTCCTGGGCGGCACCCAGCGTGTGGTCACCAGCGTGTGACCCTGGAGGTGGCGGGGCTCGGAGGGGCCATGTTTGCAAACGCAGCAGGCAGGGCAATCTTTAGGAGAATCTCACCTCCCCAGCTCCTTGCGTGTCCATGGACGACGTGATTTTGGGGCCGTGTCCCTGTGCCCGTTTAGTTTCTGGGGTCCCTGGGTCATCCCATGGTAGGGGTGCACAGACACACCGAGCTGATGCTGCTCCAGACAGAGGGACACTCAGACAGATGGACTGTGTGTCACCTGCGTGGGCGCAGCCCCTGGACGGAAGGCCGCAGTGACCCCACGGAGGGGTGCGTGGCTCCTGTGACACAGCGGACACTCACGCAGATGGAGAAGCAAGGCGGCGGCAACACCAGAGAACAGGGACAGGTGCTCTTCCAGGTTCAGGTGTGACGCTGCTCAGGGCTCAGCCACGGACAGCGGCCTGGCACAGGTGCGCACACCTTTGTCGGGGGCCAGCCACGAGGACAGAGCAGCCGTGGACGTCAGCGGCCGCGACCTACACGGTCTGGCTGCAGAGGAACTGGGAAGAAACGCCTTCCCCTCCTCCATCATTCCCGGTTTACCCCCTGAGAGCGGACCCTGTCCCTCTCCCGCGGTCCTGCTCACCTCGCGCTCTTCCTCCCCTCCCCGGGGGCGAGCTCGGACCAGACGCTCACAGAGCCTCCATGTACAGACGGGGTCTCCCGTGAGCCCAGTGTTCCCCAGGGGAAAGGGGTGTCCGACTGACTTCCAGGGAGCTGGCGGGTGACGTTAGGAAGGTGCCGCACTGCAGGTCTCGGTGACCTTTCCACCCCTTTCTCCGGGGCAGAAACCACCGGGTGACGCCCCTGCCCCCCACACCACCCCTCCGTGCGTTTCCGTGTGAACTGCTTGGGAGCAGCGCGGGGAAGCCGGGGGGTCTCGGTGCAGGGGCAGAGGTGTGTGGGTGTGTCTGGGGCTGTGCAGGGGCCGGGGACGGCGCCCCGTGCACAGCCTGTCTTAGGTGAGGCAGCCCCAGCGCGGGGTAACCGGCCTCTCCGCCTCCCACAGAGCGGCTACACGCCCCTGCACCAGGCCGCACAGCAGGGACACACGCATGTCATCAATGTGCTGCTGCAGCAGGGCGCCCGGCCCGACGCCACCACCACGGTAAGGCCCGGGCCCCCCCCACCCTCCCACCGCGCCCCTGTGGGCTGCCTCTGTGCCCCAGTCCCCTCCCACTCGGGGGCCCCGTGAAGGTGACGTCCCGTCCTGTCCCCACAGCCCTGCCCAGCCCTGGAGGCTCAGCCTGTGGCTTCTTCCACAGAGTCCACCCGTCTCGTGTTCGGTCTCCCCTTTCCCTGCTGCCTCCTACGTCCCGCACGGCTGTCCTTCCCAAAGCACCTGCTTCTCAGGAGGTGTCCGAGGGGGACAGCTTCCGTCTGTCCTTCTGCCCCCGCGATGTTTCGGGCTGAACAGAACAGGGTGTCACAGGCCCCCCCCCCGAAAAGAGCCCCTGCCCAGGACCCAGCGCTGGGACGCTGGGGCTGGCAGAGGGCACAGCCCACGTGGTCTGGGGACCGGGCCAGGCTCAGGCCCTGGCGCTGGGGGCCCAGCCCCCTCTGCTGGCTTCCACCTGGCTGGGGTGCAGAGCCATTGAGATGCAAACCAAGGGGTGTGATTCACCCCCAGGGCCCCCCACCGTGAGCGGCACAGTGAGCTTCTGCTCAGCCCTCCTTGTCCCCGGGTGTGTGACTGCTGGGGGGCTGCCCTTGGGCAGGAAGGGGCACTCGGGGTGCTCCGGCGTGGAGGCGCCCCCTCCGGGCACTGCAGTGCTGGCCGCAGGCTGACCACCCAGGGGTTAAGCCGCCAGCGCTTCTCGTCAGGGAGAGCAGGCAGATGCAGCGTGTTGTGTTGCCATGGTGACCTGCGCTCCAGGCTGGAGAAGTTACCAAGACGCTTTCCGACGGAATTGGTGACACCCAGTGGTTTCCTGGGCTGTGCCTGGCGCTGGGGAGGCGCTGGCTCCTTCAGCGGTGAGCTCACAGGCTGTGTTCTCCCCCCTCCCCTCCCCCTCTCGCTCAGAATGGCAACACTGCCCTGGCCATCGCCAAGCGGCTGGGCTACATCTCGGTGGTCGACACGCTGAAGGTCGTGACGGAGGTCACCACCACCACCACGGTGAGTAGGAGGAGCCCCCGCTGGGCTCCCACGGCGCCCGAGTTGCTGTCCTGAGCTGTTTGGGTGGGTCTCCTGTGGGGCCGCAGACACACTGTGCTCACACCCTGGGCCGAGGCTCCAGCCCCGAGTCAGCAGATCCATGTGGAAAGTGTGAGTGTGGCTTAGAGCGCGCGGCCCCCTCTCTGTGGCCGAGTCCTGTGTGCTGCTCCTCTGCCCTCCTGCCGTGGCGGGTTGACCCCAGCTGCTGGCCGAGCGGCTGGGCGGTCCCAGCAAACTTCCGTCTGAGCGGAGGGGACCCAGGCTCAGAAAGGCCCCGGTCCCTGCTGTGCTCACAGCTGGTCTGGAGGTTTCCGGTGCGGACAGCTCCTCCTCACAGCCTCTCTGTTTCCGATTACTTTCTATTCAGACAGAACACGGAGTGCCGTGCGCAGGGAGATGGTGTTTGTCGAGACAGCGCACATTGGCAATGTTCTCCGTGTGCACTGACTGGGTAGAGCGGCGGCCGGTCTGTACGGAGGGGGGTGCCGTAGGCTCCGCCGAGGGCCTGGAGGAGTGCGGAGCAGAGAGGGTGTGAGCGTCCGGGGCCTGCTGTCCCGAGCGAAGCTTGGGCACCTCCCGGTGCCATTTCTTTGCATTGACTTGTTGGTGACTCTTCCGAAGCTGCGAACCACAGCCCGGGGGCTTGTTGGTGACGTGGACACAGGGTGCTGGGTGTCCAGCGGGACGGTGCATCGAACTCTGCGGATGCGGAGTCTGGAGCAGGGCCGGCACCTGGCCCGAGCCTGGGCGGTGCGCGTCTCGGATGTGGCGGGAGAGTGAGGACAGAGGCGTGTGTTCCCGAGGTGGCAGCACCCGGTGGCAGGCGGTGGGGGTGCAGTGTGGCCTTGACACCTGGTCCTGAGTGGAGGGAGCATCGCTCCTGGACAGGGGTGTGTCCAGGTGCAGGAATCACAGGCTTCTTCTCTCGGGGGAGTTGGAGGCCGGTGGCCGGCGTGCCACAGTATTTTGAAAGATTTTAAAAATATCCTCATGTGAACATTTGTTTTTATTGATTTTCGAGAAAGAAGAAGGGAAAGAGAGAGAGAGAGAGAGACTTCGACTGGTTGCCTCCCATACATGCCCCAACCCGACCGGGAACTGAACCCTCAACCTTTTGGTGTGCAGGACGACACCCCAACCAACTGAGCCGCCGGCCAGGGCTGTTTTTAGAGACGGAAAGAGAAGTTTCTTCACCACGTTACGTAGGAGAAAGACAGGTCTGGTTCCCTCTGAGGCCGACTCTGAACAGCTTTCCTTCCTCTCTGGGGCCTCATCCCAGGACAGTCTCTGTGTCGGGGGCTTTGTCCTACTTGGCACCTCGGGACAGTGCCCACCCCAGGCGAGCAAAGCTGCGCCCCGGCGTCTGCACTCCCACCGGGTGCCCACAAGAGGGCGCTGGCGTCCATGTTGTATCTTGTGGTTTTCTCTGCGGTTCCTGTCAATCCACCTGTGAGGTTCTGGGTGTAGAGCAGTGCAGGGTTCTGAGCTGAGGGGCGGTCAGTGGGGGAGACACCGCCTCTCCCCACAGCAACTCCAGGGGTGGTGTGGGGGGTGAACCAGGTTCTGTAAGAAAATCTTCAACTGAACCAAACGACAGGACGGGCCTGGTCTCTTCCTAAGGGATCGCAGGCTCGGGTATCGCTGGGCGTGAGGGACCCCAGCACACAGCCCACGTTTGGAACGAGGGGCCATCAGCTTTCTAAATGCTGGTGCTGACAGGTTCTCAGGTTCCCGTGAGGTTGCTGACAGCCAGGTCTCAGGCACCTGCTCCAGGGGCGTGCAGACTCTCCGAGCTCTCCGGGGGCTGTTCATGTGAGAAGCTAACAGATGCGGGGCCCCTGGTGCGCCTGCTCCAGGGGGAGCCCGGCCCGGGGCAGCCGCGCCCTGGCTGTGGTCTGACGGTCCCTGCCTTGACTTCCTGCTGCTCTGAGGGCCAGTGCTGCCCTTACGGTCGTGAGTTGTACTGTTTTGTGAAATGGAGTCTGGGGTTCGGAATAGAAAACGACGAACTTCTTTCGTTCTGTCGTGTGGTCTTCCTCCTCGCCGGTCCTCTCTTTGGGAAGAGATTCTCACCCACGACAGTAGCTCATACTTAGTGGTCACAGATGTGCAGGATTGAGGGCACACCTAGGATCCCGGGCTGTTTGTCAGATTCCTAAGGCCACGTGCGTGACCCTCTGACGTGCAGTAAAACTTGCTTAACAGGAACTATGCAAAAGACACGTTTTCACCTGATTTTCTGTTTAAGGAAACCCCTCTTCCGTGGTCCCTCTACTGATTTTCACGGAAACATCACGTCTAGTGTCACTTTCAGAAGACTCACAGAATCACCCAAATCACTGGGAGCTCCTTACGGGTGACAGGCAAACAGCACGAGACAATTTAGTGATTCTGTGAAATTAATAGAATGAAATGTAACGTTGCCACCATTCGAATGGAATACCGGCCGGCAGCGGCCCCGCTGACACAGACACCATTGGAGCCATAGCACGTGCCTTTGGGCCACCGCCTGGGCTCTGCCCCAGCGAGGGTGGTTTCCGGGGCTGCTCAGCCTGGGGGGTCTTCACCCAAAGTGTGAGGGGCCTGTGCAGGCGGGGGCCGGGCAGAGCTGGTGCAGGAAAGGTGCCGCTGAGCTGGCTCACGCATCTGGAGTCATGGCCTCATGGCCGTGTCTGTGACCTTTGCCCCCTGCGACCCGGTGGGGCGGGGGGGCTCACTCCTGGGGCAGGCCCACCGTCTGCAGGGACGTCAGAAACAGGGCTCATTTCCCGCAGCGGAAGCAGGAGATGGGTCTCCCCGGGCGGCTGGGAGGGTGACTTCGGCCGCTGCCGACTGGTCGGCTCCATCGCGATCTGTGTGACTTGTGGGATGTTTGGTCGCAGGTTGTGCCCCTGGGCTCTCTGACAGGTAGAGCAGACATAACCCAAGGAGCTGCTAGAATCGCGTTTTATTTTATTTGACGAGACTAGATTGTCGTTTAAATATTGGGGAATTTTTTGACAAGCAGTTAAGAAAACGTGAATATTCAAAGTTCTGAATCTTCCCCTGGATGAGCCAGTTAAGGCGGATCAGACGCCCGCGGTAAATTCACGCCCGCCCCTCAGGCAGCACCTCCGGGGGCGGAGTCGAAGGTTCTCCCTGACTCCAGGTCCCTTGATGAGCAGGCTGGGTGTCTGTTTGCAGACATGGTGTCGCTGACGCTCTGTGCGCTGTGCGTGCCCTGTGACGTCACATCGGAGAGATGGTCACCGATCCCGGGCACCGTTATCCTAAAGAGATGGGGAACTGGGAACGGAACTTTTAACTTTTGACATAATTTTCTTCAGGTCAGTAACATCTCATAGTGAAGCTCAAAGACGCAGGCACCCTGTTCCCTGTGGCCCGGCGGCCTGTGGGGAGGCTCACTCTTATTTCGAGAGATCCACTGTTTCAAGTCCCCGACAAGGCCCGTGGGTGAGCCTGAAGCAGCTCGCGGCCGGCGGCGGCCTCTCCGAGTGTCTGCCGGGCCGGTGACCCAGAAGCTCAGAAGCTCATCGTCAGATTAATTTAATACTGAATTGCAACAGTAACAATCCGCTAGCTGATACGTACTGAGTACCAATGTACGCCAAGCACTGTCCTTAGAACTCTTGGATATATTATTTCATTTACTCTTGATAACAATTTTGAGGAGTATTATTGTCCCCGTTTCACAGATGAGGAAACCGAGGCACAGAGCAGTAAGGGGGCGAGCTAAGTCTCGCAGCTAACAAACAGGGAGGTTTGAATTGGAGCCCAGGCAGCCCCTCCAGAGCCTGGTCATCCCCACCCTGGACGGTGGCCATGGAGGCCGTGAGCGTGGCCATGTGGGCCATGAGCGTGGCCGTGGGGGCCGTGAGCGTGGCCGTGGGGGCCGTGAGTGTGGCCGTGAGGGCCGTGAGCGTGGCCGTGGGGGCCGTGAGCGTGGCCGGGGGGGCCGTGAGCGTGGCCGGGGGGCCGTGAGCGTGGCCGTGGGGCCGTGAGCGTGGCCATGTGGGCCGTGAGCGTGGCCATGGGGGCCGTGAGCGTGGCCGTGGGGGCCGTGAGCGTGGCCGTGGGGGCCGTGAGCGTGGCCGTGAGGGCCGTGAGCGTGGCCGTGGGGGCTGTGAGCGTGGCCGGGGGGGGCCGTGAGCGTGGCCGTGGGGCCGTGAGCGTGGCCATGGGGGCCGTGAGCGTGGCCGCGGGGGCCGTGAGCGTGGCTGTGCAGGCCAGGGGCAGCTGTGAGGACCCCAGGTCCCCTCCTCCGGGGCCTCTGACCCCAGAAGACACGTTTTCTGCCCAGACAGTTGACATCTTTCCATTGTTTACAAGGTCTTTCCCAGTGGTGGTGTTTTTAATAAACGGCATATGCTCATGGCTTTTTTCTAAAGCTTTTCTGGAGACACGACTCGGGCTGTTTCAGGGAGGCCCTGGGCACAGCACACTCCCTGCTCAGCATGACTCACGCTCAGGCCGTCGCTCACAAGTGTGTTTCGAGTGGGGACTTGCTACAGGCTCGCCGGACACGTGGCCTCCATCCTCAGGAGGAAGACCACAGAAACGCTTCCAGGACGGGACTTCGGGGCCCGGCGCTGAGTCTGGGCTCCTCTGGGCTCCGAGCCTTTGTTAGGTTTTTTATTTTCTTTTAGCTTTATTGATTTTCTTTGCAGACTATCACTGAAAAACACAAGCTGAATGTTCCAGAGACGATGACGGAGGTGCTGGACGTGTCTGACGAAGAAGGTGAGGCCCCTTTCTGTCTCCTGCGGCCTCGGGCCTGGGCCCCAGGGTCGCCGTCCTGTCTTCCGGGCTGGCTGGGCCGTGGGTGCCGATGGCGCATCTGAACTTTAAAGCCATGTTCCACCTTTGTCTCAGTACGTTGGCTTTGCTGTTCGGGGAGGGGTTCTGGTGATGTGTTTTCAGCCGCTGTCATCTTTACTGTCTCACTAAATAATGGGCCCAGGAAGGGGGAAGGACGGGATTCGGACACCTGTTAAAACATCTTCCTGGTAGTACCATTATGAACATACGGTTTTATTATGATGAGGTACTTTTCCTATCACAATGCCTCAGATGAAAAGCTCTCAGAGTATACACTCCCGATGGTACGTTGAGAAAGCCCTGCTTTCGGACTGGTTCGGACTGGTTCAGACGAGCAGAGTATATTTTATATCCAGAGGAAAAGAGCGTAGAGGTTAGAAGCAGCACAGCGGTGAGTCAGACTGATTCCACGTAAGCGTGTATTTTTCACGTCAGGACGCACATCTCTGTGGCAGAGCTGACGCCACTGTGCGCGGTGGTGAGTGTCAGGTCCGAGCAGCCTCCTGCTCGGCCCGGGGCAGCGTTGGGGGCGCCCCACCCCACTGCAGCTAGACAGGTGACTGCTCTTGAACGAAAAAGCCTGCGGCTGTACAGCCACTGTCACAGCCCTAAACCACGCACGGCCAGTGTCCGAGCGCTGCGCCCGCCGTGCCGGTCTGGGAAGTGAGGACCGCACCGGCCCGGACGGCTGCTTCTGCGGAGACACAGTCGCAGTGTTTCTTTAGGTCCGCGAGGAGGTAAAACCCGACCTGGAGATGTCAGTTGGGAACCAGTTTAACTTCCCTGCTGGGCAGAGCTCAGAGCTGACTCAGCTTTTGTAAGAACCGATGACAGAAACAAACAGAAGCCGGTCAGCGTGTCACTGTGGGCTCCCAGCAGCCATCAGTCCTCTGGGACCCGCCCGACACTGGCGGCTGGGTGCCCGCCCTTCGTGTGCGCCGCCCGGTGTTTCCCGGGGTCACCTTGCTCACCCTCACCCCTGTGTCGAACAGCTTTGAAACAGTCTGGTGGCCACGCCGCGGACGGGGAAGCTCTTACTGACTCAGGTACCTTCCGAGGAGACGGTTGGAGTGAGCGTTTCCTTCGCTTTCCGTGTTTCTCAGCGCGTGGCAGCTGCGTGCGCTAACCGCTGCTCTGGAATCGCGCGTAACCCGGCGAGCTGTGTGTGCGTGTGTTGGCGGGCGTGGATTTTACTAGCACAGAAGCTTGACGCTGCGACTCACGTGTGCTGCTGATTTCGCCACGATGCGGAGCCATGTTAACAGAGTTCAACATCCGTGGACGTTGTACCGGTGTTCCCCCACGACTAGTGTGTCTTCTTGGAACGCACATTAGAGAAAAGGTGGCGCTTGGCTAGTGGCCGCTGAGCTGGCAGGGACGTTAGCGGCCAAGCCAGACTGCACTTCACGCGCTCTCGGGCGGAGACCTTCCTGCTGTGGCTCAGAGGGTGTTAGGTGGTCGCTCGTGACGCATTCTGGGGCAAGTGCGCTGCAGGTTTAAATAATCTTCCAGGCCATTTGCGAAGGGACCATGATGTACAGCTTGTTTTATTTATTTATTTTATTCCTCACCCGAGGCTATTTTTATATTTGTCATCAGCTAGAGTGGGAGGGAGGGAGAGACAGAGAGAAACCTCGACATGGGAGGGACACATGGACTGGCTGCTTCCCGCACGACCCGACCAGGGCCAGGGACCAGCTGCGACCAGGGTGCATGCCCTTGACCAGCGTCAAACCGCGATGCATTGGTCCGCGGGCCGACGCTCCCACCGCGGAGCCAAACCAGCCAGGGCCCAGCTTGTCTTCTGCGGCGAAGCCTGCTTCCCCCAACCCTCCCCTCTTCGTCTGTGAAAGTGGACGGAGTCTTCCCAGACATGAACAGAACTCATACGCTTCTTTCCGAAATGATTTAGGCTTCTAGCCAACCAGACAGCGCCCGTGCTGTGTGGGCCGACCCCCAGTGAGGCTGCTAGAGCCCGTTCCCTCCGAGCGTCAGGGAAAGGCACCCCGCGTACTTGTCCTCGCAAAGACCTACAGGGTATGCGAGAAGGGGCACAGTGAGACGGAGACGGTGGGCCTCCGCGGCGTCATAAAGTGTCGGAGCCCCCGACCCGGCCCCTTGTTCAGACACCCGCTTTCTCCCGGGGTGTGGCCACGCCCCCCAACACGAACGCTGGGTGTGGCCGAGTCTCTCCACGTAGGTGACACTCCAACAGCAGCCACGGTCCTCCCTCTCGGCCGTGTGATGCTGTGACCCTGACACACTGCTCACCTGGAACCTGCCCCCCATCAAAGCTGCACCCAAACACACGAGCACCCCCAGCTTCTTCGGCGAGCCCTGCTCCAGCTTCGCTGGGACCTTCTGGGACGAGCAGCACCCATGTGGCGGCTCATTTCTCCTGTCACCGCTCCGGAGGCCTGGGGAAGGGCCTTTCCCGAGTCTTTCTGCTCCTGGGGTCACCAGCGACCCTGAGTTCCTTGGCCTCACACGCCCCCTGCTCTGTCTCCTGCAAGGACACACTCCCGGGTCGACCCAGTTTGACCGCATCTCAGTGTTAATCTCGGGCTCATTGCATCTGCAAAGCCCCTGTCTCCTGATAAGACCACCTCCTGAGGTCCCCAGGGGACACCATCCTGAGTGACCTCTGCCCCCTCGGACCTTGTGGGTCATTCACGGTGACCCACCTCAGTGCATGCGTGTTCGCCCGTGTTGTTGTGTGTGTGTGTGTGTGGCTGGCGTCACTGTTGCATCTTGTCGACTTGAACAATATCGGCTGTGAACCAGCTGCGACCGTAAGGGACCGAGTGACGGCCGGAGTGGGCGCCGCCGTCCCGCATCCCCTCCTCCCGGTAAGTAGCAGAAGCGCCGGCCGGCTCTCGATTCTCTGAGTGTCGCGCTCTCAGCACACCTGCCGTGCGTTCCTCTGGTGTGCGGGCCGGGGACGCGCCTGCCCCTCTGGTGTCCTCGGCGGTAACTGCCTCCTCATTCGCAGGCGACGACACCATGACGGGGGACGGCGGGGAGTACTTGCGGCCGGAGGACCTGAAGGAGCTGGGCGACGACTCCCTGCCCAGCAGCCAGTTCCTGGACGGGATGAGCTACCTGCGCTACAGCCTGGAGGGCGGCCGCTCCGACAGGTACTCGCACGGCCGGCCGGTGGGCACAGCTCGCTCCCGTTCCGAGAGCCAAGCAGACTCGTGCTCAGAGTCACGGACCCCCTCTCGGCCCGAGCGGGTCTGTCCTCTCACAGCTCACGGGAGGGGAACCGAGGCCTCGGGGAGGACGTAACTTACAAAACCGACAACTGGTGGGCAGCAGAGAGACGTCCACTTAGACCGAGGTTTTCCTCACCTGCCCCCTCCCCCCAGCCGGACAGACGGGTCGGTGTCGCCCTGTGGGTGCTCTGAGTCCCTGGTTTTACTGCGAGCACCCCGCTCTCTGTGAATGAGGCATGTCGTAAAGGACTTATAGGTCGTAAAGGGCGTAAAGGGCGTAAAGGTCGTAAAGGTCATAAAGGACACAGATTCAGAAGAGGCAGAGCAACAGCCCAGACACAAAACGTGACCTGAGCCAAATCTGGAGGAGCCCAGCCTTACAGGCAGGTCTGGGGGTGTCCGACCCCCCGTCAGCGCTGTTTTTGTCTATCACAACGGGCGGTCATGCCCCGAGGCCGGCTGAGGACAGCCCGGCGCCCCATCCAGAGCAGGGAGGCTTGCGGGGCGTCCCCAGAGGGTGATGTCTTCCGCTGATCAGTCACCTCGGCTTTGAACTCCCCTCTCGGCGCCTCTAAGAAATAAATGCCCCGAAGGGGAGTCACTGCGAGAGAGCACCAAGGAGCAAGCTTCCCCTGGGCACCCACATCCTCTCCCCACAGTTCTGAACCAGTCAGGGTGCCCGTGCCCGGCCTCCTGGGCAGGTGCTGAGGGGGCGCCGCAGGTGCAGACGGAGTGAGATGTGCCGGCTGAGGTCCCAGCCCAGGGGGGGAGGCCAGGCGGGGGTGCAGGGTGCCCTGGAGCCCAGGCTCAGGCTGACGGCAGCGGGAGGTGGTGGTGAGGAAGGGCCGGGATGCTCTGAGGCCTGATCCGACCAGACCCGGGGTCCTGGCGTGTGCGAGCCGGCGCTGCCCCGGTCTGGGGGTGGGTGAAGGAGCGAGTGGTGTCTGCAGGTTGGGGGACCCCTCTGACAGGGGGAGAGGACGGTTTTACAGGACAGACGTTGGGGGGGTCAATCCGGCAGGTCTTCCCTCTGGGAAACCACTGCCGTGATGCAAGCTGGGGCGCAGACTTGAACTCTGACCTCGGGGCACACAGTCTAGGGGGAGTTTGAAAACTGGCCAGGAGTGGGGAGGTTAGATTGACCCCAGGCTTCGATGACTCCAAGAGGGGGTGTCCTTGGGGTCAGGATGCCGGAGGAGCCCCTGGGGGGCTGGTGACAGGGCTGTGCTCTAGGTAGTGAGTCTGACACACTGATAGCTTGGGACCTCACTCTGAGATTCTTTTTTTTTTCTTTATTGATTTTAGAGAGAGAGGAGGGGAGAGGGAGAGAGAAATAAATCATTGATGAGAGAGAACATTGATCGGTGGCCTCCTGCGTGCCCCTCACTGGGGATCAGGCCCACAACCTGGGCATGTGTCCCGACCGGGAATCGAATGGTGACCCCTTGGTGCAGGGTCGACGCTCAACCACTGAGCCCCACCAGCCGGGCGAGAGATTCTTTTTTTTTTTTTTTGGTACGTGCCCCTAGCGGGAACCGAACCCAGGACTCTCTGGTCCACAGGCCGACGCTCCAACCACTGAGCCGAACTGGCCAGGGGCCGGGTGATAGATTCTTCTTCAGATTTCAGTCGAGCGAAGGGCTGTGGCTGCTCCCGTTCCCGAGCCCGTGAGCCGCCACGTTCTGTCCGCCTCAGAGCTTCCTTTATTCATGTCTCTCATCAAACACACGTGCTCAGTCCGATGCCCTTTCCTTGCCCGGAGTGCTCGGTGTGAGAGGCCTGCAGACCGACGGTGTCTGTGAAGTGGGGCGCTGGGGTGGGGGTTCCGCCTCCACGGAGCAGACGGGTCGGGGGGCGTGCGAGGCGGCTCGTGGTCTGTCTCCAGCCCTTTGCTTCCCCAGCACCGAGGTGGTCACTGCCTCCTGCCGGGATGACAGGCACAGCCCGTCTTCACGGTCGTCTTGTTGATTTTTAAAGTTTTGCTTAGACCGTTCGGTATGTCACTGGGTTTTGGTAACCACTTTGCCTTCTCGTTATGTCTTCATCTGGTGTGCCTTCCGTAGCACGGTGCCCAGGTAGGTAACCCGCAAACACGGCCCTCCCGGTCCCCCACGTCCCCCGCTCCCTGCTTCGTGGGCTGCCTGTGTGTGCTGTGTCTGTGGGGTGCTTGTAGCCTAGGGTTAGGATTTATTCTCCAAGTAGGGTCTTTGTGTGTTGAGCTGAGTAATAGCTTGGGCTGGACTGAAAGCTAGAACCAGCCCCGCATGACGTCTCGGGCCGCAGCGCCCCCTGTGGCTGGGGAAACATCAGCCCGGCTTCCCGGAAGGAGCCGATAGCCAGGAGCAGTTGCAGGTGATGGACGCCCGTGCTGCCCAGCGTGGACCTGGTGCAGGAAAGCGGAAGCAGGCCCCACTTCCTGTGCTCGGGACAGAGACAGCCACTGGCTGCTCGCTCCAGGTCCTGTGATTGGTGCTCACGGACTCAGAGCGCTGCCCAGTTCAGACACAACCACGGACGCGTTTCCCTGTGTTCGAGCAGACACGTGGCACGTTCTAACGTGTCCTTGTTCCGTGGGGTTTGAGGGCTCCGCCAATGGAATGTCTAAGGGATATTAGCCATCACGACGCTTCTCAGTGAGGCCGTGGACCTCACTGTCTGCAGAGCCGTGTGCCGTGGCGAACACGCACACACTCAGACCACGGGCTTTCGGCGTGGCTGCCCCGTGGCTGCGTGTTCCCGCAGGCGTGCCCGTGAGCACGGCCTCTGGCTGAAGGGGAACGTGACCCTCGATCGCAAAACATTTTAAACTTGTCACGTCTCTAATCAAGCGGCTCGTTTCCGGGCCCCGGCGTGAGCTGCGGCAGACTCCTGTGCTGGGCCGCTTCCCTCCGAGTCCTGCGCCGCAGGAATACGCGAACGTGGTTGCATCTGAGCAGGTTCTGTAAGGAAACAGGAAAAGACGAGCCATTAGAAGCCAGGAACAGGGCCTAAGTAAGTGGTCAGCGTTGCAGAGGCAGCATCAGCGAGAGTAAGTCCTGGGGTAGAGACGGGCAGACATGGACGATGCGTTCACTCTTCCCCCAACGGTTCTCCGGGTCTGCAGGTCCTTCCCCCCACCCTGACCCCGTCCCCTTCTGCCCGCTCCCCTCTCCCTGTGGTCCTTCCCCGGGAGCTTCGGGAAGACAGGAAATACAGCCACCTCCCTCTGCCCAATTGGTTCAAAACCCGTGGGGAGCCTGGCCGGCAGTCAGGCAGGGGGGCACTGATAGCAGAAGGAGCTCCTCGTTCCTGGCGTGGCCCCAGACCTGGCCGCCGTCTGTCAGAGGTTGGCGGGCGATGCCAGGTCTCCGGGTCAAGCGGGGGCTCCTCATGGGCCGTTCGGGTGGCTCCCACCCCCTGCCCGTGTCTAGTGCTCCTGGGCCAGGTCTGCCTGGTGACAGCGTGTCCACCGGGGCTGAGGGGCAGGCGTTCTGTCCTGCCCCAGTGTCTGCAGCTCCGTCACCTGGAGAAACCAGCACCTTTCAGTGTGTGAAGTCACAGCCTGGATCTGTGCGTGCCAGAGGCACAGAGAGAGGTTGGAATGAACACGCCGGAGCCTCGGAGAGCTTGGTGGGGGCTGGGTGAGCTCAGGGACAGCCCTGTCATTTTAGGAGGCTGATCCCCTCCCCCCATTGTTGCCTCTGCCTTGGCCCAGTTCTAACCAAAGTGAGGGGTGTAGGACTTCAGGGCCTGGAACAAAACCCATTCAAGCAAATCTCAAGGATCTTTGTGGTTTAGAGCAGGAGAAAGAAACATTGTTCAGCCCCTGGAGGGAGACAAGAGTTGCTGAGATTAAAGACCTTTCCCCCATAATTTAACCCCATCCTCAAATTCAAGGTCAGGCCAAGGTTCCTCACTGTGTACTTCGCCCCCCGATGAGGTGCACCGTTGAAACGCAACGCACCGTACAACCAGCCAGAGTGGGGCTGCCTCTGATGGCCGGGCCCTTGGTCTTCACCGGGAGCCCACAAAACATGAGAGTGAATCCCCACCCTGTGTCTGGGTCTTACCTCATCGCAGACACAGGGGCGTGTACTGTGAACGCAGGATCAGGCGAGCCGGGCCTCTGGCCCGCGCTGCACTGTCCCACTCGGGGTCTGTGCGGGCGAACACCGGAGCCCCGCGGGGAAGGCCCTGCTCTACGGCCGGCAACACGCCCCCCTCGTGAAGATGTGGGTGTGCGGTTGACGTAGGCACATTTGCAAAATGAGAACAGCTGCTGCTGACAAATTCGCTGACTGCCGTGTCGTCCGTGGCTCTCCGAGCCACGCTGGCCACGTGCCTACCGTGGCTTCTGTAAAACCGTGAGCGCGAGTGGGCTCTTCACATCCCCCGTGGGCTTTGGGCTGATGTTTTGAATATAGATCTTTTAAAACTCGGACGGCCGTGCGTGAAACACGGCGTATTCACGCTGCCCCCGGCTGTCGTTCGAGCGACGGGGACGGGACGAGGGCACGCCCATGGGAAGGCCCGGCTTTGCCCAGTCCGCTGGAGGGTGGAGTTCAGGACCTGAGATTTGGGTTTCACAGGATGAAGCAGCAGGGGTCAAGGCCTGAACCCCAGGGGATGTGTCATCGCTGCCGTCTGCTTGGCGCTGGCTGACGTGTCTGGGTCTGGGGTGCCTGGGTCATCGCCACGGCGACAGCACGCGCACACGCTTCGCTCCGCACAGGACATGCCGCGGCGGCAGACCAGCTTCCTCAGGAAGCCTGCATGCGGCCGCGTCCATGTCTGTGCCGTCCAGGGGGCCCCTCACTCCGGGTCCCAGCACGGTGCAGGCGGCGGGGGCGGGGGAGCCCGGCTTTCGTCCTGTCCGGCCGCGGCCGGCTGTTTCCGACTGTTTCTCAGTCCCGGGAGATTCTCATTGGCCCAGATTCTGGTGCTCTGTCCTGGAGTTATTTCCTGCCTGAGTTTCTTGCGCCGGGCGCCCCGTTCAAACCGTTCTGGGAAGGACAGGAGTCAGATCGGAGGATCAGATTCTGACTTCTGGGCTCCCTGGGGCCCCTGCCATTGAGTGGCAGAGCCGGGCAGAGGGTGTGTCCGTGGTGTCCGTGCGGGTGACGCCTGCCGTCCGCCCCTGCACCGCGGCTTGTCCCCTGGAGGGTGCCGGCAGCTAACTGCACGCTCTCTTCACTCCCTGCTCGGCGGCACCTTCTCCCACCCCGCTCCGCCGTGGGCACGTGACCACGGCCGCCTGCTCACCCGCCAGCCTCCGGTCCTTCAGTTCCGACAGGTCTCACACCCTGAGCCATGCCTCCTACCCGAGGGACAGCGCCATGATCGACGACGCCGTGGTGATCCCCAGCCACCAGGTAGGCGACCGCCGCCGCCCTCACTGCCCGTCACCCGGCACCGACGGTGTCCGGGGAAAGCCGTTCAACCTGAGAAAAGCAGTCATGTTGGTTCAGGCCAGGGTAGGGAGCTGAGGGAGCTTCTGACACAGGAAAGCCGTTCCCTAGCTTTCTCGGGGAGCAGGGTTCTCCCGAACGAACGGTCTGCTCGTTGCTCCCGTGGTTCTGCGTCTCCCTGTGGAGATGAGCCGTGCGGATGGGCTTCTCCGTGAGTGTGTCGGGGCAGGCGACAGCCCAGACGCCCTCGGGGTCTGAGACGCCAGGCCGGCTCCCAGGACGCCCCTCGGGGCTCAGAACTGGTGTCTGTGGAAGGGATGTCGGCTGGGCCGCAGCTGTGTGTGGACTGACTTTGTCAGTGTGCCTGGGTCTCCGGACCCCACGCCAGTGTGACCCGGTGCCAGCAGCCCAGTCCGCAGGGGGCATGAGGCAGAGATGCGCGCTGAGCACCATGTCGACCGGAAGGTTGTCCGGGCGGGACCACCTCTCTGGGGCAGTGTCAGCGCCGGCTGCATCTCGATCTCAGGGGAGACATCACTGAACCCAGTGTTCTTTGTGCCCAGGTGGCAGCTCTCGCCAAGGGGGCGGAGAGGAGCTCGTCCCGCCTCAGCTGGGGCGCCGAGAACCTGGACAATGTGGCCCTGTCTTCCAGCCCCATCCACTCCGGGTGAGTCGCTGGTGTCGTGTGTCCGGGTCAAGGCGGACACTGAGCCGTGAAAGTCGCAGCTTTGTCCGCAGGCTGTGGCCGGCGCGGGTTCACGGGACGCGTGACCTTTGTTTCAGCGTGTAAAGGCCGCGGCTCTGTCCCACACGGACCCCGTCTGCCCCACAAACCGGCGGGGAGGGTTCAGTTCCGCGCAGAAAGCCGACGCGTGTTAGAATAACTGGTAGACTTGCGTCCAGCGCTTGCTCACGGAGCAGGCTGTCCCTGAGACGTTGAAAGGACGGGCAGGGTGACTAGCTTTCCAGAGGGTTCTGTTTACGGAGATGAACCGACTGCGGATCAGTGCCCGTCCTCACACACGAATGCATCTAAGCCGGTGTTCGCGGGAGCTCGGGTCACCCGGAGGCAGAGCGGCGGTCCAGTCTGAGCGGGGACAGGGCAGCCGCGGGTTCTGTCCGCGCCGCTCCTCGGTGGCCACTGAGAAAGGCCGCCGTTCCCATGAGCTCACTAAGGGCGAGCTTATGATTTTATATATGAAGACTGATATATAAAATAATTTTACATATTAGTTAGGAATAATGAATAATGTCCAGCATCCCCCAAGGTGTTCTGAAGGTAAAGAGTTCAGTTCTGGAAACGTGAATCCACGAGGAGTTTTAAATCGCGGGAGTCTTCGCAACTGAATTCTCCCTCACCCCGTGGTAATGTCGTAGTTACACGTAAACCCTCAAAACGTTTGCTTACTGAGACACTTTCTAAAGCCCGACCCCTACGTCACCTAAATAAGCACAATCCTTGGGCTTAAATCATGATTCCGAGCTCCTTACGCATCAGCCCCAGAGGTTTGAGCTGTGGACCCTTCGTTTTAATTCTTCCAAAGTCCCCCTCTCGGGAGAGCGGTGTAAGAGCTGCCGTCAGACATTCTGCACCTCACCGTCCAGTCGTCTACGGAAGACCCGCGGGGCAAAGCTAGCTACAGGGCCAGAGAAAATCCTCCTCGTGCGCTTGTTCTTGTTAATACGGCAAAGCCGGTCAGTTCCTGGTGCAAGACAACTCGAGGGAACAGAAAGCAAACTAAACCTCGTCCAGGTTTATTTACGTCCTTCAGGTATAAAACGAGACGGTTAGACTCTGCCCTCCCTGCAAATTGCACACAGGGCACGTCTGCCGAGCTCCCAAACGGTGGTGACGAGGAGGAAGCACGCCCCCCCCCCCCCCGAGTGTGGCAGGTGGCAGATCAGACCCCGAAAGCAGTGTAGGCCAGCCCGTCCCCGGCGGGCAGAGTGAAGGGCTCTTTCAGCCACAATGTGATTTATTAATGGCCAGATTGACAACAGTCAAAGCCTAGAGCACTCGGCGGTGAAAGATGAATCACTTATTAAGACCAAGATCTTTAATCTTGGTCTCTAATAAACCAGTTTTTCTGTGAACGAGAACCATGATCACAGACTGAATGTTCTCAGTGCTGCTGAACGTTAGAATCACCCGGAGCCTTAGAATGCGGTGCCCAGGCCCAGCCCCCTGGCGGCAGCTTCTCTGTTGCTTCGGCCGTGGCATCAGTGATTCCTGCACGTGCCACTGGTCCAAACATGCACGCCCCACACAAACCGTTAAAGGGACCGACGTGGCCTCGCAAAGCTTTGGCCCCGTACGGTGGAGCCCTAACCTGCACCGTGTCCCTGGCACCGTGCTGAGTTCTGCCCGGGACCAGACCAGGTGCCAGGCGCCAGGGACCCAGGTAAGCAGGACTTGCCCTCCCTGGAGAGACTCACCTGACTGTTGTTGAAGCTGGAAGACAACCTGTGGACGAGAGAGAATGAGACGGTACCTTCGGAAGCAGACCCACCGGCCCAGACCCGGGCTCTGACACTCAGGGTGAGGTGCTGTGAGGTCAGAGTTTCTGTTCCCTTGTCTGGAAGGTGAATGTGATGTTATGGACCCCACAGGGGAACTCGAACGACCGCCAGCTTCTTAGGCAACTAGCATTTTGTCTAGAAAGGACAAGCACGGACAGATTCTGGTCTGTACTGACACTCCCCGCGTGCACGCACCTTCCAGACCCTGCGCGAGCCCCAGACCAGCTAAGCAGAGTGTGCGCTGACCCACCGCAAGGGCAGTGCCGATGGGCCCAGTCCCCGATGGGGCGCCTGCTCCCTGTTGTTACCGGTAGCCTGGCCTCTGGTAACGTCGCTGCTAGGTGCTGGACAGACAGACGCAAGCAGCGCAGGACTAACAGACGGACGTTCCCACCCAACGCTCGGCTCCCGCTGCCCGGTGTCCGAAAGCTGTACCGTGTTGACGTGCACGGACAGCATTCATGACGTCGTGTCACCTGACACCGATTTCTGATCATTCTATTCCGTATACACCAGGCTCCTGGGTTGTAGTTGTTATTTTATTTTATTTTCAAGGAACTGAGGTTCTTGGGTTAATACTTAAGTCTCTTTAAATTCTGCCCAAACAGTTAGAAAAAAAAAATGTTTTTGACAGAGCGGTTAATAAAGTTAGTTTTTTTGTTAATGCACAGGCCACTAGTTTGTGTGTGATGGTCCAGTGGATTACGCACAGGGTTTAGGTTAATAGGAGACACAGCCACACCAGGAGGCAGTGTTAGTGATCTCCTCTGCCTGCACTGTGTCTGGTGGCTCCTGTCCACGGCCACCGGGGAGCTCCTGGCCACGGCCGCTGGAGAGCTCCTGGCCACGGCCACCGGGGAGCTCCTGTCCACGGCCACCGGAGAGCTCCTGGCCACGGCCACCGGGGAGCTCCTGGCCACGGCCACCGGGGAGCTCCTGGCCACGGCCACCGGACAGTAGGTACCGTGGTAAAAGCAGTCTGACTGCCCAAGAGACACAGCCAGGACCTGGCCAAAGAAAGTCCGGCAGTAACATTTCTGTTGTTCTCTAAAGAGTCGTGTTACTGAGTCACAGTCCAGCCGACAGGTATTTCTCGCATCCCCGTGATGGTCGAGCCGACACAGTCTTGGGCTAGAACTTGAACCCAAGTTCTCCTCGATTTCAGAGGTGCTTAGTGGGGAACAGATATAGGCTCTGCTCCTAGTAATGGCTCGTTCTGCAATTCATTTTAAATATTACTACAAAGGTCTTTATTTTCATAGTTTTTAATGATAGCCAACAATTAAACGTCAGTCCATCACGTTACCCTAGAAGATATTGTACCAAATAGGAGTCCATTAAAAAGTTGATATTTTTCAGGCTGGCTGGCGTAGCTCAGTGGATTGAGGGTCCTCCCCTGGACTGAGGTCCCATCTCAATTCCCGGTGAGGGCACAGGCCTGGGCTGCAGGCTCGATCCCCAGTAGGGGGCGTGCAGGAGGCAGCTGATCCATGTTTCTCACATGGGTGTTTCTCTCTCTCTCTCTAAAAAATAAATAAAAACATTTTAAAATACGATCTTTTTCATAAAAACATGTCAAAGACCATTTGGCATGAATCTAAAACTAAGCCCAAAAAATAGAGTATATTAAAAAACAGGTGAGGATATTAGCTCAAGTAGGGAGGTTGATGTTCCAAACTCAAGGCAGCTACGGCTGTTTCCCATCGGACACCATTACTTATTCAAGTATGGAAAGCAGCTAATCTGGTTACATACATATTTCAAACACCCTAGTTTTTTAAAAGGTCCATGAAGGTAAATTCTTTTGGATGAAGGAGATAATAAGTGGCTACGCAACTGTTTTGAAAGGTGGGCTTACTTGCCCCCTAAACGCGTGTCCTCTGCGTGGACCCGAGGTGGAGGGCAGGCGGGTGGGTCAGACCGAGCCCCAGCTGGGGCCCCGAGCGGGGTCTGGAACAGGCGCTCAGACGGCCCGAGTAGTTTCTGCCCCTGCCAGCAGGAGGCTGGTGCTCCCCGCTCGGCCCCTGGCTCACGCCACCGCCTGTCCGTGAAGCCCGCCCTCCCATTGTGCCTGCTCTGTGTGCATCTCCTCCACAGTGGCCCCCAAGGGCATCGCCATTATCCAGAAAGTATTGAAAGTACGAACGAAAAGCTTTGGAGAGAAAACTCTGTCCACAATCACTGACTTTGTAACTGTCATTTTAAAGTCCTTGACGTTGTGTGGTCTCCTGGACACTGAGACCGGTGGTGCCCCCAGGCCAGTGCTGAGCGGGGAGCAGGCTGCAGAGGGGCCCACGGGCCTTGGCCCCGCCCGGCCCCTCTCAGCGTCTGCACAGAGCGACGCCTCCTGGGCACGTCTGTGCTCTCGGTGGGGACGGTGGTGGTGTACGCAGGGCCGACTTCAGCGAAGGTCACTCTGGCTCCTTCGTGGGACCCCACCGCCCACTCCCCGGTGCTAAAGTATCTGTTCTGTTGCAGCCACGCCTCTCCATGTCTCGACCGCGACAGCAGCAGGTGACTGTGCATCCCCCGCCCCCCAGGGTGCTTCAGCAGGCAGACACCTCACAGGGACCGTGCCATCTCCAGGTCGTGCCCTGGCTGAGAGAGTGGGCGTTTTTTCCTCCACGGGGAATCAGCGGGCACTGTGCCAAAGTGGACGCAGATCTGGGAGAGCCTGTGGTGGCCGCGGCTCGCCACACCTGGGCTCCGTCTGTGCGACCGTGCTCCACGGAGCTGGGGAGTCGGCCCTTGCCATTGTGCAAAGCGGCTGCCCCGTTTTAAAGTTATAGAAAGGTGGCGATACCAAGTGTCACTTAGCAGGGTTTTTACAAACAAAACAAAACACAGTATTCCAGGTGAACCAGAGGTGGAAAGGTGTCCACGTTCCTGCCGTCACTGCGGCCTGTCACTGCCGCGCTGAGCAGGGGGTGGTGTTCAGAGCCCCCGTCGCCCCTGCCGGCGGCCAGCGCGCTCAGGTTCTGCGCAGACGGCTGAGGGGGCCTGTGCCGTCTCCCATCAGAGTGTCCACACAGGACAGTTTCCCATTTTGAAAATTTTATATCCATTCCATTCTGTTTTTCCGAAACACTCAGTCGCTGTTACTACCCGGGAACATTGTGAGCGATGAAAGATTCTTTGCTGATTTTAACACGTTTGAGCCACTTTTTCCAAAGACACTTCCAGCAGTGTTTTGGTTTGTGGGACTGGGGGGTTCGGAAGGAGTCAGGGGTTCCAAAGGAGGCAACTCACAGTGCCGCAGCCTCCCCGCCAGGAAGCAGACCCCACTGGTGGTCCTCTCGCTGTGTGTGCGTGGGTCTCTGAAGCACCCTGACGTCTCTCCCTGTTTTCGCCCCCTGACTAACCGAATGCTGCAATCTCCCCCCTCCCCGCGGCCCTGATGACCCGGAAGTAAACCCGAGCTTTGGTAACTGGGTGGAGGAGGTCTCCCTCCGCAGACCAGAGCCCTCTGCTCGCCCCTCCTCCGGAGCATGCGTCTGGTTAGCTAATCACCTGGCCTCTTCCAGGCACGTCCTCTGCGTAATGATGGTGGGCTGCTTTGCTTTTGCTCTTTTTAAATTGTGATAACACCGTATCTCACAATTTAGAAAAACCTCCGTAAGAATTTCTAATGTGCATGACTGCCGAGTTCCCTCTAAAGTGAGCTGTGCCCGTCCCGCCGACGCGTCGCGTGATACTTGTGGTACCTCCGTCTGCGGAGTCTTAGGCTCGGTGCCTGGGCGCCGGTCTCTGCAGAGCGGCTCCTCCCTGGGGGAGAGCACAGCGCGGTTTCCCGGAGTCGCAGCGGCCCCCCTTCCAGAGCCCGAGCAGGGCGTTTCGCTGGTGTCCTAGCCTGGTGCACAGTGAGCACACACAGCCGACACCGGAGCCGCCCTGCAGTTCGTTAGTCTCCTGTTATGGCAGAGAAACTGAAGCCCAGAGGGAGGAGGCGACTTGCGTCAGCCACAGGCCACTGGAGCCAGGACAGGTCAGAGGTGCTCAGAGGGGGGCCCGGAGGCAGGGCCGGCCGCCCCGCCCGGGGCTCTGTGACGGCATTTCACCCGGCCCCCGACAGAAGAGCTCGTGAACAAGCACAGGCCCCATCGTCGTGTGGAGTTAGTGAAGTTCTGGGTTCACAGGAGGTTCCATCAGCGTTAGTTTCTCCATTTATTTTTTAGGTGCTGCCCTATAATTTTTAGGACATTAAAAACATATAAAGCCTCGCGGGCACAGGGAGAGGAAGGTGAGGGGTCCGGCATTCCCGCCTCCTGTCTCGGCCACGCGTGGCTCCGTTCTCACCCGCCCCTTTGGGCACGGTGACCCCAGGTTTACAGTCGGGGCCGCAGGGCCGAGCGCCAGCCACACACCAGCCCCTCTGCACACACCTCTCAGCTCCAGCTGTTTACAGACATTACCCTGTCCCAGTCTCCACCCCCTGAAAACAGGAGAACATCACACTTACTTCTCACCTCCCAGCCCCCCACCTCTTCCTGTAGCACAGAGCAGTGGTCTCTCCCAGCCGGCCTTGGGGTTTTCGACGTTGTTTTACGGAAAACAACGGCCCGTTCATTCTCTCCCTGTCCCAGCAGGGCACCTTGGATGCCCACGTGCTCCCCAGTTCTGTGCTGTAAGCAAGAGGGACGGCGTGGCCAGCGTGTCGGCTTTCGTCCGAGGCCTGAGCCTGCCTCTCTGGCTCCCTCGGGTCTGGAGAGAAGGCGGCTCCTACCTTTCCATTCGCGTTCGCTCCGCAGCGACGTGGCTCAAGGCCGGTTTTGCTGCTCTGTGAGCTGAAATCCCTGCGTGGGGTTGTTTGGATAAGGTCTGACTGGGTTGGTTGTCCAGAGACCAGAGATTTAAATTCCCTTCGACCTTAGCCGCCTTCTCTGTTTATTGGACATAAATGTGGGCAGCTTCTCACTGCCCTTACCTCCCACCTGCTCATCAGCAGCTGTTTGTCACCTCCGACCCCTGTGCAGGCTGGGGAGGCAGGGTCACCGCCACCATGGCCCACATATGGCTCCTTCCCAGTCACCAGGGAAGTGGGTGATTCTGGGTCAGCGAAACCTCACGGGACACCAGGGCGGACACCGCCCTTCACTGCCTGAGTCCTCTGCTCCTGGCAGGGCGGCCGGCCCTCAGTGGGAGGTAACAGACGTGGCAGGAAACGTGGCGGGAATGAGAACAAGGGGGTTTCACGAGGAGCAGCCAGTGGCACAGAGACAGAAAGTGGTCAAACACGTAGGGAGACATTGTTGCAGCCGGGAATGTAACCTCCGGCCGCTGGTCAGAGCATCCCCAGCAGGGGACGCTCCGCACACCCGAGATGCACAGGTGTGGAGGTGAGGACCATCCCAAAGGAACAGGTGCAGCCCCGCAGCCGGTGCCTGAGCAGAAACCACCGAGCACTTCCGGCAGGTTCAGGCAGAGGGACCCAGTCATTCCTCAGGGGCCGAGCTCCTTCCTGTCCATGAGAGGCAGCCGTCGTCAAAAGATGAGCAAAATGTAGAGAAAGTCAGAAATATCACAGAGTCTGCAGCAGCCCAGCTGCGACGTAAGCGGCTTTTCTCTGTGTTCGTGAAAGTCAGCATCACACGGTCAAAGAAAAGCCACACAGTGGAAAGGACACCCTGACGGTCATCGCAAGTGTTCGCGAGCTCTTCCGTTCTTCTGAGCAACAGTACATTCTAAACACCAAACATTTTCTTTTGTACTTTTAAACTTCTTACGTTTGTGCTTAAATTTATACTTAGTCGTAAGAAAAGCAGCTAACATGTTCTCACTGTGTTTTGATGGAGACCAGGCACACCCACGCGCTCCCGGGCTGGCCTGCGCGGGGTCCGGGCTGGCCGCACACTGGCTGTCCCACCCGCATGACCTGCGGCCCCCCCTGGGGCTCCGCCCGTCCCGTCTGCGCCACGAGCCGCATGGCTTCTGCTGAGCCGCATGCCGGCGAGTTCTGTGATCTGTGAGGACGCTGAGCCCTTCACTTGTCCCAAAGTGACACAGATGCACTGTGTGTCTGCCCCAAGGCTACTTGGATTGAAGGCTCCCCTGTGTCCTGGACACAGTGCCCGGTGCGGGGACCCGGCACCCTGTGCGGGCTGAGTCCCATACACCTGGAGGCTGCCTTCCTCTTTCTGTTTTGGTATCAAAACCTTGCAGATGCCGTGAAAACTGTAAAGAGGAGCATGTGGTCCGCGTGGCGCGCACACTGTTTGCTGTGTCTCTGTGGACAGGTGCATGGCTCCCCGTCACCTGTTTAACTCGGCCCCCGGACACAGTGAGCACCTCCGAGACTGACACGTGTCCGACTAACAGAGCGGCAGGCACCCCACGGAGCTGCGCCCTCGCCACCCGCAGAGCAGCCGCAGAGTCAGGCAAACACGACGTAGAGACGAACTGAGTCGGCTTGGACTACATGTCCGTCCGTGAGCCATGAGCTCGGCGGGACAGGAGCAAACATAGCAGGGAGGACTCTGCTCTCAACCGTCGGCTGTGATTTTCCACAGTTCGCTGTGATTTGGGGGCAGTCCCAGAGTTTGCCATGTCACGGTGCCGGGTGGAGGGGACTCTCTCCTGCTTCCTGTCCACCCACAAGGAGCTGGACACACCTTCATGGGTGTGGCCCGTGCATCCTTTTTTTAAAAAGTTACAGATTATGTGAAACTGAGCTGGACAAGCTGTAACTTGGAGAAGCCAGGTGGAAGGAACAGACAGCCCGTGCTCCGGGCCGACTTGACTCCCCCGTGGGTTTTTCAGAACCCGCAGGAGGAAGACACATCACGAGGGAGACCCCTGGGGTCTTCATGCAATTTCATCCCACGCCCTAGGTCAACAGCTTAGGTTTATTATCACCATCGTCCACAAACACTAGCAGAAATCCTCTTAGGTTACAGATAAAAATAATGCAAATGAAAACAACAGCAAGCAGGGCCTCCGTGTACAGTAGCGTCTCCTGTGAGGACACGTGTCCCCCCCTGCGTGTCCATAACAAGCTGTTTTGAAAACAAAGCATTGTGGTCAGACTTAGCTGGCAGAGCCCGCGGACCTGCCTCTGAGCTCACAGCCGCGTCTAATGCCCGCTGTGCCTTCCAGCTTCCTGGTCAGCTTCATGGTGGACGCCCGCGGGGGCGCCATGCGGGGCTGCAGACACCGCGGACTCCGCATCATCATCCCGCCCAGGAAGTGCTCCGCCCCCACCAGGGTCACCTGCCGCCTGGTGAAGCGCCACCGCCTGGCGACCATGCCCCCGATGGTGGAAGGAGAAGGCCTGGCCAGCCGCCTGATCGAAGTCGGCCCCTCTGGCGCTCAGTTCCTTGGGTAAGGGTCTCCGATACGCCTCCCCTCACAGGGTGAGCCGGGTCTCACCTGACGCCGTCAGCATGAAATGCCATAAGGTGCGTCCGACGTTGTGGACGCAGATGGGCCCCTGTGACATTTAAAAACGAATTGGGAGCAGGATCCCTTGCCTCTTCTTTGAAAGCACAAATGAGCTCAGTGGTCAGACTATTATTACCCTTTCTCTTCGGATGTGGTGCTAGATGCCCAGGGTGGATAACTGTGTCAGCCGATGGTAGGTATCATTTCCCCTCTGAGACGTAAGTGGCAGAGTCAGGAGGAAAACCACTTCTCCATCCCAGACAGAAAGTCCTGTGCGTAGAGACCGCCCGCCTTCGCTCAGGGAAGAGTCCTGCCTTAGGATAACCCCAAACTCAGTCTGTGCGATGTGCCTTCTCTGGTATCGAAGCGGCTACCTCGAGTCTCACGATCCCTCGGGCATCGTATTTGGCCGCAGTTTTCATTAAGACGAGGAAACCTAGACCCGCTGCGGCCACCCTCCCCGTAGCGATTTCGAGCAGGCGCGGGCGTTTCGCGCCGCTGTGTCCGGACGGCTGCTGTTGCCGCCAGCGGTCTGTGGACGCGTGAGGAATACGCAGCTCCCGCTGAAAACCGACCCAGGCTGGCGTTTCAGACGGGGCGCGTCTCAAAACACTTCGAAACGAGTGACTTGTGCACCAGTGTTGTCCTAGCGAAGGCCTTCTTGTCTTGCTGGCATCCTGTCGGGAGAGATTTCTGGCCGTAGTGCGAGGAATCGTTCCGAAGCCTGGTAACTTGGAGACACCATGCGCAGGTTGCTCCAAATTACATCCACCCTGGAAGGGGTGTGTCTGCGTCCCCAGTTCTAGAAACCACCTCCCGCGCTGGCTGGGCAGACCAGAGATCTGGGAGGAGCCTGTGGAGGCCTGGGGGGAGCACATCGGTGGTCCCTTCCCCTCTCCGGCCAGGCCCCTGCCCGCCCTCGGGCTCAGGACGTCCGGGCTTTTCAGTAATCCACACCTGTGCAGGAATATCCATGGAAACTTCTGGCCTCTCTGCAGAGTCCGAGTTTTCATTATATTCCCAACATCTTCGTCTTTCCCGCGGGGCACATTTTTTCTTTCTCGCTGGTGCCCTGGCGGAACCTCGTTAGGACAGACCTGCCCCCACGCGCCCCTGTCCCTGCACCTCCATTGGGCACTCTGGGGGCACTCTGGGTGTCCGCGCCTTGCTCTCTGTGACCAATGGAGGGGCGGAACCAAAGCAGAGCCCCCCCGCCGAGGTCGGTGGGCACCACCCCTGAAGCTCACTTGTGTTCTTTCTTCCACTGCTGCTTTGGATGTGCTCAGTAAGCTCCACCTGCCAGCGGCTCCCCCCCCACTTAATGAGGGAGAAAGTTTGGTCAGCCGCATCCTTCAGCTGGGGCCTCCTGGAACCAAATTCCTTGGGTAGGAGTCACGTGAAACAAATCGATGGCTGCTGCCGCATTCTCCTCCTCCTCGATATGATTTCTCTTTTTGTCATTGTGCCCATGACATGTCCCTCTCTATGATTTATATTCTGTCTCAACTATCTCTAGTGGACCATCTCTGACCCTTGTGGTATGTGACTTTTGTTTTCGAGTGACGTTTTTATATCTTTTCCCTCAAAGTGCTGTGACCTTCATTTTCGTTCAAAGCATGAGATCTGCCTAGTTGTACTCTGTGCTAGTTACGGTGTTGTTATGGTAAATCCGGAGTCTGTCTCAAAGCAACCTGGACTGAACACCCAGGGCCTCCATGAACCCGAGAGTGACCGCGGGGGGAACAGCAGGCCGTGCATGCTCCGGACCTGGTCTCACAGGCACTGCGCGCGGCTGTCTGCGGAGGCTCGGCGGGGCGCACGTGCAGTGCCCGCTGCGTCCTCGGGCGCGGGGAGCCTCCGCAGACCCCCGAGTGCATGTCTCTGTGGTTCCCACGCTGTCCACTTCTCTGACATCTCATTGACGACACGTCAGCTCACGCAGCATCCCAGCCATCTCCCTCCCAGCCATGCGTCACTTGCACCTCGTAGAGAGCGCGCTAGGAGGTCGGTGCCCATCGTAGACATGCATGCCCGTTTCTTTCCGTTGGTCGAAGGAGAAGTTCCAGAATGCCACATGCACTCACAGGGAACCCCACAGGGCTCAGGGAGCAGCGTGTCGGGGGGCGGGTGCCCCTAGGTCAGTGCCGCTGTGCGGCCATCTGCTAGCCAATGCCCCTGGCCCCAGAAAGAGGAGAATCCAGGTCACTTTGCAACAGACGGTCGTGGTGCGTGTTGCGCTGAGGGCCCGTCCACACTGAGCGCTCTGCTTGCCGCCAGGCCCGTGATCGTGGAGATCCCCCACTTCGCCGCCCTTCGAGGGAAGGAGAGGGAGCTGGTGGTCCTGCGCAGCGAGAACGGCGACAGCTGGAAGGAGCACTGCTGTGAGCACACGGAGGACGAGCTCAATGAGATCCTCAACGGCATGGACGAGGGTACTGCGGGCTCTGCGGGCATGGAAACGAAGCACTCCTTCTTAGGGCCTCGGGCCACGTGTGTGTGTGCACGTGTGTGCTTGTGGTTGCATTTGTGTGTGCATGCTTGTGTGCACACGTGTGCATTTGTGTGTGCCTGTTCATGTGTGTGTGCGCATATGGGTACACATGTGCATATGTGTGCATTTGTGCACGTGGGTGTGTATGCGTTTGTGTGTGCCTGTTCGTGTGTGTGTGCATGTGGGTACACATGTGCATATGTGTGCATTTGTGCACGTGGGTGTGTATGCATTCGTGTATGCCTGTTTGTGTGTGTGCATGTGGGTACACATGTGCATATGTGTGCATTTGTGTATGCATTAATATATGACTGTTTGTGTGTGTGCGTGCATGGTACACGTGCGCATATGTGTGCATTTGTGCACGTGGGTGTGTATGCATTCGTGTATGCGTTTGTGTGTGTGTGTGTGCGCATGGGTACATATGTGCATTTGTGTATGTAGGTGTGTATGCATCAATATATGCCTGTTCGTGTGTGTGCGTGCATGGGTACACATGTGCATATGTGTGCATTTGTGCACGTGGGTGTGTATGCATTCGTGTATGCATGTTCATGTGTGTGCATATATGTACGTGTGTGTCCTTGTGTTATTCCAGCACGGCAAGTATCCAGTGTGTTCTAGTGATGATCAGTCAAATGCACATTATATTTGCCTGGTCTTCCGTTATCATTCAGGAAAATAGAATACAAATCCCAGTGACCCAGTGAGTCCCAAATCTCTGCGTTTTTAACCAGTCTGATTTGTTATACTGCCCTGCGTATCTGGCCTAGCGCAGCTCATGAAGCCTGTGAAGTTGGGTGATGTGTGGGGGACTTAATGGTTCCAGGGGAATTGAACCCTGGATCCATCGTCATCCATCCGCGCCACCAAGGTCCTGTTTGTATGCACAGCGAACCCCCAGACAGGCGCCCCTGGAGGGAGCCCACACACAGTCCTGGCCGACAGAGCTCGCTCCTGCAGGGCCCTGGAAGCCCAAAGGGCCACATTCCCTCTCAGACCCGCAGTAGCTGCAGTGCCCTGGGAGCCCAAAGGGCCACATTCCCTCTCAGACCCAGTAGCTGCAGTGTCCTGGGATAACTCGGACACTGTTGGAGTAAAGGCCTCCAGGCCAGTGTCCTCCGCCGCCGCGGAGACGAGTGACCGGGGAGAGAGCAGGCGGCTCGGGGCAGCCCGCCCCGCCCCTGGCGGCCCCGCGCGGGCGGGAGGTGCGGTGCTCCCGCCGGGGGCGCTGACCCCGACCCCCGCTGTCGCCCGCAGTGCTGGACAGCGCCGAGGACCTGGACCGCAAGCGCATCTGCCGCATCGTCACGCGTGACTTCCCGCAGTACTTCGCCGTGGTGTCGCGCGTCAAGCAGGACAGCCACCTGATCGGGCCCGAGGGCGGCGTGCTGAGCAGCACCGTGGTGCCCCAGGTGCAGGCGGTGTTCCCCGAGGGCGCGCTCACCAAGCGGATCCGCGTGGGCCTGCAGGTGTGGAGCTGGCCGGGGGCCCTGGGGGGGCGCTGTGGGAGGGGGCGGGGCCCGCTGTGGGAGGGGGCGGGGCCCGCTGTGGGAGGGGGCGTGTCCCGCTGTGGGAGGGGGCGGGTCCCGCTGTGGGAGGGGGCGGGTCCCGCTGTGGGAGGGGCGGGGCTGTGGGAGGGGGCGGGGCCCACTGTGGGAGGGGGCGGGTCCCGCTGTGGGAAGGGGCGGGGCCCGCTGTGGGAGGGGCGGGGCCCGCTGTGGGAGGGGGCGGGCCCGCTGTGGGAGGGGGCGGGTCCCGCTGTGGGAGGGGCGGGGCTGTGGGAGGGGGAGGGGCCCGCTGCGGGAGGGGGAGGGGCCCGTTGTGGGAGGGGGCGGGCCCCGCTGTGGGAGGGGGCGGGCCCGCTGTGGGAGGGGGCGGGTCCCGCTGTGGGAGGGGCGGGGCTGTGGGAGGGGGAGGGGCCCGCTGCGGGAGGGGGTGGGGCCCGTTGTGGGAGGGGGCGGGCCCCGCTGCGGGAGGGGGCGGGCCCGCTGTGGGAGGGGGCGGGTCCCGCTGTGGGAGGGGCGGGGCTGTGGGGGGTGGGGCCCGCTGCGGGAGGGGGTGGGGCCCGTTGTGGGAGGGGGCGGGTCCCGCTGCGGGAAGGGGAGGAGCCCGCTGTGGGAGGGGGCGGGGCTGTGGAAGGGAGTGGGGCCTCGCTGTGGGAAGGGGCGGGTCCCGCTGTGGGAAGGGGCGGGGCCGCTGTGGGAAGGGGCGGGGCCGCTGTGGGAAGGGGCCCCCTCCTCCCCCCATGGGAACAGCCTGCGGACTGAGTCCCATCGCCTGGGGCGCAGGGCGGCCGGGCACCCAGTCGGCCTCGCACCAGGCGGAGCGGCTGCCCTCGGCCCGGGAAGCGCCGACAGATCGGACGGACCCGCAATGACGTGGTTTGTCTTCTGCTTTGAAAAGGCGCAGCCTATGCATGCTGAGCTGGTTAAGAAGATTCTTGGGAACAAAGCTACCTTCAGCCCGATAGTCACTTTGGAACCTAGAAGAAGGAAATTCCACAAGCCGATCACCATGACCATCCCTGTGCCCAAGGCTGCCAGCGACGTCACCTTGAATGGTTTTGGGGGCGAGGCGCCAACCTTGAGACTGCTGTGCAGCATCACGGGTGAGGCCCGGGGCTGAGTGGGCACGGGGGGGGGGGCCGCGGGCGCTGTCCACTCGGGGCCTCCGCAGGGCCCTGTGCCAGCTCGGAGGAGCGTCTGGAAGGGCGTTTGCTGAGAGTCTGAGGCCGCGGGACATGCTCACCCCCAGGACGGTCTGCAGCAGCCCTGTGACCGCCCAGCCCTGTGACCGCCCAGCCCTGTGACCGCTCAGCCCTGTTCAGCCCTGTGACCGCCCGGCCCTGTGATCGCTCAGCCCTGTTCAGCCCTGTGACCGCCCGGCCCTGTGACCGCTCAGCCCTGTTCAGCCCTGTGACTGCCCAGCCCTGTGACCGCCCAGCCCTGTGACCGCTCAGCCCTGTTCAGCCCTGTGACCGCCCGGCCCTGTGATCGCTCAGCCCTGTTCAGCCCTGTGACCGCCCGGCCCTGTGACCTCTCAGCCCTGTTCAGCCCTGTGACTGCCCGGCCCTGTGACCGCTCAGCCCTGTTCAGCCCTGTGACCGCCCGGCCCTGTGACCACTCAGCCCTGTTCAGCCCTGTGACCGCCCAGCCCTGTGACCGCCCGGCCCTGTGACCGCCCGGCCCTGTGACCGCTCAGCCTGTGACCACTCAGCCCTGTGACCGCCCGGCCCTGTGACCGCCCAGCCCTGTGCCCTCCCAGCCCTGTGACCGCCCGGCCCTGTGACCGCCCGGCCCTGTGACCGCCCGGCCCTGTGACCACCCAGCCCGTGACTGCCCAGCCCTGTGACCGCCCAGCCCGTGACCGCTCGGCCCTGTGACCGCCCGGCCCTGTGACCGCCCGGCCCTGTGACCGCCCAGCCCGTGACCGCCCGGCCCTGTGACCGCCCGGCCCTGTGACCGCCCGGCCCTGTGACCGCCCGGCCCTGTGCCCTCCCAGCCCTGTGACCGCCCGGCCCTGTGACCGCCCGGCCCTGTGACCGCCCGGCCCTGTGACCGCCCGGCCCTGTGACCGCCCAGCCCTGTGCTGCTGACAAGGGAGCAGGGCCAGGGAGCTTCTCTGACTTGCCCGAGGCTACACCACGGATCTTTCCAGAGTGGGGTCCAAACCCCAGCCCGTGTCCCCGTGAGCCTTCACTGGGCACATCACCCTGAATGATAACACCCGTAGTGCAGACCTAACCTCCGTCGGGGGATTGGTTCTGTCTTTACCCCGAGCTGCTGGGCTGACGTTGGGAAAACAAAGCAGAGGTTTGCGAGATGAACTGAATGTCGTCTTGTCCATTGGGAGCTGTTGTAACGTTCAGACCACTGCCCAGTGAGCTATCCCAGGGGATGGTTGTCTCGGCCATCAACACGCGGTGGCAGGCGGCGGGCAGTCCGCACGGCGTCCGGCTGATCTTGGCCCTGTTTCCCCGCAGCCAGGAGCTGCTGGTGCTCAGTGAATGTCCGAGCATTGCCGGTGGGCGTGACCGCCGTCCCTGGCCACCCAGGCACCGTGGGGAAATGTTCGCCCTTCGCGCTGGCCTCACCCTACATTTTCTCTCTCTCGTCTTCCCTTCTTGTTCATGTTTCTTCTGTATTCACGACAGCAAGCCGTTGAGACTACCCCACACGTTTAATCAAGTGCAAAATTTAGAATCCGCGGGCTGACAGGAGCACAGGCGAACCATGCGGCAGTCATGACCTCGCTCCGCCCCGGTCATTCATGGTCACTGTCATGACCTCGCTCCGCCCCGGTCATTCATGGTCACTGTCATGACCTCGCTCCGCCCCGGTCATTCATGGTCACTGTCATGACCTCGCTCCGCTCCGGTCATTCATGGTCACTGTCATGACCTCGCTCCGCCCCGGTCATTCATGGTCACTGTCATGACCTCGCTCCGCTCCGGTCATTCATGGTCACTGTCATGACCTCGCTCCGCCCCGGTCATTCATGGTCACTGCCATGACCTCGCTCCGCCCCGGTCATTCATGGTCACTGCCGGGCACTCCTGGGTGGCTTTCCCATGCTTTTTGGTCCACGTGTATATGATCAGACTTTCTGCCACGTGAGACAATGGTGTGCGGAGGTGAAACAGTAAGGTTTAGTGTGTAGGCGTGGCCCGCCCGTGTCGGTGGTCAGGGGAGGGTACTAGGTGGCCGAGATGCCGTCCACCCGGTTAGGCCTTTCCCTGGGCCTTCATCCACCTGTGGTGTTCATTGAGCTCTTAATGTTTTCCGAGTATGTTTTGCGGACCTTCAATTGCAGAGTGAGAGAAAATTTTATTTTATGAAAATAATTGCCTCAAGTGTAAAGTTCAGGAACAAAAAGAATCTGGACATTTTATTATTTTAACAAAGCCTTCAGCTCCTCGGTCAGTTGAAGGATCTTTTAAAATCATCCACCTTAAACAACTCAAATGTGTCTTCAGGGCCCGGCAATCACAGCAGAACCTCCGATGTCAGGCAGAGGGTGTGCCAGTCACCGGAAGCAGTTATTCAAACAGCCGCCCTCGCACCCTTCGGGGTGGCGCCGCCGTGGATCTCGGGGGGCCTGGGAGCTTGTAGGCGTTGGTCTCCACCGCGTCCCTGGGGGCCGGGCTGGGATTTCGCGGGTGAACGCGGCCAGAACCGCAAAGACTCACCTCACAAGCCGGAGTCTGGAATTCCGCCTAATCTTTCAACAATCGTACCTTTCAGGTGGGACCACGCCCGCTCAGTGGGAGGACATCACGGGGACCACGCCACTCACGTTCGTCAACGAATGCGTTTCCTTCACCACCAACGTGTCTGCCAGGTACCGCCATGCCCTTCAGACCAGCCCATGCCCCTCATGGCTTCTGTTTCGTTTTATTTTAAATACAGTCTGTGTTCACTTTCATCTTTCAAACAAATGGAATCGGATGATACACTAGCAAAGCTCAACCAGTCAGATAAAGTCTAAGGACAGTAAGAGATTGTCGGGTGTCACTGCGGGACCCGGACTTGTTTTAGCGGCCGCTGCGGATTTTCCCAGTCCCCGAGGACTTAGGGATGATGCATTTCCTGCAACAACATGGCCTGAGCCACGTCCCGACAGAGTAACGACACGTCGGCCCCCTCGCACGTGCCCTGAGACACGTATGCGCCTCGCACCTTGACGGCGCCGACGCTGTCTCGCCTCATTCCGTGGTGCTCCCTGACTCGATCTATTATTGGCTCCCGTGTGTGCGATCTTAAGGGAATGCGGGGCACTTTCCGCGCTTTTTTTTTTTTATCCTCACCCGAGGATATTTTTCCATTTTTTGTACAGATAGAGAGGGAGGGGGAGAGAGGAAGGGAGAGAGAGAGAAACATCGATGTGAAAGGGACACATCGAGTGGTCGCCACCCGCACGACCGCCCAGGGCCGGGGACAAACTGCAACCGAGGTACATGCCCTTAGCGGGAACCGAACCCCGGTCTCTCCGGACCGCAGGCCGACGCTCTACCTGCTGAGCCAAACTGGCCAGGGCTCCACGCCTTTGATTTATCACCACACAGCCTGGTGCTGTGTCCATGTTGCAGGTGGGGAAGCTGGCCTGAGGGGCTGCAGCTTGGACCCCTGTTCGGGGGTGGGGGAGGGCAGGGCGGCTCCGGGACACCGTGGCGGCAGTGGGTGTTGGCCCAGCGTAGCTCCTCCCAGGTTCTGTGCTCAGCGTCTGCACCCCACATCTTCACTCCGATGCCACAGATGACGAGTGCGGGGGGCACCAGAGGCTGTGCAGGGGTTCAGGGTGTGCACGTCCGGTGGTTGGAGAGGGAGCCGGAGGGGAGGTGCAGCAGGGGTGGGGACCTTGGACAAACAGCAAGGTCTGGAGGAGAGCAGAGGTGGTCGTGGTCTTAGGTCAGACCTGAAGCCGCAGCGGGTGGTTGCATTGTTTCTGGGGGCCCAGTCGGGAGACTGCCTGCCCCCGTTACTGTGTCGTGTGTCCCCGTTGAACTCCTGATGACGGAGGAGGCAGCGGGAACGGAGTGAGTCAGCGCAGCGGCAGGTGACCCGGCCCCCCGAGAGCCGGCCGCTGCTGAGCCCCGAGGGCTGTGGTGGAGGAAGCAGCCGGCGCCCAGCGTAGGCGCGTGCCCGGGGGCAGGGCATCGGACCGCCGGCCAGGGTTGGACGTTGGGGTGCGATGGGCGTCGTGCTCTGTTTGGGGTGACGGAAGGTCCTGGAAGTGTTCTGTGCTGAGGGCCGCGCAGGGTTGTGAACACACTTGGAGCCGGTGACTCGGCGGCGTCGGTGTGGTTAGCACGGCGCCCTTTATCTCCTCCGCATCTCAAAGCGGAGACAAAGCGGACAGACGGATGAGGAACGGGACAAACAGGCCAGGGGGGGGTCGAGGGCATCAGTGGAGTGAGGTTCGGGGGACAGGAGGTGGATAAACCTTTGCGGGTGTGTGGACAGGAGGTGGATAAACCTTTGCGGGTGTGTACATAGCAGATGAGATGTCCCCCTGGTGGCCTGGGCTTTCTCAGGAGTCGCCCGCCCTCCCAGGGCCGGGGCGAGGGGGCGGCCGGGTGGCCTGAAGCTCGGCCGACGTGCTGCCTGACATGAGGGGAGGTGGCCGAGCCCCGTCACGGGCTCCGCGAGGCCACCAGACTCCACAGGTCACCAAGCGGTGGTTTCCCCCGGGAACCAGGTCCAGCAACACCCACGAGTCCCACAGCGAAACCAGACTTTCGGATGGTTGGACTGATGGGACCTCGGTGCCTGAGAGGTTTTGAAAAGAACGATGAGATGAGGAAAATGAGGGTAGATTTACGGAGAAGAGCTTCAGGAAGATGGGGAGATCGGAGGAATAGGGGTTCCGCAGTGAGGTCCCGGTATGGCGGCCCCCGGCTCGCTCACGGACGGTGCGGGGACCCAGGGCACAGATTTCAGAACCCTGGGCCGTTGGAAGGGTTTCCAAGGGAGAAAATCACAGACGCAGGTGTGGTCGTCGGGGAAACACCGCCTGGTCCTCGGTGCCTCCCGCCCTCGCCTGTCCTCTTCCTGTCTCATCATCTCCCGCCCCCTCCCTTTTGCCAAGAACTCTTTGCAGCCGCTGCGGGAACTGTTGTGTTTTCCAGCTGGTGCACGTTTGTCTCAGGTAACTGACCCGAAATCGCTTTGCAGGTTCTGGCTGATAGACTGTCGGCAGACCCAGGAGTCTGTCCCCTTCGCCTCGCAAGTGTACAGAGAGATCATCTGCGTGCCGTACATGGCCAAGTTCGTGGTGTTCGCCAAGTCCCACGACCCCATCGAAGCCAGGCTGAGGTGCTTCTGCATGACCGACGACAAGGTGGACAAGACCCTGGAGCAGCAGGAGAACTTTGCCGAGGTGGCCCGGAGCAGGGACGTGGAGGTGCGCCCGGGCGGCCGGGGGCCTGGCGCGGGGGCCTGGCGCGGGGGCCTGGCGCGCCTCTGTGTGCAGACCTGTGAGAATAGCGCGTGAGGAACAGAGCCGCAAATAAAGACCAGTTAGAAGGTCACGGTCCACAATCAGCCCCTGTCAGCCGTGGGACCGGGCCTGCCAGGTGGCCTCCTTGTACACGCGGCCACGGGGTGTAAACATTACCTTGGGGAAAGTTGTGGCTTGTTGAAGAATGTGAGTGACGCTAGCCGTTTAGATGGTTTTATCTCTGCTCGTTCTTGCTAACTTTTCGTAGTGGAGACAAAAGCGTCCTCAGTGTGAATGTGGGGGCCCTTCTGCGTCGGTCCCTCTCACGCCGGAGTTTTCTTCAGTGTGGGTTTGGGCCGCGAAGCCTCGTGGCCCGACTCCTGGGGAGGTGGAAATGACCCAATCGGAAATTTAAATTTGGGACTTAAAGGTGTGTCAGTCTTGGGGATGACGTGACATGACGTCAGGAGGAGGAGGGGGGTGTGGGGACGTGCTGTCACGGGCGCGACGAAACGTCGGCAACTCGGTGGTGGCCGTCTGCCGGTTGGCATGTCCCGAGTGACACGGCCACGTCGAGTCCATAGCAAGTGGCCGTTGCGGCGATTACAGCCTGTGTTCTTGTCTCAGCAGGTGCTGGAAGGAAAGCCCATCTACGTCGACTGTTTCGGCAACCTGGTGCCGCTAACCAAGAGTGGCCAGCATCACATATTCAGCTTTTTTGCCTTTAAAGAAAACAGACTTCCTCTCTTTGTCAAGGTAACATTCGCAAGGACTGTAAACACATTTCATGCCAAGCAAGTCAGGATTGGACTTCCTTCAGAAGGAGAGAATGTTTGCCTTTAGTCCTCTGCAGCAAGTATGTCCAAAGCATTATCTGTAAAATTACGTATAAAATTCTGGAAAACCAACCGTTTCCATTTTTGAAGTTGAAATTCAACTCTAAGTCTCATTTGTAGACTTTGTTCAAGGACAAATAGCCGGTTCGTGAATTAGAAAGACTGGCCTTGCTTTTTCAAATTCTAAAGGAAGTCTCTCTCTCTTTAAAGTATTATTTCTTTTAAATATTTGTGCTTGTTTTTAAAATGTGTGAATTTCACAAACGAGGAGACCCAGAGAGTTCCGAGTGACAATCTGGGGCGACCCCACCTCCTCGACTAAGAGGTCACCCCGACAGAGCTGCGGCCGGCTGTGCTTGCACGGATCCCCTCAGCAGACATTTCTGGGGACCCTCCTGTGCCCCGTGAATTCAGTGTCTCAGTTTCGGGGTGTTAATACCTGTCTGGAGCTCGGCAGTGGCAGACACAGCCTCTCTGGACTGGGGGCCCGCGGAGGGGCTCACGTGTAAATGAGGGTCACAAGGGGGGCAGTCATTTGGTTCTGCACTCGTGTTCCCCGCTTCACACACGCACGTCACCGAATCCCCAGCAGGTCACATCAGGGACCCGTTTCCTACTTGACCCTCCAAGTGTGAGCCAGTGGCCCGTGTAGTGTCCGGGTCTGTTCGGTCCCCCCAGACCTGGCTGCGTCTCTCACTGAGCAGCTCTGCTCGGTGGTTCGGCCCGAGTGAAGCTGGGCCCTTGCCGACCACCCAGGACTGCTGGGGGCCGGCCGAGCCATCCCACACACGGCTGTCTCGTTAAACTACGTTTCGATGTCATTCATGTGCAAGAGTCATTGATAAACACCCCGATACAAACATGGGAAGGGACTCGAGTAGCCGTCTCTCCAACGGTGCCAGGGGCCAGCGAGCCCGTGGACAGGTGCCCGGCAGCCTAGGGCACGTCAGATCCAGCCGCGGTGGGATGCGGCTCCACACCCATCAGAGTGGCTGCGATAAAAGCAAACATCAGAAGCTAACAGATGTCGTGAGGATGTGGAGACACATCCCGGGCCCGGGAGTCGTGCTTCTCGGTCTCACCCCAAAGGAGCCGAAAGCAGGGACGCGGTGGCTTTCACCCGACTGTCCGTTCGGCACACAGGGAAGCATCTCAGACATCCTCACAGACGGAAGCGTGAACCACACGTGGCCCGTGCCTGCCGTGGACGCCATCTGCCTTCAAGGCGGTGGGATTCCACATGCTGCCACCAGTGAGCTCGGAGGCACGGGCCCCCGAAATTAGGCCGTCACAAAGGACAGACACGGCCGGAGTCTGGGTCCCAGGCACATGCGGAGACGAGGTGGACCCGAGGTCCCAGGGGCTGGGCAGCGGCGGCCGGGCGCTCGCTGGGTCACAGGTACAGGGCTTCTGCTGGGGATGATGAGAAACTCGGGGTTGTAGAGATGCTCACAGCTTGTGCGCGTGCTGGATGCCACGATCTGCAGAGACGTGGGAAGTGTGGACGTGGAAAGGCGCGTTTCGTTCGTATATTTCACCACCATTTTTTTTTAAAAGGCTGAATGATCGTTTAATAGTCATTTTAAACGATACTAGAACGTGGAGAACGGCGCAGTCTCGACCCTCCCAGCATTCTCGAGTGCAGTGTGTTCCCCAGATGCTTTGGGGTGTCATCCACTTAGAGAAGTCGTGCACGACCTGGGTGGGTGACACGGTGCCGTTCTCCTTCAAGGTGCGAGACTCCACTCAGGAACCGTGCGGACGCCTGTCGTTCATGAAGGAGCCGAAATCCACGCGCGGCCTGGTGCACCAAGCCATCTGCAACTTAAACATCACCCTGCCCGTCTACGTGAAGGTACGGAGAAGGCCGCCCGGCGGTTTGGGCGCTGAGGGTTCATCTGCAAATCCTCGGCCCCGTACAAGCAGGGACACCAAACCGAGTACCTATAACAGTCATTGTGGATAAACTGTGATTCCCCATCGAAGTGAGGAAAAAAGTAGCTCCACCTTATTTCACACCAAATTCTTTTCTTTTAAACGTTTTTTTATTGATCCTAGAGAGAGAGGAAGGGAGAGGGAGAGAGAGAGAGAAACATCAATGAGAGAGAACATAGATCGGCCGCCTCCTGCACCCCCCCCCACTAGGGATCCACCACCTGGGCATGTGCCCTGACCGGGAATCGAACCGGCGACCTCTTGGTGCAGGGTCGACGCTCAACCACTGAGCCACACCAGCCGGGCAAATGCCTTTTGATGAAAACATTTCTATAAGTGCATATTGGATATGAAAGACAGAAAATTTGCATTTAAGACTTAACTTTCTGGACAGATTTTTCAATAGCAAAGAACTGACTCTGTCTTCACTGTTACCTCTGCCTGCCCTCCTGGGCCACACCGGTGCCTCGCACCCGAGCATCCGGCCGGACCGGCGGGTTCCAAATATCCCATTCAGAGCACCCTCTCGACAGTTTGCCTTGTTGCTAAAATAATGACCTTATTTTATAACCTATATTTTAGGAGTAGCCAATTCATTTTCCAACTATTTTAACATGATTAGTATACAAGATACTCCCACATTCCAAGGAGCAGATGCGAAACATTGTTGAAAAGGAAGAATTCGTTAATTCTGACCCAGGTCTAACTACCTGCAGGTGTTCCGTTCTAGGCAGACTCGCCCCGCCAAGAATTACTCTGCAGTTGCTCTTGGCTGTATAGACTCATTCTTGGTGACTCCATCAAACCCAAGAAGACCGCTGAATGAATTATACATTGGGAATCACTGTTTTATTTGAAAGTATTTTAACCAGTTTCCCTTCCCAGCGGGGAGCCCCCACCCGGGCAGGAGGCAGCCGCCACCTGCCGACGTTCCTGAGGGTGGGGCAAGGTCCGTGGGGACAGGTGACCTGGGAGGGGACAGTATTTAAACCCCTCAGTCTGCTCTCCACAGAACAGAGCCCCCCCCCCCCCCCCGTGCTGGCTCTTACCCATCAGCCCACTTTTCTTAAACTATTCTAACCCGAGATCGCGAAGCTCACAGCATCCTGTGTCCTTGTTTGATGGGCGCGGTGAATCCGCCCTCTCCGCAGAGGTGCCGAGTGTGGCGCCGACTGTGAAGTGTTCGTTTCCGTGGCCCACGGATCAGACCTGCCCGTCTGTCAGTAGCTGAGAAAATATCGTGACAGAGGCCACATGCCTCAGCTGCCCCTCAGAATTTGCTGGCTCTTGGTTGAACCCCTGCGCGCTGAGACGGGGCTCCCCGTACGCGTGTGTGCCAATGTCCTCACGCCCTCGGCGGATGGGTGCCGTCCGGTCCCTTGACTGTCCCTCGTGCAGGCTGCCGGTGACCGCGCACCCGAAACCCGTGTATTTGTGATCATGGTTCTTTGTCTCTGGAATAACCTCCGGACTTTTGCATTTAAATCAGTCCTTTTGAAAGTTTGTGTCTCTGTCCTATAAACTGTTGGTGAGAAAAAATGAGCACCCCGAGGGAGTGCCGCTGGGGGCGTGGTGGGCGCGGCTGAACCCCGTCCCTAAACTGTCTGCTCTGCTTCTCTTTCCACCCGCGGGCGTCTGGGCGGCAAGGAGTCAGAGTCGGACCAGGAGCAGGAGGAAGAGGTCAGTGTGTGTCCTTGTCGCTTGCTGATGGCTGTGTTGTTGCCTGAATGTGATCAGAGCCTGGGCCTTGTGCCCCAGAGGCTGTGCCCACCGCTCCAAGCCGTCGCCCTTCTCAGAATTGCCGCCATCTCTGCAGCGATACCGCTGTTGTGCCAGCTGCTGAGGACCAGTCCCGATCTCGATGGTTCTCAAAGGGTGGGCGGCAGGTGCCTGGAGGCCAAAACTATTTTGTGGGCTCTGAGCCGTTATTCACCTCTTGCCTGGCATACCATACCTGCACCAGCCATGACGGCGGTTTCCAGAGGCCCCACCATGGCGGCGGTTTCCAGAGCCCCCTCCCCTGTGATGCCACCGTCACTAGGCTACTCGGGAACGTGGCTGTGTGCACTTGGGGTCCAGTGTTTCCTCAGCTCCATTTTTATGATACAGATTCATCTATGTGATCAGACATAGAAGGCCCTTGGGCTCCTCAGTAATTTTTAGGTGTTAAAGGGGCTCAAGACCAGAAAGTTTGAGAACCACAGAGACCAAAACTAGGGAGCACGTGGGTCACCCTTGGGGCAGGCTCCAAGGCCCCGGGCCCCCCGCCCCCATCACAGTGGCGGACGCGCACCTCAGAGGTCACCTTGAATAAGCATCTGTTTCAGTCAAGCTTAGCGTGTGTCCAGTTCCCCGTAGATACTGAAAACGCCCAAACGTTACCGTAGAAACGGAGGAAATCAGTGGGGAGCCCTCGTCCTGACTGATTAACATCCGGGTCCTGTTTCTGAGACAGACAAGGGCAGTTGTTAGAGTGGCACGTTAATGTTCTCAGATACGCTAGCTTCATTTTTAGTGTTGTTCCAATGGATTTGAAATGCAAAAATAGAAAGAAAAATGCAGTGAGTGCCCCTGCACCCACCCGGGGCCCGCCGAGGCCCTGTGAGTCCAGGCAGGACAAGAGGGCACCACAGGAGCCTGCGGAGCCCTTGTCCGCTGGACATCCCGTCGCCCTCTCACTCCGCGTCCTTCCGAACGGGGCCGGGTCACCACAGCTGGTGGGAGGGGACCACCACGCCTCCAGCTTGGCTGCGTTCAGACGAGCCCTTGCCCGAGCTTCGAGACTTTCTGTTGACGCGTTTCGGGACCTGTTCGGGCCACGAAAGCAGTCAGCTTGTGGCTTGTGGTGAAGGACAGAGACGTTATGTCTGCAGGACGCATCCCCCGGCGTGCCGCTCGTCCTCGGCGACGCTGACACCCCCTGACTACCCGTCGCCCCCGCCCCTGCCTTGCCCTGCGAACTCGCGGGGATCACATCCTCCCGGGAGCTCGCGCTAGGGAGGGCTTCCCGCCCACAGTCTAGAAGGGGATTCGTTGTTTCAAAGTTTGGGTGAGAGTCAAGGAGACCGTCGGGAAGGATTTGCCCAGGGTCTGGCCCCGCACACTGGTCCTCTGCACAGGTGATCGCGACGCGGAGCTCGTGGGGGGCCGGGAGACGAGACGTCATTGTAACCATTCCATTTATGTATGTGTTTTTGTTTGTTTTTTTTCCAGATCGATATGACATCAGAAAAAAGTAAGATTTTAAATGAAATTAACTTTGTTTTGAAAGCTGGCTACAGTAAAGACAAGCATGAACTAAGATACAAGCTCATTGCCATTACTAACCACGATAGCAATTACGTTTTATATCCGTATTAATCATTAATGTCTACGTAGAAAAGCAGCTGGCCAGTTACATCACAAATACGTCTGACGTGTGATCTAATTAGCAGTAAATGCAATGACTGTTCGTCTGCGCCTTCACTTTCTCCCAACCCCCGCTGCCCCCGCTCTGCTGGTTAGAAACCCGGTGTTGTCCGCTGGTCCGTGTAACATTATTGTCACCTCACTTTCTAGAAGCCCGATGCCACAGTATCACTTTTCCATCGACCACCTCGGATTCCCGCGAGGGCTCGTGATTTCTGTGGCCGCACATGCAAACGTGGTGCTGTGTCCCTGCCCTGCCTCCCCCTGTGGCGAAATGGTCGGCTCCCGTGGCCCAGGGCTCCGGGGGAAACCTCCCGGGAGCAAAGAGCCATGAATTCAAAAAAATTAAAACCGCCCAGATGTAATCCCTGGTCACAGCAGCCTGTTATAGAGCCGATTTTGAGGAACGATGCCAGTCCTGAGCGTGACTCGGGCGGAGCACAGTGGTCCCCGGACTCCCAGGGTCAGCGTCCGGGACGCGTCACGTTGGCGCCTGTTCCGGTGATTCCGGCTTCCTGTGTCGAAAGCCTCGGCGCGTTTAGGTTTGTTTACTCACGTGTTTATTTTTCTGCCCCCAAATGCTTCAGGGGAAAAAAATCTAATATTGAATCTTTACTCATTTTTAGATTTATTTTGATTCACTGTATTGAGGGGTGGTATCCCCAAGAGGAGAAGACCTAGAACCCTGTTCGGATGGTCGCCTGGCCCCGTCCAGTGATCTGAGGGCCCTTGAAAAATCGACTTAGCAGAGTATAATCTCCTGCCGAGTCACAGAGATGCTTTCCGTCGAGGCCTCTCACCCTCCTGTGAAGTCGGTGCTCAGGACCAGAACACGGGAAGTTCTGTCTGGGCGTTTGCACTAGTTTATATTTGGACAAGTCTGTGTTACACAGATTGTTGTCACGTATTTTTATGTCCACGGAGGGCATCTCCTCGACAGATGCTGATTCTCCCAAGAGAAGGCACTTTTGTTTATCAGAAAGATATGTTATCATTGCCTTCAGTGATTTCATTTCTTAAAGAATTTTAATTTTGTGCTCAGAACCACTGTGCTTAGTTCAATGGCCCGTTGCCCTGTTCCTTGGATACAAACTCAGGGATTGAAAGATCCCCCGGCTCAATCAAGACGTAAAACCTCCCTCAGTGCTCCAAGGCCAGGGGCCTCCGGGGTGTCCTGGGTGTTGTGAATTTTAAATCTTCAAAGAGAGACTCACGTTTGGTTTTCTTTTCATTTAAAGACAATTGTTCATTAATATCCACCTGGGCATAAAATAATGTCCAGAGAGGCCCTGTGGGGGGACCGCGCCCTGAACTCGGGGCGCTCCCTGCTGAACGCTTCGCCACAGTGGGGTGCAGCTGTCTGTCCGTGTCCGACCACCCTCCTGCCTGCCCCGCCCCATCTTACTCCACCTTGCTTGGCATGGAAATAACTTGGCTTACATAACTGTGTGTGTCCGTGTGACTGTCTGCCTTGGGCGCCACGCAGCCCTAACCTTGGCCTCACACACGTTCCCACCGTGGTTTCCGTTGTCCCTCCTTTGCTCTCTTTGCCTCCTCGGCCTGCCCAGCGGGGGTGCAGGTGCGGGGGCCAAGGAGCCGCTCCCTGCCTCCCGCACACGGCCGCGCCTCCGCGTCAGGTGCGGTTTCCTTAGACGGAAGGCCGGTTGGCAGCGGATTCAGACCCTCTGTCTGGAGTCCTTGTGTACGGCGGACGGGGACACACTGTGCTCAGAGGGGGACACACTCGAGTGCTCCTGAGTTTGCCCCCGACTGGCTTTCTCCCAGAGGAGAGGAACTTTCTGCGGTGTCTAATGCTTTTTCCTCTTCCCCACGTTTGTTCTTCTTTCCACATTGGTCTGTGATACCGGAACAATCTTGAGATGCCTCCATGTCCGTTCACTGTGCTCGTCTGTGCTTGACGCGTGACGTGTGCGAGTCGTGCGTCTCAGCCTTGTGGTGTGTGGGTGCCTCTCGTGAGAACATTAAGCAAGTTATTTCCTGCTCATCTCCCTTTCCAGTTCTTTCTCCGTTAGCCTTGCTTTGCTCTTGTGTCCGACACCTTGTGGCTTCACCACCCCACCCATGTGTTGCCCCCTCAGCACGGCGGGAAAGACTTGGTGTCGCTGGTCCGGATTGCGCGGGCCAGTGGCTCCTTTGATTTCCGTTTCACTTTCGATGTTTTTCATTCGCATCAAAGATGATGAGACAGAGTCTACAGAAACATCTGTCCTGAAAAGCCACCTGGTGCACGACGTCCCCGTCCTGGCGAGTCCGGACTTGCTCTCGGAAGTGTCCGAGATGAAGCAAGACCTGATGAAGATGACGGCGCTGCTGACCACGGACGTGTCCGGCAGGGCAGGGCCTCTCGGGGTGAAGGAGCTGGCCAGGGCAGCTGAGGAGGAGCCGGGGGAGCCCTTTGAGATCGTGGAGAGCGTTAAGGAGGACCTAGAGAAAGTGAACAAGATCCTGAGGGGGGGGGCCTGCTCGGAGGGGCAGGGCCGAGGGCCGGGGTCCCGGCTGCAGGGGGAGCTGGCGGACGAGGAGTGGGTTGTGGTCAGTGATGAGGAGATCGAGGAGGCCAAGCAGAGAGCACCCCTGGAGGTCCCCGAGGTCCCCTGTGTAGAAGTTAGACTAGAGCAGGAGACCCGAGCTCAGGGACAGAAGGACGCCGCCGGGCTGGTGAGCTACCTCACGGAGGACCTGAGGTCCTACACGACCGTCCCCCGAGAGGACCCGAGGCCGGGGCCCCGCGCAGCCGGGGACAGGCGCCCTGGAAGCCACGGGAAGGACAGTTCCCCGGACGAGACCCCGAGGACGCAGAAGCAGCCCAGGCCAGGCCTGGGGGCGAAGAAGCCAGTGCGAAGGAAACTGAAGGAAAGTCAGAAGCAGAGGGAGGGGAAGGCACCCGCGGGCGCAGGGAGGCCAGAGCCTAAGAAGGGCAGCTCCGAGGAGTCCTTGGACGAAGACACAGAGCTGGCCCCCGAGCCACTGGCCACGGGACAGGCCACGTCCCCGCTGGTAGAGGAGACCCCCATCGGCTCCATCAAGGACAAGGTGAGAGCCCTTCAGAAGCGGGTGGAAGACGAGCAGAAGGGGCGAAGCAAGTTGCCCGTCAGGGTCAAGGGCAAAGAGGACGTGCCCAGGAGGGTCAGCCCCAGGCCACCGCCGGCGGCGTCACCCCCTCTGAAGTCAGACAGGCGGCCACCAGCGTCCCCCTCCTCCAAAGCAGACAGACAGTCTTCTCTCACCTCTTCCGCAAAGGCCGACAGACACCCTCCTGCGTCGTCACCGAGTAAAACCGAGAGACACTCACCCATGTCTCCCTCCACGAAAACCGAGAAACACTCACCCGTGTCTCCCTCCACGAAAACTGACAGACACTCACCCGTGTCTCCCTCCACGAAAACCGAGAGACACTCACCTGTGTCTCCCTCCACGAAAACTGACAGACACTCACCCGTGTCTCCCTCCACGAAAACCGAGAAACACTCACCTGTGTCTCCCTCCACGAAAACCGAGAAACACTCACCTGTGTCTTCCTCCACGAAAACCGAGAAATACTCACCTGTGTCTCCCTCCACGAAAACTGACAGACACTCACCCGTGTCTCCCTCCACGAAAACTGACAGACACTCACCCGTGTCTCCCTCCACGAAAACTGACAGACACTCACCCATGTCTCCCTCCACAAAAACCGAGCGACACTCACCCGTGTCCCCTTCAGGTAAAGCAGACAGACGTCCCCCGGTGTCACCTGGGAGGACAGACAAGCGCCTGCCCGTGTCTCCTGCTGCGAGAACAGAGAAGCGCCCACCTGGACCGGCCTCCGGGAGAACGGAGACGGCGGCGCCCGTGTCCCCCACCTCGAAGACGGAGCGGATCGAGGAGACCATGTCCGTCCGGGAGCTGATGCAGGCCTTCCAGTCCGGCCAGGACCCGTCCAAACACAAGGCTGGGCTCTTTGAGCACAAAGCGGCCAAACCAAAGCCGCTGCAGGACAAGGGCAGAGTCCGGGCAGAGAAGGAAAAGGGTCCGGTGCCAGCCCAGAAGGAGGCACAGAAAACAGAGAGTCACACCCTCAGACGAGGCCAGAGATTCCCGGGAGCCGCAGCTCCCGAGCCCAGAAGAGGGTCCCTCGGGGCCTTGGGGCGCAGAGAGGACACAGTGGGAGCGCAGGAGGCTGCTGCCAACCACAGGGCCCCCGGCGAGGAGCTGGACGAGCTCGAGCGGGCGGACAGGGACCTCCAGGTCAGCCCCGACCGCAAAGCCTCCAGCGACTTCTCCGAGGCCATCAAGCAGGAGCTGCAGCACAGTGACCAGTACCAGCAGTTCCGCCTGCGGGAGGAGCCGGTGCAGGTGCAGGTGGTGCCGGAGCAGGTGCTGGTCAGCCCCCTGCACAGGGCCTTCCCTCGGGAGCCCGGCAGCGGGGAGCTGCTCCCCACCCTGGCCTCCGCGCTGGGCGGCAGCTGGGAGAGCCTGCGGCAGGAGGGGGCGGCTGGGTCTCCGTGCGGCAGTCTGATGGAGGGCACCCCTCAGGGCAGCTCCGAGGAGAGCTACAAGCACGAGGGCCTGGCGGAGACCCCCGAGACCAGCCCCGAGAGCCTCTCCTTCTCGCCAAAGAAGGGCCAGGAGCAAATGGGGGACACCCGTGAAACGCCCCCCTTGGAGACAGACATTCCTACCGGTGAAGACTCTCCGTCCGCCAAAGACACTCCCGAGGGCACCGAGGAGCCGGGCGCAGCCGTCCCCGTGGGCTTGGAGCTGAGGCCCGGGGGTGAGCAGGAGGCTACCCCAGACCCTTCCGGAGAGACGGGGCCCACCCCAGAGGGCCTGGGCACCTGCACTGGGCCCTCAGCAAAGGGAGCACCCGCCGAGCGGAGAGGGGACCTGCCCTGCCATGACGGTCCACTGGCCCAGGAGACACAGGCTGGGCCTGGAGCTCAGGGGCCCACAAGCCCCCCGCCCTCACCGCCCTTCCAGGCCCCTGCAAGGACTGGCCAGTCCCAGGCAGCACCCCGCAGCCCCCCGGGACTGGAGCTGCCACTCTCTCGCCCCGACACCACCGAGGTCCTCAGCCCCGGGGCTGACGAGTCCCTGGCCGTGAGCCACGCCGACTCCCTGGAGGCCAGCCCGGTGCTGGAGGACAGCTCCTCGCGCAAAACCCCGGACTCCCTGGAGCCCAGCCCCCTGAGGGAGTCCCCCTGCCACGACTCCCTGGAGGGCAGCCCCGTGGAGCCCAAGGTGAAGCCTGGCTCCCTCCCAAGTCACTTTCCGCTCCCGGCAGCCGCCCCCAGAGCGGAGCTGCTGGCCGACGGGGGGCCGGTGCGGTCGCGGCTGCTCCGAGACCCCGACGGCAGTGCGGAGGACGACAGCCTGGAGCAGACCTCGCTGGTGGAGAGCTCGGGGAAGAGCCCCCTGTCTCCCGACACCCCCAGCTCGGAAGAAGTGAGCTACGAGGTCACGCCCAAGGCCTCGGACGCCGGCGCCCCCAAGCCGGCCGTGATCCAGGAGTGCGCGGAGGAGGACGACTCGGGGAACGGGGAGAAGAAGAGCTTCACCCCGGAGGAGGAGATGTTCAAAATGGTCACCAAGGTCAAAACCTTCGAGGAGCTGGAGCAGGAGGCCAAGCAGAGGAGAGACTGCAGGAAGGAACCCAGGCTGGAGGAGGCCTCGTCCTCGGAGCCGGACGCCGAGGGCTCTGCCGGCCTGGGGGGGCCACCGCACGCGGAGGGCGGGAGCGATGTCCCCGCCCTGGTGGCCGCCGACGGCAGGAAGGCCTCCTCGTCCTCGTCCTCGGAGAGCGAGCCGGAGCTGGGGCAGCTGAGGGCGGGCGCTGACCAGGGCCTCCTCCCGGAGCCCATCATCCACGTGCAGCCTCCGTCCCCGCTCCCGTCCAGCCTGGACTCCAGCTCCAGTCCCGAGGAAGCGCCGTTCCAGCCGGTCCCTTGCAAACAGTACACCTTCAAGATGGACGGGGACGCTCCGGACGAGGCCGGCCAGTCGGGAGGAGGAGGAAGAGAGTGTGAATCCCACCTGCCCGAAGACAGTCCTGCGGGTCCCTCGCAGGGCGCGGATCTGGCTGACGATGACGATGACGTAAGCAGGGATGCCGACCCACCCAACGTCTGTGCCGGCCGGGGGTGTGAGGCCGGGAGCCCCGGCGGCTCGGCCACGCCCGACTCCTCGGGTCCCCGGGGCCCCCCCGGTGCTGTGCGCCAGGAGGTGGCCCCTCAGGACCCTGGTGAGGACCCCGAAGGAGGTGACCTCCGCGTTTCTCAGGCGGCGTCTCCACAAGCCGACCACCCTCACGACGGCTCTTCGCCTCTGTCCCTCCTGCCTGACGGTCCAGCCCCTGAAGCAAAAGGGTCAGATGACGCCGCCGTCTCTCCATCTTCGACGACAAGAATGGAAGCCCCGGAAACCGAGCACGCTTCTGAGAGCGCCCCGGAGGACTGCCCCGGGCTCGACCCCTCCGCCCCCGCGGAGCCCGAGGAAGCCTGCGACCATCAGGTCATTAGCCCGTACGAGAACGTCCCTCCCCATTCCTTCTTCTCCAGCGAAGAAAGCAAAACCCCAGCAGACGTTCCGCCTCCTGCCGTGCGCCCTGAGCCTGGCAGGTCTCCCCTGGACAGCAGGGTGGTGGGCCGCGCCCCCGTGGGAACAGCTCCAAGTGACCCTGCTTCAGAGTCAAAGTCCTGTTTCGAGGGCCAGAGCGTGGACGTAGAACCCACCAGGGAGGGGACCCCGTGGGAGACGCGGCCAGACGGCGCCCCGGCCCCCGCCGAGCCCTCCCGGCCCGGCTCCCCCGCGGCCGTCAGCCAGCAGGCGAGCACGGTCCTCATCACCACCACGGACGTGGACTCGGAGTGCTGGAGTGAGATCCGCGAGGACGACGCGGCCTTCGAGGCCCGCGTGAAGGAGGAGGAGCAGAAGGTGTTCGGGTTGCTGGCGGACAGACAGTCGCAGGGCACGACCCCGGACACCACGCCTGCCCGGACCCCCACGGAAGAGGGGACCCCGACCAGCGAGCAGAACCCGTTTCTCTTCCAGGAGGGCAAGCTGTTCGAGATGACCCGGAGCGGCGCCATCGACATGACCAAACGGTCCTATGCCGACGAGAGTTTCCACTTTTTCCAAATTGGGCAGGAATCGGGGGAAGAGACTGTCTCTGAGGACGTGACAGGAGGGGGCGCGGCTGCTGAGGCCTCACCGCCGGAGACGCCGGCACGGCCCGCGGCCCTTTCGGAATCAAAGGACACGGACGAGGCCGACCTGCTCCCTGATGACCCGAGTGAGGAAGGAGAGGGGACCCCTGCTTCAGATGGTCACCTTCCCTCCCAGGACCCGCACCCCCTGCAGGGGGGCCATGTGCCTCCCCCGCCCAGTGAGAAGCAGGCGGGCCCCCCCTGCCCTGACTCCGCCCTCCAGGTTCCGTTGGACTTCTCCGCAGTCCCTGGGTCCGTGCACGCCGACCGGGACGACGACTCTCCCGACTCTTCCCCGGAGGAGCCGAAGTCAGTCATCGAGGTCCCCACTGCACCCACAGAAAGCCTGCCTCCTCCTGAGAGCAGGTCCAAGATCCCGGTCCCGACAGGGCCCCCCGCAGAGGAGGAGAGGGTGCCCCCCGAGGGGCTGCTGCCCAGCCCGGACGAGGCCAGGACAGAGCAGGACACTAAGCCCAGGTCTAGAATCCCCGTGAAGGCGCCCCCCCAAGGAGCCGCGCTGCAGCCTTCACCCCCAGACTCCTCCCTGCAGAAGACAGGGGCTCCCTGGGCACCGGACGCGCCGGGCACGGCCGCAGACCACGGAAGCAAATCTGAGTCCGAGGCCAGTCCCGCGGACTCCCAGGGCCTGTGCCCAGGGAAGGCGCCGGGCTGCCCCCAGACGGAGGCAGACGGCGCAGAGAGGACAGAGGAGCCCGCTGCCCAATCAGAGGACGCGGCCTCCAGGCCCAAGGTGTTTGCCTCGCGCCTGCCCGTGAAGAGCCGGGGAGCCTCGTCTTCCTGCAGGGGGGCCCGGGAGGGCCAGGAGCACTTCCTAGACCTTTACAGGGGCTCCATAGACTTCTTCCAGGAGATTAGCGACGAGGCCTCCAAGTTAGTGGACAGACTGACCCAGTCAGAGAGGGAGCAGGAGGCTGTTTCCGATGACGAGAGCAGCAGTGCCCTGGAGGTCTCAGTGGTCGAGCACTCGGTCCCTGAGGACGTCTTTGACGCCAGGCCCATCTGGGATGAGTCCATTGAGACTCTGATCGAGCGCATCCCCGATGAGAATGGCCATGACCGAGCTGAAGGTATTGCCGCCACGGGGACCCCATGCTTGCATGTCGCCGCGTGGCTCTGTCGTGTTCCATTCCGTGGTGTGTGTCTCATCCCCTTGCGCTCTCTGTGGTGCCGGTGTCTGTGTGTGCTTCCCTGTCCCTCCTGTCTGTGAAACGATCTCAAGATTGAGCAGTGAGAATGCGTGTGGATCCGTGAGCACACCTGGCCGTGGCCCCGTGGCCCCGTGGCCCCGTGGCCCCCGCCCCTCCGGCCGTGCACGCCAGGCCGCGCCCGCTTGGAGTTGTTGTGCTGCAGGCCCGGCTCGGCCCCGGCTACACCTCTGCTTTCACATCGTGGACGCTCGGTTCTTTTACGAGGGTCCACTGCGTGTCCTCACCTTCCTGTCCCTGACAATAACCCGCACTTGATTTTGTGATCATCAGGGAGCCATTTGCACGAGAAGATCTCACATATCATGAAATCCCAACTTTGTGGATCTGTTTTTGATTCAGAAAGGTTGGCGCTCAGACACGCTGGCAAGCGCTTTAACAAACGAGTGGAAGGTAACCCGCGCTCTCCTGACGGGGTGGGTGAGCGGGACGGCCCCGGTGCAAGGCAGCAGACAACAACCCAAACTTTGCATGATTCCGGTCGACGGCGAGGGGACAGTGGTTCGAGTCACAGGCATGGAAACCACAGAGGACTTGGAGCAGCAGCCTCCGAGCCTCCCACAGCTCTGCAGCAGGGACGATTCTCCTTGAATGTGCAGCCTGGGGAAGGTCGCAGTGCCCTGGTCGGAACCCTGCCCGTCAGTGAGTGGGGGAACCAGGAACACAGAAGCAGAGTTTGACTTACAAGGGCTCACTTACTAGTAAGCTGACGAAAACTCTGCCCAAAAGACGCACGTGCCTGCAGGCAGGCCCCTCCCCTCCCCCAGGGCCTCCAGGCCGAGGTGTCCTTTCTGGTCACACAAAGTCTCGGTCTCGTGTGAACCTTGGATGGAAGGGACCGGGGAGCCGGCAGTGAGGGGCGGTCCTGGCCGTCGGCTGCCTGTCTGCAGTCCGGCTGTTGATTTCTGTGTTCGGTGACCACAGCGACTGCTTTCTGGTGGGCAGTGTTCCCTCAGGTGGTTCAAAAGCAAAGTCTGAATATGGCTGGAAGTCGCCACCCACGTCAGTACGTGCAGGGGCTGGTCTTGTCGAAGGGATGTGGAAACGTGTGGTTTTCATGGTTTCTGGTAGACATCCGCCCCGTCCCCGCCGGAGACCAGGCAGACACCCCATCCACATGACTTCACACACAGTAGCTCCATTGTGCTGTCATCGGGCATTTGGACAAGCGACCTCCTGCCTGCGACGGTCCGCGCGGGGGGGTCCTCTCCTGCCGCAGACGGCCGTGGCCATTCTGTTCTTGACCTTCTGTAGATCAGCAGGATGAGCAGGAGCAGATGGAGGAGCGGCTGGCATGCATCGCTGACCACCTGGGCTTCAGCTGGACAGGTGAGCCGAGGGTGCCCCCTTTCCGCCACGCCTGAGCAACGCCTGGTATCAGCCCAGCGTCACTCACAGTGAGGACGGTCTCTCTTCCTGTGAGGAAGACCAGGGCCAGGGAGAAGTGGAATGAACCCCAGACTAGAAAACCCAGGTTGTCCTAGACCCGCCGAGAACCAGGGCCGGCCTCATACCGTCTCTGGGATTTAGGACAACGGAAGGTTGGATTGGGAGAGTCTAAGAACAAACCAGCCCTGCCCTGGCCAGTTTGGCTCAGCGGTTAGAGCGTCGGCCTGCGGTCCGGAGAGACCCGGGTTCGGTTCCCGCTAAGGGCACGTACCTCGGTTGCAGTTTGTCCCCGGCCCTGGTTGGTCGTGCGGGTGGCAGCCACTCGATGTGTCCCTTCACGTCGATGTTTCTCTCTCTCTCTCCCTTCCTCTCTCTCCCTCCCGCTCTATCTGTACAAAAAATAGAAAAAATATCCTCAGGTGAGGATTAAAAAAAAAAAGAATAAACCAGCCCCCCCCCCCCCAGGAGCTGTGGCACCTACACTTTGGGGAGAGTGCGGATTTTCAGAACCTCTGCTAGGTGTGGTCATAACGTGTAATTTGAGATTTGACCAGACGTGGTCTGTCGGGCATCTTCCGCGCGAACAGTGCTGAACTCGCCCTGGGTGAATGTTGAAACACCTGTGATGAGACGCACTCGCTCTCTGAGACACGGGCTGCCGCAGAGTAGAAATGTTCACACGTCTTCAATGACTTGTGAAGGAAAAGTGCGTTCTAAGGTCAGTGTGATCAGCTGGCCAGTCGCGGTCTACCTGTCACCTCCCCTGGACTGGCGTAGAAAGCCAGGCGGCCTGTCTCCGGCTTCGTCTGACTCCCTTCTGTATCACTCGCGGCTACTTGATCGAAACAAATGATGTAAAATTAATATTCGCCTCCTTTGAGTTCTGTAAAGATTCGGCGATGAAGCGGAGTCCGACAGACTTTAGCGAAGGTAATCAGTAACATGGACTCAATGACTGGAAGCCGGAAGGATAGCCGTTTTCTTTAGAAAGTCGTCGGATTCATTTAATTGAGGGGTTCAGGGGAAGGAGGGACAGCAAATACCCCAGTTGATGTATCAAATAGGCAACGTTCAGAATTTCTTAGTTGTGCCCCTTAAACGTGTGTGTATTAAATGCAGTATCTGTGGACTTACTGACAAGTGAGACCCCGAACCACACACGGAGCAGGAGAACGCAGGGCAGACCAGCCGCCCCCGCGCCTGGCCCTCGGGTGCGATTCAGAACTTCTCATCGTGCCCCATCATCACACACATATCTAGCTCATTGTTTCTAGCTGATTGTATAATAGAGAGAGAAACACCGATCGACTGCCTCCTGGCTGCCCCCAACCAGGGACTGAACCTGCAACCCGGGCTGTGCCCTGACCGGGATCGAACCTGCCACCTTTCGGAGCTCGGGACGAGGCCACAGCCAGCCAGGGCCCGAGCTCATTCTCTTAAATGGCTGTTTAATTCTGCTGCAGAGGGACCGGGGTTTGATCAGTGGTCTTTGCGGGCGGATGCTTAGTGTGTCCTGCGAATAACCACAAACGCTTGTGCCCTGGTGTATCTTTGTGAGTGTATCTAGAGGGCTCACACCTAGAAGTGGAGGTGCTGGCTAAAGGGTTTGTATAATTTTAATCTCGAAAGACATCGGCAAATCGCCCTCCAGAGAGGACCCCGCGTCGGCGCACACACTCCACGGAGTACAAGCGTCCACACAGACGCCAGCGCACAGGTCAAAGGACAACCCTCTGCCTCCTCCTCCAGGTCAAGTCTGTCTAGACCTTTATTCGTGTGACATCGACTCAGAGAAAGGAAGGTGTTCAGCACCATCACAGCCACAGACTGCATTTACCCAAGCGAAGACGGGACAGGGGCTCAGGGTACTCTAGGACACCGCTTGGTGATGATTCGGAGGAGAAATGGCCTGTTTCTCCTGTGCAGGTGGCGTGTTTTCCACGCTGTCGGTTACGAGTACGAGTCAGTACCAGTGGCCTCTCCTGCACTTTGGAATCAAACGAGACCGAGTTGTACTTGATCACTAGAGCCTAGACCTACTGTGCGCACTGTGCCCGTGGTTAATTCTATGCGCAGCTTGAAGGAAGTCTGTCCCCGGTGTCAGAAGGGTCACCGCTAATGGTAGAAAATAGTGACCCATCACTCGGCGGTGCAGACAGCGCGCCCTCCCCAGACCACAGCCGGGGACTGAGGTCACGTGGTCACAGGCGGGTCTGTCTTCCAGAGTTAGCGAGAGAGCTAGACTTCACGGAGGAGCAGATTCACCAGATCCGGGTGGAGAACCCCAACTCCCTGCAGGACCAGAGCCACGCGCTGCTGAAGTACTGGCTGGAGCGGGACGGGAAGCTCGCCACAGGTAGGCGCCCCGGGAGGACGGCTTTCCGACAGGTCACGCGGCGGGTGCCATCAGACCGAGCGCCGCGGCGAGCCCGCGAGCACACGCAGTGTCCCTGAACTGTGCCTGTGCCTGAGGCGCCCGGGCTGTGTTCCTGGGCCGGCTCCCCGCTGGGGAGGGCGTCCCAGGTCCCCTAACGACGGCAGGGGGCACCCCACTTTGCCGCGGTGCTTTGTTGGTGGCGACTGCGCGCCCACACTGTGTTCCTTTACGGGGCGAAGGAGAGCTCCTTCTAGTGCTTTGTGGTCTTCTGACCTCAGCAAACGAGGTGCACACCCACCCTCAGCGGGCTCACTGTCCGCTCCAGGCGTCTCTGCAGCTCCGCTCGAGGCCTCGTTACACCGGCCCACGCACCTGCCCCTCCCCCTCCGGGTGCAGTCGCAGGACTGGCCAGTACAAACAGAGGGCGCAGTCAGACTCACATTCTGGGTGGTCAGCAAAGACTTGTCTGAGAACCGCCCCCAGGCAGCGCGTGGACAGCTTATGCTAACAAGTCTGTGTCTGAAATCAGAAGTGATGGGGACCCGCCTGGTGCCCTGCAGGTCGGTTAGGCTCCGCCCACGCCGGTTCACGTTCCTGCTGCTCTCTCTCGTCTTCCCTCAGTTCACAACACCCTTGTTCCCTGCACACATGGCAAACTCTGGTAAGGCGGCTGAAAGGGGATTTTAACAGAGCCTCCCTCACACGCTGTGTGCGTCTCCTCCTTCTTCCCAGACATCAGTCTCATCGAGTGTCTCACCAAGATCAACCGGATGGATATTGTTCATCTCATGGAGACCAGCACGGAGCTCCTCCCGGAGCACCCCAGTCACAGCTACGCCGAGATGGAGCAGACCATCGCGCTGGACCACAGCGAAGGTCAGACCGTGTGTGCACACGTGTGTGCGGGCATGTGTGTGCACACGTGTGTGTATGCACAGGCACACGTGTGTGTATATGCACAGGAGCACATGTACGTGTGCATGTCTGTTCATGTGTGCACATGCACGTGTGCGCATGCATGCACATGTGTACGTGTGTTTGTGTACGTGTGTGCATACATGTGTGTGCACCCATATGTGTGTATGCACATGCACATATGTGCGTGCGTCTGCTCACGCACACATGTGTACGTGTGTATGTGTGTGCCTGCACACACACGTGCCTGTGTGCCTGTGTACATGTGTGTGGGCATGTGTGTGCATGTACATGTGTGCTTGTGTGCACATGTGTGCGTGCTTGTGTATGCATGTGCACTGCATGTGTGTGCATGTGTACGTTTGTGGATATAGCTTCTCCATCCGCATGGATTTCCGTTCCTTTTGGAAAGAGCCTCACAGCGGTCTCATCAGTCACCCCCAGTGCTGTGTGTCCTCGGGCTCATGCCCAGTACCTTCTGTTCCCACATGTGGGGTGTCCTTCCCTCTCAGTTCACTCGGGTTTCTGCTCAGGTAGGTCCTCAGGGCGCCCCCCAGAGCAGCCCGGTTGCCCTCACCTCTGCCTGGCCTCCTGCCCTCCTGCGCTCAGATCCCAGCCGCACTGCCCACGGCAGATGCTCAGTGAACGCATAGGTGAAGGTCGGTCACACCTCTGCCTCAGACTCAGTGACCCCGGTGACCCCGGTGTCCTGAAAGTCCCCCCTGGCCCACAGGACCCTCCGTACAAGGAGCTGGACCTCAGAGTGAGCAGTACCAGTGGGCGGCATGTGGTGAACGAGAGCGTGTGGGCTGCTGGCGTCACGTCACCCACTCACCACAGACTCTGGGCCTCCAGTCGAGGCTCATCACTCCTCCCCATGAGGACGTCACCCTCCACGTTTCCTTCCTAGAGTTTTCTATTTTAGTTTTATTTCTTTATTGATTTTAGAAAGACAGGAAGGGAGAGGGAGAGAGAGAGAGAGAACATCGACTGGCCGCCTCCTGCAGGCCCCCCACTGGGGATCGGGCCCACAACCTGGGCATGTGCCCTGACCGGGAACCAAACTGGTGACCTCCTGGTGCAGGGTCGATGCTCCAACACTGAGCCACACCAGCCGGGCACCTTCCTAGATTGTCGACCCTGGGCTGGGAGTTCCCGTGTGCACTGACCGGTGCCTGTGGCCTGGCCCCTCCGCATGTCCACAGACCCCTCCTTGCCCGAGGCCCCCACGGAACCCGCGTGTCTCCTTCAGCTTTGTAACCGTGGCCCATCCCTGGACTCCATGAACACCAGCTAACGTGGGTGAGCGTCAGGGACGCTCTCGACCCCGCTGTCCTCCCACAGGGTTCTCGGCGCTTCCGGGCGAGCTGCCCCCTCGGCACCCGGGCGTCCAGGAGCAGGCGGCGTCCAGAGGCGGCGAGTCCTGCAGCCACCCTCCCGTCGTCTCCGACGAGGACCTGTCTGTTGGCTACTCCGCCCTCCAGGACTGCGTCCCCCGCACGGACGGGGCCGGGCTGCCCGCCGAGCTCGTGCCCCAGACGCACCCGGAGCAGCAGGAGAGCCTGTGAGTCTCCAAGGACACGGCCCAGGGGAGGGGACGGGCGCCTGAGGGTCCCCGCTTCTCTCATCACCCCCAGATGCCAGGGAAGAGGCAGCACGTGAGAGACCGTGAGGGCACCTGCCTGTCTGCCTCTGGGGCTGAGCTTGCGGCGTGTCCCTGGGCCCCTGGGCCCGGGTCCTCTCCACACCTCTCAGTCGGGTGATGACGCGCCCCTAGTTCATGTCCGGGTCGAAGGTCCAGGACACAGCTATGAGAGTGTTGTTTAGACAGAATTTGTGGGACCACACAGGTCCCGTGGGGCCGCACCCCTCCCCTCCGCGGCTCTGGGGTGCCCGAGGGTTTGCAGGATGAGCAGAGTCAAGGGGGCGGCACCGCGGTGTCCACACAGCTGGGTGGCTCGTGATCATGGGTCCCCCGGGAACACAGACCTCACAGGGGGGGAGTGTGGCAGGCGGGTGTCCGGAGCCCCGTGCCCAGAGCTGGGGTTGGCGTCCGGGCCGCAAAGGCCAGGGAGCCGGTCCAGCAGCACCAGCCGCCTGGAGAGACACAGGCAGAGCAGGGAGGCTGGTCCCAGGAACCTGGGGACGGGGTGGGGCCTGCCTCCCAGGCCCTTTGTCGTTTGGCGACCTGTGTGCCGGGGTCACTGGGACTCGGGGTTCATGGGGAACTGGGAGATGGGAGAGGAGAGCAGGGCCCCGGACAGGCTGCACAGGGGCTCCCCGAGTGACAGAAAAAGGCAACACACCTCCAGGAGGGGGAGCACGCGGAGCGCGCTCCCTGGGACCCGAGATGAGAGAGGCTGGCGGCCGTCACCACCTGTCGGGGGGCGTCCGTGTCGGCGGCTCCTCCGGGCAAGGAGCACGGTTTCCCAGAAGCAAGAATCTTTCTACGTGTGTCGGCACAACCGCATTGACACGGGCTCATGTGCTGCTTTTTATGCGCTTGGCCCAAGTTTATTCCTGCTTCAAAGCCCGGTTCTCCCCGAGATCTGTTAGGGAGCCCTCCTCGACCTCCAGCGTCACCTCGCGTTAGACAGCTGTGGTGCCGGACCTGGGAGACGGGGTCCGGTGCCTCTGCCTCTGGGGGAGTGTCCCAGCCACACCCCGAGCGAGCTGCAGCTCCGCGCCGTCCTCACAGAAGCGTCACACTCCGTTTCTCGGCCAATTTGCAAAGCGGGTCTGAGTTTCTCGACGATGAGAGTGGGGTCCACGCCCCCCTCCGGGGCCCTTCACCAAGAACGGTGACCTGCCGGCTGTGACCTGGCGTTTCCGTTTCAGTGTGAAGACCCCGAGGACGGAAGGGCCGGACGCTGGCGAGGCCTGGGCAGCACCTGGCTGTCCCAGCAGGACCCCCGAGGAGGGCAGGCTGTACCTGCAGGCCCGCACCCCCCCGGAGCCGGCAGACACGCCCCTGGTGCAGGAGCCGGAGCCCCTGGAACTCAGGGACGGGGGTTCCCCGCGGAAAAACAGCCTCGTGATTGTGGAGTCCGCCGATGAAGACGCCGCTTTCCAGAAGGTGAGCAGGCTCCCTGCGCGTCCTGCCCGCAGGGAACCACAGACGGTCCCAGGGCATCAACGAACGAACCTGGGCCGTGTGAACCCCTCCAGCCTTGTTAACATCTGGGAGCCAGTGCATCTTTTTGTTTTAAATCCTCACCTGAGGATATTATTCCATTTATCTTAAGATAGAGTGCGAGGGGGAGAGAGGGAGAAACATCGATGTCAGAGAGACACCCCGACTGGTTGCCTCCCGCACGACCCTGACCAGGGCCGGGGACGGAACTACCACCGAGGTACGTGCCCTTGACCAGAACCAAACCCGAAACCCTGGTCCGCAGCCCGACGCTCGAACTGCCGAGCCCGACGGCCAGGATTGAACCAGTGAGTCTAGGAAGGACTGGTGCCGGGTTCTAGTCCCAGCTGCCTGAGCAGGAGCCGGGCTTTATCACTGGAAACACTTACGCTAAGAAAAATGAACATTGGCCCTGGCTAGAACGTTGGCCTGCGGTCCGGAGAGACCCGGGTTCGGTTCCCGCTAAGGGCACGTACCTCGGTTGCAGTTTGTCCCCGGCCTTGGTTGGTTGTGCGGGTGGCAGCCACTTGATGTGTCCCTTTCACGTCGATGTTTCTCTCTCTCTCTCCCTTCCTCTCTCTCCCTCCCACTCTATCTGTTCCAAAAATGGAAAAACGTCCTCGGGTGAGGATTAAAAAAGAAAGAAAATGAACATTGGGCGATACAGCATCCCTGCCGAGGCCTTTCCCCGTCAGTGACCCTCAGCCGGCAGTGCATTCCAGGGGTGACTTAGAAAAAGGACTTCTACCCAAGGTGCTGGCGCTGGCGGATGTCACCCCGGTTCAGGGGGCGCCCGCACTGCGGAAGGCTGAGGTCCGACCGGTTCCTCCCCTCACCACACACTGTGGGCCTGCTCCCCGCCAGAATCCCGAATTTCCTGAGTTTGGGGGTGAATGAGGGTGTGACCTTCAGAATCCAAAGCCTTCTGCATGTCCCAGGGTTTCGTAGCATCCGCGTCTGTCTGGCTGGGGTGAGTTAGAAGAATCAAACTTCGGGTGGAACCGGGATGCCCCGTGTGTTTGGGCTGAAGACCGACCTTTGCTGGTTCACCGGAGGGTGACGCTTGCCGCAGGCGTCACAGGAATCGTGCCTGCGGCGTCGGCAGTCCCCTGAGATCCGGGTTCATCCCAGGGATGGATGTGCTCCTTCCTGCTGCCTTAGCGCACGATTATCAGCTCCCTCGGATGGGCTGAGGCTGGAAAAACATTTCACAGGTCGTGTCTGGGCTCAAAGGGACCAGATTTAGCCCCAGAATCCATAAGCTAATTGAAGTACAGACTCGGAACAAGTATCTGGGTGATTCGTGTATGTGGTCTGTTCTCCGCATAGGAACAGATCCTGCTAAATCCCTCCTGCGTATTCCGGCCCAGCCCCCGTCTTGGTGAACACCTCGCACCTGACTGCCTCCGATGTAACCCTCCCCCGCCTGGGCATCGGAGTTCAGCCGGGCTCCTGGCAGACCCTATGTCTAGGGTCCCGAGCGTGTTTAATGCACAACGTATTCTAGATTTTACTCGTTTTTCTTTAGCAGAAAAGAATGTAGGAATACACGTGGCATTTTAAAATATGCTGAGAAAACGTAGCTGTCTTCTTTCTCTTTGAGTAACATTCCATGGGGAAAGAGTGATTTGGTATCTGGCCTCCGAGACGTGTGTTGTAACCGGAGGTTACGTCCTGGGTCCGTCCCTGGTCGCTGGCTGGGTCTCTGCGGAGGGCGCGTGGAACCCGGGCCCCAGGTGCAGCCCCGGCCGGACACGGCGGCAGGGAGTCGGGTCCTTCAGGAGTGTCTGCACGGGCGGCAGACTCTGCTGGAATTTGGGGTTCACCCCCAGCAGAAGCCCGAGAGTCGGGAGCCCCGCGTCTCACTGGTGAGGTGTCGGGAGCGTGAGCCCAGCAGGTCCCGGGGCTGGGGCTCTGCCGGGCTCCGTGGCTTCTCTCCGTGTGTGGATAGGCGGCCACGTTACCTGTGACGTCCGAGCCTCGTGGCCGTTGTTTGCGCCCTGCCGGCTCGTCCCCTGAGCTGAGTGAACAAAACCTCCGGGAACGCTCGTGAGCCGAGGCAGGGCCCGCGGCGGAGGTGCCCCTGGCGCCATAACCACCCTGTTCCCGACTTGCAGGAGCTCGCGGCCGAGCTGGGGGAGCTGGAGGTCAGCTCCGACGAGGAGGCGACCGTCACCACCAGGGTTGTCCGCCGGCGGGTGATCATTCAGGTACCAGCTGCTCAGAGACCGCACATCTGGGGTGGTGTCGCCCCAGCCCTGGTGGCCAGCCTGCGGCTGCGTGGCCCCAGGAAGCAGCCACGGGACCGTCTCGCGTGCTGCTGCCGAGGACACGGCACCGCGGCTGTGCCACAGGCCCCGGCAGCAGGGGCGCTGTGACCTGCCATCCCCCCTCCCCGCCTGCCGTGTCTGTGTGGCTTAGCTGACTCCGGTCCCGGCCCCCTGAGCACGGGGTCACCTGCCTTCCTTTCTGAGAACTTACCGTGGGAGGACCGAGCCCTGCGGCGCGGCTTCTCCGCCTCCTTAACCATCGGCCCTGCGCGCACGCTGGCCGGGGGCAGGCAGGCTCCGTCTGCCGCCCGCTCACGCCACCTGTTTCTCTGCAGGGAGACGACATGCCTGACATGCCCCCGGAAACTGTCACGGAAGAGAAGTACGTGGACGAGCACGGGCACACCGTGGTGAAGAAGGTAGGTCCCCACGTCCTCGCCGGCCATTCCTGCCTCGGGGTCGTCCGTGCTCGGCCCTGGTGCTCGGAGACAAGACGCACGACACCCTCTCTCCCAGGTCACCAGGAAAGTCATCAAGCGGTTCGTGTCCTCCGACGGCACCGAGAGGGAGGAGATCACCGTGCAGGGACAGCCCCAGGAACCTGTCCGCATCGAGGACGGCGACGGTTACTCCAAAGTCATAAAGCGCGTGGTGCTGAAGAGCGACACTGAGCAGTCAGAGGTGAGGCCACAGGGACGGCGGGGCTGACATCATGGAGCCTGCTGTGTGGCGTGGACGTGTGACGCGTGGACGTGTGGCGTGGGGTCCGATGTGAGACCCTGTGCCCTGCCCCGGACACAGCTCTGAGAGGCTCGGGTCCTCCCCCTGCTCTGCGAGCGTCCGGGCACCTGCAGGCGCACACTCACTGTCTGGGTCCCTTGGTGTCCGGTCAGCTCCCAGCGGACACAGAAGAGACCCAGTGTCAGGACTCGCCTGCAGGGGCGGAGTGACAGGAAGGCCCCCGTGGCATGTGGGGCCCCCCCAGGCAGATGCTGTGTTCAGAGCCCCAGTCAGCATCCTGGACAGCCCGCGTGGCTCTGCATCCCAGACTGAGGGCACCTTGGCTCAGACACGTGATGGTGCCCTGTCCCCCCCCCCGCTCCCTTCACCCCTGTTCCCCCCGCTCCCTTCACCCCTGTTCCCCCCGCTCCCTTCACCCCTGTTCCCCCCGCTCCCTTCACCCCTGTTCCCCCCGCTCCCTTCACCCCTGTTCCCCCCGCTCCCTTCACCCCTGTTCCCCCCGCTCCCTTCACCCCTGCTCCCCCCGCTCCCTTCACCCCTGTTCCCCCCGCTCCCTTCACCCCTGTTCCCCCTGCTCCCTTCACACCCTGACGGTTACTGGGCTGCATGGACGGGTCTCTGAAAACAGGCCTTGTTCCTCACGTCCTGGGGTGTTCCACCCTCGGGGCAGTTTTGTCTTCAAAATGCAAAGGCCACCATTCCACACGGGGCAGAAGCCGTGCGCGGGGTCCGGGCCGCACTGCCCGTCTGGCAGCGCCGCTGAGCGTGCGGAGTGACCTCACGTCGACTTGATTTGCTGACGCGAGGTTTACTCTCACTGCTTCTCTTCCGAAACCCTGTGTTCCGGAAGCTGGGACACAGCACGGTGGCCCTTGTGTGCTTGTTGCCCCGAGAAACGCATCGCTGTCCCCGGGGGCAGTCGAGCCTGCATCCGCGTCCTCCACCCACCAGGTGACCGTGTCTGAGCCCGGCGCCCCGAGCGAGGCCTCCCAGTTCCAGGCGGAGCCCGTGGAAGGCCGTCGAGTCAGCAAAGTTGTCAAGACCACGGTGGTGCGTGGAGAGAGGTTGGAGAAGCATCTGGGGGACCCCCGTCTCGCCTCTGATCTTCCCTCGGCCAAAGAAGACTTTGAACAGGTATAGCAGCTCCATGCGTCATGTTCGTAAAGAAAGGGTTCAGCGGGGTGCTCACAGGTGCAGAGCACCCCAGAGGGAGCTTCCTGGGGTGACAGCCTGGGAGGAGAAGTAGCGGCTCCTCAGCCACAGGTGCCCCTCCAGGTGACGGAGGCGCTCCCGCTGAGTCAGCTTCCGTCTCGGGCTCCGTGGCCAGAGGGGCGTGACGTGCGCCCCCCAGGGAGGGAGCGAGCGAGGCAGGCTGCGGCCCGGCTGTCGCGGGTGTTCCCGCGGTGCCCGCCGGGCGTTAAAGAGAATCCACAGACGTGGCCCCATAAACAGGACCAGCATTTGTCATTGAGCTCGGACTCCCAGCGGCTGGGAGATGGGCCCACGGTGACAGACACACAGTCCCTCACCGCGACCCCCAAATCCAGACACTCCGAAGCCAACACAGGCTGTGAGCCGCGGCTGATCGCAGGGGACTCCTCGGGGACGGACCCGGAGCCTTTCACCCCAGGGAACCACGTGCGTCGCTGTCGCTGTCGCTGTGTGAATGGCACCGATAGCATCCGGGACGTTAGAACACACGGAATGTACATCCCGTTGCCTTTCCACACCCAGAAGGGAAAACCGCCTGGTTCTGGATCACAGCCGCGGTTTCACTGGCGTCGGGGGGTGTGGGCACGTGTCCGCAGAGCACGCGTGGCCCCCGAGTTCAGTCGCAGGCGTGGCCTCCCCGCCTCTGCGTCGAGAGGCGCCCGGACGGTCGGGCAGGGATCAGCCTCCCTGAGACAGGTCTGCTCTCTCAGCTGGTGGCCGCGCACGGTCAGAAGTGGACGACCCGAGGCGCGTGGCCCGTTTTGTGTCTGGTCGTGTGGCTTGAGTCTCCCCGAGGGCGAGGGGAGGGGCGGGAAGCCGCCGGCGTGGAAGTTGGGGAGCAGCCTTGGTAGAGCGAGACGGTGCAGCTCCCACACAGACGGGGTGCACGTGGGACTCGCTGCTCGCTGCTCCCGAGTGGGTTTATTTATGCAGTTCCCGGTGTTTCTGTCCCCACGGGCTGCCCGACGCCGCTGCGGCCGCGGTGTGTGACGGTGCCCTGTCTCCTTCTCCCGCCTCAGGCTCTGAGTTACACAGGTAGCCACGCGCAAGTCCACGTTCCCAGCTTAGTGGAGAGCGAGATCCTGAAAGAGGACGGATCAGTAATTAAAAGGTTTGGGTTGGCATGGGCGCTGCTTTGCCACTAACAGCTTGAAAGTTTCCCAACTTAACAATGAGAAGGAGCCGCACACACGCTGAAGCCCCTGGGGGTCCAGCCCCCCAGGAGTCACACCGCTGGGGTCCTCTCAGTGCTTGGAAGTGACACTGAGGCCCGAGGACGGTGGGCACCTGTCCCACGGTCACCCCGGTTCCGTGAGGCCAGCCAGCGGGTGTCCACTGTGCAGTAGGTCGGAGCGCGCAGGGAGAGAAGCAGTTGCTCAGAAATCGCCGTGACCCGTGCTGGTGGCTCAGGCTCAGTACACGGCTCAGCGGGTCTGTGGTTCTGCACACGGTGCCGTGGTCCCGAGGGTGCCTGGCGATGCCGGAGCCGGCGCTCTGGTCAGTTCAGAAAGGTCTGCACACCCTGGTCGTGCCCGTGGGGCCTCGTGTGGGTGCCCGAGTGTCGGCCCTCAGGACCGGCGGTGTGGACGCTGGCGTGGTGCCTGGTCTCTTCCCGCGTGTCCCCGCCGCAGTGTGAGGACCACGTGTTCTCGGCCTCGCAGTAGAGTCATGTGCACCACAGTCCTCCTCGCGCTTCTTGTCCTGGGAGGGGCAGCGTGGTCCTTGGGCGACCGGAGGCAGCCGCAGACACGACAGTGCAGTGAGGGCCCCGCCCCGTGTCCCGCCCCGTGTCCCTCCCACAGCTCACAGGTGTTGTCCAGACAAGGAGGAGGCTTTGCACCCTCTGAACTCAGGGGTGTCCCTCCCTGTCCCTCAGGGAAATGAGGGAGCACAGCCTAGACTCACGACGTTTCCTGTCGGCTCCACCTCGAGACCAGCTCCCCTGAGTCCACAATGTGAGTCCCGCCAGGATGCAGACAGCCCGGTCCTGGTCACGGGCTCCGCTGTGTGTGCCTCACGGTGCCCTGGACGAGGCCCGTGGCTCCCGGGGCTCAGGAGTGAGCCCGGCCCCTGCCCGGGGACACACGAGCTCACAGCACACTGGTCACAAAGGGGGGAACACACCTCGGGGGGCCCGTGACAGGCACTCACCCTGACCCCGAAGCCACAGAGGCCCCTGCTGGCTCCTGGCAGGAATCGTGAGATATTTGCCTTCAGGGAGGAAAAAACAGGGACTCGAATAGTTAGAAAATCATGACCTGATTTCCACCTTTGGAAACAAATGTGACCTTTTATTCAAGAGGAACCGCGTCGTGCTGTCGATACAGAACAGCTCGTGTGGCGTGGAAGGAAGCGGGCGGGGGCCCGAGGTCCAGAGAGCCCAGAGCAACCTGGGCCGTGGTCAGAGGGCCCAGCGGCTGCACCGAGCGTGGGAGGCGGTGCTGAGAGCGGGCCCGAGAGCAGACTGCGGGTCCGGACACGGGTCCAGGCAGGGCTGGTAGGGCCGCCAGCCCCGCGCTGCAGGGTCCCCCGCGCTGCAGGGTCCCCCACGCTGCAGGGTTCCCCGTGAGGCGGTGTGAGCAGGGTCGCCGGCCCGGGCACAGGCCTGGACGCCTGGCCTCAGTGCATGTGGGGGCTGGAGGCGTGTCCGCTAGCCGGGCTGAGTGAACTAACCTCGTACGGAGACGGGCCAGTGCCAGGCAAAGCCCCTCCCAGGGTTGCGGCCGCAGCTGAGGAGCTTGTGATGCACTAAAGATGTTTCCGAGCCTGTCTGCATGAGCCTCCCTCCCGGGACCCCGGGCAGAGCGCCGGCCTAACCCCGTCCTGTCTCCCCCAGGACGACGCTCAGTAAGGCCAGCACCCAGAAGAGGGCCGCGGTGAAGGACCAGCGGGGGAGGCGTGTGCACCTGGAGCACTTGGAGGACGTGCCCGAGGCCCTGCAGCAGGACGACCTCCAGCGCGACCTCCGGCGGCTCCTGCGGCATTTCTGCGGCGACGACGCGGAGCGGGAGGCCCAGTGAGGCACCGCCGCTCGGCCAGAGGCCGCAGGGCACTCAGCTCCCAGTCTGCGGAGCGACCTGCCTGGCCCTCGCGCATCGGGTTACTTTGTCCCCGCCCCCTGCCACCGCAAGCTAATTTGTGACCAAAGAGAGCGCCCTTCGCCCTGGGCGCCGTGTCCTGACCCCTGGCATCCGGGCTGCCCTGGGAACCGGCCGCCCGGCGTCCTTCGCTTCTGCACGGCTTCACGGAAGCCGTCGATCCGGGGCTGTCTGCAGACCTGCCGTGCCCACCCCCTCGAGGGGCGTCTGGGCACAGCGGGCACAGAAAGTGCTTGGATGGACGCGTGCAACCCGCTGCCTGTCGTAACCACCTGGGCCCGGGACCCAAGGCCCCTGGAGACGGCTGACGCGGTCAGTTAGGATGCTGCTCCCACAATCCGAGGACAACACGGTTCTGCCGCCGAAGACGCCCTCAGACCTACCGGCCCGAGAACTCCACGCAGCTGCTGCCCTGGCCGAGGTCCGTGCTGCGCTGCCCGGAGCCGGGAGGCGCCCAGGGGCTAGCCGCCGCGTCCCGTCGCCTTCCGGCGTCGCCAGGCCTTCTGGAGTCCGGACGGGTTGGCAGGGCGTCTGCAAAGCTGCGACCTGGCGTTTCCCGGTCTCGCGGCTGCTTCCGCAAACCACGCTGTCTTACCGGCGGCCCTTCCTCGGCCGCTGCCGGCTCAGCCGTTGGACACGGCCCGCCCACGACACGCGGCTGAGCTCCGCGCCGGGTGGAGCGGTCCCTCCTCCCGTCCACGTCTCCGCTCACACCTGCATGTAGCATTTATGAACCCGAACCACAGCCGGGACCCTCTCTCCTCGCGTTGACGGTTGTCGTTCCTTCGACGCAGACCGAGCACTCACCTTCCGGCGAGGTCTGCGTGTCAGCGTGCAGGCGAGGTGGAGAAATCCTGACAAATTGGGTTTTTGTTAAAAAGCTCAGTTTATTTATTTGAAACCCGAACCCCCTCGAACACCACAAAGCGCATTCGCGCACCTCGCTGTCTCCGGAAGGGACCCCGGTCCTCTGAGCGGCGCCCGTGTCCCGCCCGTGTCTCTCCGTGGGGACGCCGTGTGGCTTTGTAATCACATGTATTCACAAGTATGTTCGTATAAACAGTTTGCATTTGGGGATCAGTTATTTGCTAAAGAAAAGTATATTCAACGGAGATCGAGTTCAAGAACAAACACCAGAGTCTGCCCTCCGGATGGGACGCTTCCCAGTCCAGATGGTCTTTCCCTGCGCCCGGCGCCCCCGACGCGGACACCGGCCGGCGGCCCTGCGGCACCTCGGGCAGCCTCGCCACAGGGCACTTCCTGGGGGTGTCCCACAGGCCACGTCTCCTCCCCCAGCACTTCCGGCCGTCGAGCAGGAAATAGGGCCCGTTCTTCGGCCGCCAGAGCGCGGGAGGCCGAGGAGAGACTTGGCGGACCTTCCCCGGAGCTCAAGGCGGCGTTTCTGTCCTGTGGTTCGTGCCGGCGGTGTCCCTGTGACGGCGTAATGGTTAGCCACCTTTCTTGATTTTGAATTTTGCTGTGTAATCAAAACACTTGAATACTGTGAGAAGAAGTGAGTTTTCAGTTGACGAATCAGCATCTTGTTCCCATGGTGATAACACTAATTGAATATATCTATGAGGGCATGTATCAGTTAATGGAAAAAATACAACACTAACCATACATAGCTGCAACGTGTACATGGCTGATTTAACTAAATAAAATGTACAAGTGTCCACGTGGCCGCGGTGATGTGTTCTTGTCCAGCGTCTGCTGCCCCGCGCGGCCGCGGCCTGAGGCGCCGGGGAGGTTCGGGGACGCGGGCGACAAGCTTGTCCAGCTGCCGTTTTACATCCGAGCTGTCAGCAGCCTGGACTCCGGTCCCTGCCCACAGCGCTGCTCTCGTCATCACGAAAGGGAGAAAAACAAAGATTTCCTTTTGGGATCCCTGGCAAAGGGGAAACAGGACCTGGGGTGGGGGTTGAGGGTGCAGAGCGGGCCCCTCAACTCTGTCCTCAGGCCCTGCTCTCAGGGGACACCCATGCGCACCCCCCAGTTCACTCCGCAGTCTTTGAGTCTCCTTCGATATACACGTGAGCACCAGGACTTAACATCTTAGGGTCACAGGAAGCCTCATCTTAACCAGGGTCAGTGCGCGGGGTGTCGGGCAACCAGGCCCGTGGGCGCGGTTGGTGCTTTGGGACGAAGGGAAACCGGCAAGACCACCCTGTGGATGAGAAAAACTGTGAAAATACCGAACCCCTTTGAAACAGGAATGTGGAGATTAGTCCCCGAGGGAGAGAGGAAGCCGGGGTGCGCAGGGCTGGAGCCGGAGGGCGGGGTGCGATGTGGGACCAGGGCGCGTCCATCCGCCCCATTCAGACCCGGGCCAGGACCCTGGGAGTCCTCAGCCACCGGACAGACCTACTGCCCTCAGTTCCAGACACGGCTTCCGACCGTGAGGGTGAAGGGGCCTCGTCATTCCCGACAACCTGCTTCCCAGCACACCTGTGCCGGTGACCAGGCGGAGCACCTGCGACAGGCTCGCCACGGGCTCCCCCCGACTCTGGGAGGGGAGGGGCTGGAGGGGGAACCGGCCCAGGGACCAGTGAGCTGACCGGCCTGCTGTGCAGGGAAGCAGCAGGTTGGGGTGCTCGGGCGCTGGGAAGGGTCCAGGACCCTGCTGCCTTGGTCTCCAGCCCACTGTCCTTGGGTGACACCCTTCCACAGGGATGGGGATCTGGGAAGGAGCGTGTCTCCCCGAGGTCTGTGAGCTGCTCTGCAAATCAGTGGAGCCCAAGGAGGGGCAGGGACCTGCCCGCAGAGCTGCCAGCCTGCGCTCGGCCTGCTGTCTGAGGTCTGCCCGGCGGGCTGGCCCCTCCCCTGCGAGGTTGCCCCTGGGCCCGGGTGGATGGCGTGAGAGGAAGCCCAACTGCAGGAAACCCGCCTGGTGCTGGAGGAGGGCGTTGGCTGAGCTCCCGACACACACGGCCTGGAATTAGGGCAAAACCCCTCCAAGGAGATAACCAGGGAGGAAATAGTTGTAGGAAAACGTCACCTAGTTTTATGTGAGTGAATGTAGAAATCTGAATAGAAGAGTCGACTTTGTTTAAATGGGAATAACTAAAAATTACCACAGAGGAGATAGCAAAGTGACCCCTGTGTGAGGGGAGCACCCACTCCAGCGGGGTCTGAATAAGACAAAGGCGTCGGGAGGCGATGGTGGCCGGGCAGGAGCTGGGACGCCCCTCTCCTCCCGCCCTGGGACATCGGTGCGCCTGGCCGGGCCCTCGGGTGTGACTGGAGCCTCAGCCCGGCCCGGGGGTAAGACGGTGGGATTTCCTGGTCTCCGTGACCTCATGAACCGCCCCTGACAGTGAACCTCCTCTGACCTACCCATGTTGCCCTGGGGTTCTGTTTCCCCGGAGAACACGGATGAACATGGATGAACACGGGTGAGTGCACCAGCAACGCCATGCTGGGGGGCTGGGGCGGTGCCCACAGATTCAACACGAGGAAGGTCTGGGTGTGTACAGCCCAGGCTGCTGTCCGTACCCGGGGAATTCCCACACCCCTGACTGCCCCCAAAACGGGACAGAATGCACCCAGAAACATTGAAGAGGGCAATGTGATTTGATGCACAATTAAAAATGTACAACTATGACCGTCGTTTCGCGGTGCACACGCGGCCGTCACACAGCTGTGGAGGTGAGTCCTCGTGTCGAAAGGCCGCAGGACGGGCACGTGGTTTCCCCTCTGGTGTCAGGAGGCCTTTGGTGAGGCGTAGCCCGTTCCGGAGTTCCACGCCCTTTGAGAAAAGTGTACTCCTCCTTAAAGGAGGACGAGATACGTGTATCCGATGCCCCCGGCCGCGGGGCTTGGCCGCGTCAGCCCGGCCTGTGCAATGGTGGCGCGGGCCTGGCCCAGCCCGGTGCACAGAGCGCCCTGCCCTCAGCGCCCTGCAGGCCGTTCACGAACGAAGGTGCGGTCTGCATGAGGCCGAGCGTTAGCCCAGCTCGGGGACTGGGCCCTTACACACCGGTGGGGTGGAAATCACAGAAAGGCCATTATCTCCAGAAACGTGTGCACAGCGGTTGCCTGGGCAGCTCTTCCTGGGGGTTTATTGTCTCCATGTGAGAGGAAAAGGTGGCACCTTTAGAAAAACGATGGTAAATAAAAACTGGAGCCCAATGTTGTGCCTCTGGTGGGTGTGAGTGAACAGGCAGGTCCGGAAGGGTGCTCACGCCGCTTACAACGCGTCCGTGCGGCGTGGCCGTGTGGCCGTCGCCGTGGTTCTGGGTCTGCACGGGGACCCTGGCCGGCACGGCAGCCTGCTGTGCTCCTTCCTTTCTAGAAGCACCTGCTGCTTGAGAGGGAGCCGGCCCGGTTGTTGGGAGATCATCAAACCAGGTAGAAACGGGCTTGGTACCAGCTCTTGGGACTACCTGAGCCACACTTCCAATAGTTTCAGACAAATGGAGAAGTACCGTAAAAGGGAAACTTTGTGAACACTAAAAAACTATATATGATTTAGATGAAACACTGTAACTGCTCGTAGACATAAGCAGTAAAGATACTTGAGAGTTTCAGCTCTCACTTTGTCATAGACACGCTGCCTGGTGGGGGAGCCCCTACAACAACTGCGTCATGTCCCCAGCCCACCACTAGGGTGCAGCAGAGGACGGGGCGCGGCAACCGCCTGGGGCCCAACAGTCCAGGGGGACCCCCAGCACAGAGGTTGGGAATTTCCTAGATCCTGACTGTGCCCTGACATGGGGCTGGGTTTCGGGTGACGCTGGGCCTTTGCCAGTCCCCACACCCACACTGTCCACAGATCCAAGTGTGAGTCTTGTTACAACAGAACCACTGAAAGTTTAACTATCAAAGAAAATCCATTTAAGCCAAAATCTGCTAATACTATTCTAGTCTTTCTTTTTCTTTTTTTTTTTTTTTAATCCTCATCCGAGGACATTTTTTCATTTTTTGTTCAGATAGAGTGGGAGGGAGAGAGAGGAAGGGAGAGAGAGAGAAACATCGACGTGAAAGGGACACATCGAGTGGCTGCCACCCGCACGACCAACCAGGGCCGGGGACAAACTGCAACCGAGGTGCGTGCCCTTAGCGGGAACCGAACCCGGGTCTCTCTGTCTCTCTGGACCGCAGGCGGACGCTCCAACCGCTGAGCCAAACCGGCCAGGGCCTATTCTAGTCTTTCAAAGTCACTGCCAGTTCCTGAGCTTGTCTCCCGGCCAGGGCTGGTCTCAGTACTCTGTGGTCTGACGTGCCCAGGGTGCTCCCGACCCGGTGAGCAGAGGGAGCCGGCCCCGCGCCCGGCTGGAGTGGGCGGCCGCGCTCTGTCCTGCGGGCCTGTGGCGGGTCAGCCACGGCTGCACCGTGACTGCGTCCGGCTGGGCGGCGAGCTCTGTCCTTACAGGGGTTGCCGTGTGGGGGCTTCAGGACACCCCACCACATGCTGCAGCCCGGCCGTTCGCACCGGCAGCGTCATTACACCCACAGTTCCGACGTGGTGTCCCCCCCCCCCCGTTCGATCAGTTGATGGTTGGTAACTACTTCCCAGTTAAAGTTGGATCCACCCCACCCTGTCTGGAAACTCCTTGTTGCTTGGGGGCTCCTCCGTGGAAGACACCTTGCTGACCTGAGCCTCGCTGGCCCCCAGGGTGCCCAGGGCTCACCAGGTGCGCTGGGTGCGGCCTCCTCGGCCTCCTGCTCAGTCCTTTGCTGTGTTTGGTTTTAAACTGTCTTTGGGTCTGTTTCCATCCATCTTCGGTGGTTTGGGTGAAATAGCTTCTAAAGCGATATATCTATTTACATGATTTCAGAGAGGAAGGGAGCGGGAGAGAGACCATCAGGGGCTGCCTCCTGCGTGCCCCCTGCGGGGGTCGAGCCCACAACCTGGGCCTAAAACCGGTGACTCCTGGTGCACAGGTGGACACGCCCCCGCTGGGCCAGGGCTGCCTTTTCCTTTACAGAGACGTACGGAGTCGACGTCCTCAGGCTGCTCGGACCCCCCACAACCTTCCACAGGTGAGACTCCCTGGTCGACCGTGTCTGAGGGCATCCTCCTCCCCGGTCCTTCGGTCTCCGAGAGGCGACGCTCGTGCTTCCGGACTACAAATCTGCTTAAATGTTTCCAGCCTGACTCAAAGCACGTTCCACTAGACTCTGCCGATCCCCTGAAATACACCCCGTGTCTCTACCTTTTCAGACCCACATTTTCAACCGACCGTCCTGCCAGGTGGTGCGGAGCCTGGGGAGGTGCCAGGCCGACCCGAGGGAGGGAGGGAGGGAGTCCCCGTGGGGAGGCACGCTGTGGAAAGCCTGGGGTGCAGGCTGTGGACGTGCGTGTCCCGTGTCGGCATGTGCGTCAGGGCAGGTGTCTGATCGGGAAGTGCTGGGTCTGGGGGGTCGAGGGTTCGGACGGGAGACAGACAGCTGCAGTGTGGTCTCGGAATCGGGGGGTCGAGGGTTCGGATGGGAGACAGACAGCTGCAGTGTGGTCTCGGAATCGGGTCCTAACAAACACTGGACAGAGAAGCCCCTGATGCCGTTATCAAAGCCAAACTTTTCTCTGGCAAATAGAATATAACGTGGGAACAATGGGATTCTTGAAAAATTAAGCAGAAACTCGTATTTAAAAATGTGCTTGGACATGGGATTTATATGCAGCTGAAACTTGTACACA